CGTGGACAATTAGGCAATGCCTAAAGGTGATGTTGGGTCAAGACAGGGCCCATGTTCAGTCATCGTTATCCAGAAGAAATTCGATAGGTTTGCACTGGAAGATGGTGAAGAAGAAGAACAAAAGGCCGACAATGATGTTAAATGTGGTGACAATGTAAAGGATTATGGCATGAGTCCGAACAACGGTGATGCGTAAAAGTGTTAGGGCAATGCTTGTTTTCGCAACAACACAGGTCAAGATGTAGAAAATCTGACCTAACCACCAGGACTGGTGGAGTTAGAGCAATATTGAACGTATATAGGAGGATTACTCACAAATAGAGCAATGTGCAAGTTATTCGGTCTCTCTAGAAACCAAGCATTCTTCTGGCCAATCCCGTAGGTAGCACCCACAAAAGTGCAAATACAGAAAGCTATGTTCAACGCCTATACCGGTTAGCTGCTGTGAATAGTCTCATTCTGTGTTGTCTGAACATTATGCACATACCATAGCCGTGAGCATCGTTTTGTCATCCCACCCAAACGCCCGCACAATGTACAGCCGTGTATAGCACCGCAGACTCACAGCAAGAGTTGATAATGCCAGAACAGCGGCAGTGACAATGATGATCGCCTCGCTCCGGCCTTGGACCATCATGCGGGGTATTCACGGCCAGAGAAATGCAGTTGAGGCATGGCAGTCCGAGTGAATATGTATGTCAGGCAGAGAGAGGAGCATTCGATTCGGCTGTGAGTGTTGGATTGCACCCTCCCAAACGGTGGAGCTTCCTAGCTAGGGACCATAATCTTCTTACGGTGCATAAATTTCCACAGGATCTTGACGTCAGGGATGGGAAGTAATATATACTCGAGATTCTGCGGACACGTGGCCGGAGGGGGCAATTCAAGAGCGGCTTGGGCTATGTAGCGAGCCGATACTATAGTATCGACATGTTTAGGGAGAAACATTCACACAAAACAATCTCTGGGACTCAATCAAGGAGGCTGTAGGCCTGACCAGCCGAGAGCGACAATCGCGAGTGACTACTGAAAACGGAACGTACACCATGCCCGTTTGGGATATCACATGATTTTGGGCTTCTTCCAGGTTGACCAATAATATGTCAATTATCACGTGATCCATGAAAGCCGCCAACATGACCTTCACCACGTCACTCTTTTCTCTCTCCCAATCATTCCAAGTCCTCCATCGTACGGTCTTCCCGGGCCATCAACTCACTGTAAAAGACAGTGAGCTAAAGGGCACTAGAGTGGGCCCCAAAGACTTAGTCATGGTCCTCGGGCCACAACGATCACCTTATTGTTTTCTTCTACGAACATTCCTGCCAACGCCTACCTGATCCAGGCCTGCACGTGCTTCCGAGTTTTGGTCAATACCGGCAGCTAGCTACATATCCAAGACATTCTACCAAGCTCTGTAGCTGACAAATTCCTCTGGATTTGTCAGAATGTCAATATGTTTGACTAGGCCAAGCCACAAGCAGGTGGGAATACGAGATCCGTCATGTTGAGTCTGGGATATAGTATAGTGGCATCTAATACACAAGACACCGCCAAGGCTGTGCTTAGAAATGCAGCATTGAACTTGTCACCCGGTATACAGATAAAAGGCGGGCCTATGTAGCCAGTGGCAGTCAACATCAAAGAAAGCTGCTCCTCCAGTTAGCAATATCCCAGCATTATCTCCATCATTATCATCACCGTCTGCACAATGGCCACCAACCCCAGCAAAAAAGCAGTCATTATCGGCGGAACGCATGGTATTGGCCTTGCAACCGCCCAGTTGCTCCTTCAACAAGACGTTCAAATCCTGGTGACGGGCCGGAGCTCTCAGCCTATTGACACCGCCAAGCGAGAACTCGGAAGCAAGGCCCGCGTTGTCCCATGCGACATCACCTCTCTGAAGGACATCACCGAGCTGGTGCACCAGGTTGAGGCGTACTTCGGACCCGGCGAGCAGATCGACCTTCTCTTCATCAACGCCGGCTACGCGCACCTTGATGCCTTCACAGACGTGACAGAAGAAACTTTCCACCGGACCTTCAGCACCAACGTGTTTGGGGCTTTCTTCGTCGCGCAGCGCCTGGTCCCCTTCATCCGCCAGGGTAGCGCGGTCGTCTTCACCACCTCCGTGGCGAACAAAAAGGGCATCCCCGGTATGTCCGTCTACTCGGCATCAAAGGCAGCAGTGCACTCCCTCGTGCAGACTTTAGCCGCCGAGCTGGCGGGCCGGAAGATTCGGGTTAATGCTGTTTCTCCTGGGTTTATCAAAACACCAACCATGGGGGTGGCAGGGACGCCAGTGGAGGCAATGGCGGCGTTTGAGGAGGAAGGTGTGCGCACCACACCACTGGACAGAATCGGTCATCCAGAGGAAGTTGCAAAGGCTGTTGCGTTTCTGGCGTTCGATGCGACGTTTACTACGGGGACGGAGCTTGTTGTTGATGGGGGACTGGTGTCGTTGCAGAAGGCTGGTCATTGAGTTAGGGACACTTTAGGTAGGCCCTGCAATAGTTATGAGTTTAACAGGAATTGTTGTCACAACCGCCATCAATCGACAATCGTAGATCGTGGGTGTCGTAGAATGGCTCATAATCAGAATAAGGGTGTCCTGAGAAAACCCTGCAGGTCTCTTTGGCTGAAGAAATAAGAGATCGATCCTCTCTTGCCGTTGTATATCTTCTTGATAAAAAGTATTACATAGGATATTGGTCTAACAATGACAGAAGCGATAATTCCTAAATAAGTAGTAAGTCTGTGTTGTTTAGGGTATCTATCCTTCGTCGTTAAAAGATTTCGAAGGGTCCACTCTTGCTCTAATTAGCTCCGATATCAGAGGCTAAGAACGGAGAGTGGGCCCCAGAAACTTAGTCATAGTCCTCGGGCCACAACGATCACCTTACTGTTTTCTCCTACGAACACCCTGCCAACACCTACCTTATCCACTCCTGAACGTGCTTCCGAGTTTTTTGGTCAATACCGGCGGCCAGCCACATATCCAAGACATTCCATCAAGCTCTGCAGCCGACAAGTCAGAGGAGTTTGTCAGAATGTCAATACGTTCGACTAGGCCAAGCTTTTCCTACAGCTTACTAACCCAACCAAGTCTAGGCGTGCCCAAAGCCGATAATAAAAACCATTAAATTCACGCGATAACGCGCTAATATTTAGAGTCTCAACATGTTTAGCTGCTTCGCAGGCTTTCAAGATACATTTCTCTATTTTAGAATAGGGATTTATAATAGGGGTAGAGAGAAATTAATAAAAAGGCTTCAAATTTTGCGCTAAGATAGGAATTTTGCGTCGAGGTGAGGCAGACCAACCCCCCGAAGGCGGGGTGCGGCTGCTTCCTAGAGACGATTAAGGCTGTCGTATGATTCGTCATGTCTGTAGGTTACTACCTACATAGTTCCTGAGAGGCGGAGCTGAACTGTGTTACATAGGTATTGAGGCTGTGTGTATGCTCATAATTGAAGTAGATTAGAAAGTTCGCAGTAACTTACGTTCGTGTAGTGGGTGATTGAAAGCTTCAGGATGCTTATTGCAAGTAAGCTCTTAGATGCAACAAGGCTAGGTCGCTTTGGGAATCCATTGCGTCGGGCTTCGGGTTTCTGGTGGGGTGTGCTGACCTGATGCCAGCGGCTGAAGGGGCTCGTCTAGGCAGAGACCAAAAAATATGTGTCCGAGTCAGCCGCACTCGGCTTTCGTCCCGATATGGCCATCGATTGCGCTTTGATATAATCATATAAATATGGAGTTGGCATCCTCTGCCATACTCTCCCAATCAGCCATATATTTGAACCTACAATACAGAACCTATCGTGGGCCAGCAAAATGATTGAATATGCGGATCCAAAAGCAGTCCCTAATGATTGGCGCACTAGACAGCCAGGCTGCGCCATTTGGTGCATCATTGCGATTCCTCGTGTGATCCTGTTAGCCATATCTTATAGCCTTCTCTACATCTTCAGCCCTCTACGCCCAAACACCCAGTGGACCTACACACAGGCCCTTCGGACACAGCTCATCAAAACCGCCTTTATCATCATCAGAGAAATTGGCTTCACCCAATCGCTGACACTGGAAGCCGGGGACACGGGTGATAAATGGGTGACTATTCAGCCAGCTGCAGCGAGTGCATACCGTGGGCCGTTTGCCAGCAACCAGAATGTTAAACCGGATGTTATTGGAGGGACTTGGTATCCAGATGTACCACCATCGCCAAAACAGCGGTCAGACGGCTGCGATAGCGATGTTGATAACAGTGTTGTCGTTCTGTCTTTCCATTCGGGATCATTCCTGTGGCTCACAGGACGGCCAGAAGATTCCGGGGATGTTGCTGAAATGACCAACGAAGCACTAGGTCCCGGTACACGCTCATTCTGGCCCCAATATCGGCTTGTAGGGGACAAGAAAACCCTAGCCGGCTACCCAGCACCCATGCAAGATGCAATCACTGCGTATATATATCTCGTCAAAGATCTCGGCATCTCCCCGCTCCGCATCGTTCTCGCCGGCGATTCTTCTGGTGCCACCATCGCGCTAGCTCTCGTGCGCTACTTAGGACTTTTCAACACGCTCGCCTCGCCGCAGAACGCTGATGTCGAATCAGATTTCAATCTTGCCAACCTCCCACTGCCCAGGGTATGTCTTATGTTCTCGCCATCGCTCGAGTACTGTCTCGAAGGTGACAAATCCGCTATCCTACGAAATCGAAATTGCGAAACGGACTATGTCGATGCCCCACTAATGGCGTGGGGAGCAGCAGCTATTGCGCCGCCGGAATTTGTGCGACTGGATGATCCATATCTGTCACCGGCGCTGTATCCGTTTGCGACGCCTGTGGCGCTATTTGTGCAGGCAGGAGGCGCCGAAGTGCTTTGTGATAGTGTCAGGGGTGCCGCGGAGCGGTATCGTGCGGTACCGGGGAATGTAGTTGAGCATTTGGAGGTGCCAGATACACCGCATGATGTGTATGCTGTTGGGGCGCTTCTGGGGTGGAAGAAAGAGCAGAAGGAGACTATTCATACGGCAGCGAGCTTTGTGAGAAGGCAACTACGATCTACATAAAGAGTTATATACTTTATATAATGAAGTGGTAAGTGTCTGCGCGGCTGGAGGTTATATAAGCAGCGACAGTGACTTCCTGTCGTCTATATGTATGTAGGATCGTGGGACATCTCACCATGATCGTGTTGCTCCGGCCGACATTGGCACGGAGTATTCCCTGAGGATCTAGAGCATCCCGGAATTCCACGAACTAGATCCTTATGTTTGTTAGTTAAGTACTTAACCATGAAGAGACCACTGTTTTAGTTCGAATGTACCGTTCTTTTGACCCTACCGCCATGTGTTCAGAGCAAAAAGGCTATATGCATTAAAACCGTGGAGACTTAACATAGTCACATCGTAACCTCGACCGCAGCCTTGGGTTTTTTGTTAGCTGAGATATCGCTTTGACTTGTTGTGTCATTGCAGAAGTCTGGTCATGGAGTTAGAAACACTTAGGCTGTGCAATAGTCATGGGTCTGGCAGAATTTGTTCTCACAGCCGTCATCAATCGACAATCGTAAATCGTAGGTATCGTACAATGGCTCGTAATCAGAATAAGATCTGAAGGCTTAACGGAGACTTTTTAGAGGGTTTCCTCTTAAGAAAATCCCGTAGGTCTCTCCGGGTGAAGAAATAAGAGATTAATCCTCTCTTGTCGTTGTGTATCTTCTTAATGAAAAGTATTATATATGATATTGGTTTGGTAATGACAGAAGCGATAATTCCTGAATAAGTGGTAAGTCCGTGTTGTTTTAGGGTATCTACATTTCGTCGTCAAGATTTCTAAGGGTCTACTTTTGCTCTAATTGGCCCCGATAACAGAGGCTAATGAACGGACCGGATGTACGGAGTACTCCGTAGCAAACAAGCATACATATCAACCGAGAAGTAGTTGCAGACGGACCCGTAGACTTCCGATGGTTTTGTTGGGCCAATGGGCCAATGTCCCATCCTGTTGGCCGAATTGGCTGTTGGGGATGTATCAGCGCCGGTAGTCAATAGGATGTTCCGGGTTGTCTCTCTCAACAGTCGGGAAAACAACGGCAATATCGGACCATCTCGTCGGGATTTGATTGTCGGGCACCGGCCGTACTATACTTCAGACCAAGGAGTACACACCTTGACTTTTTGTAGATATTGAAATGAACTTAAGGCTTGGTCTGTTCTTAGGATTGTACTACGGCGTGGTCGGATATGACCACTGTTCTAGGTACTTGCTGGAATGTTACCTACAACGGACCTCCTACGTTCTCATATCTAAAGACTCCCGTGGTTGTCCAAGAATACTCGTAGAAGGTACAAATGCAGACAATTGCAGGTCGCACATCCCTCTCAAGGGTGGATGACGCAAGGGCATGTGAATCCAGTGGTCTTCCCCGCCATGATGCCTGAATTTATAGACAATATGTAACAGTTTGCTACTCAAACATCCGGTCCCCGTCCGGGGATAAGCCAATTCCCGGGGATGCCCGCAATCGGACTGGTTGACCATGCGTGTCCCTGGGGGCTTTTGCGTCATTCTCCAATAAAGAGCTCGGCAAAATCCTGCCTTGCTCCATACTCCGGAGTAGAGATACTCGAAACAGTCCCGAACGGCACCCCCACGACCCCCACGTTCCCCGCCCCCACGCTCCCACGCGGTCTCCCATCGATCCACCTTTTGCCAAGCTCCGTGGGATGAAAAATTTTCCTCTTCTCTGCGGAGTATACTGTAGACTAGTAGTAGCACGCAGGAGATGGAAGGCATTCTATCAAGGCAATATACGATCCTTTAAAGGAACTAGCTTACTCTTAATACTCCTTTGGTTGCAGAAGGTGACAAACTGGGGGGGAATTCACCTTTTTCCAGCTGATCGGTGGTACTGTACTCCGTCCCATTCTCCCGAGAAGCATGCCGAATCAGATTCCGACGTAGACATCGGCCCAGATCCACCCCAAACCCCCGCCGGGACACAATAAGGTCCCAAAGCCGGGCCGAAAAAGGGCCTGATGGGCTGGGCAATCGTCGGTTGAAAAAGCCAAATACCCCTGCTTCCCTCCTGTACCCCACGGGGATTTTTCATACCAGGGATAATTCGGGGGAGTCGACCATCCCCAACTGCCACCATCATATATCATGGCGGACGAGATCTCCAAGTCCGGCTCTGATGCCGCCCATCTCGAGAAGCCGACGTCTGAGACGATGGAGAGATCTCAGGCCACTGCGATGAGCCCTGCGTTGGCCGATCCGGCCACGCGTGCACGAGTAGAGAAAAGCCTGAAGCGCAAGCTCGATGCTCGCTGTGGTCTCTTCGTTCTCATCTATATCATGAACTATCTGGACCGCAATAACATCTCGGCTGCTCGTCTCAAGGGACTCCAGGAAGATCTCAATATGGATTACAGCCAATATGCGACATGTCTGAGCATTCTCTATGTCGGCTATATCCTGATGCAAGTCCCGTCCAACATTTTCATCAACAGGATCCAGCGGCCCTCACTTTATATCTCCGTGGTCATGCTCATTTGGGGTCTTATCTCGACCTTGTCGGGTGTGGCCACTAACTTTGCGGGATTGGTCGTCATCCGTTTCTTCCTCGGCTTTGTTGAGGCCGCTTTCCTTCCCGGAGCTCTCATGATTCTGTCGAAATGGTATACCCGTCGAGAGCTGACGACAAGAAACGCAATTCTCTTTTGTGGAAACCTGATTTCGAATGCATTCTCCTCTCTTATTGCCGCTGGCGTTCTCTCTGACATGCAGGGCGTTCTGGGCCATGCCGCGTGGCGCTGGCTGTTTTGGAGTAAGTCTCTCAATCACTCACCACTCCTGTCAATCACACTTGGCTGACCCTGCTATTTTTCCAGTCGAGGGTGCCATTACAATGGCCATTGCCATCTCTGCCGGATTCATCCTGCCTGATCTGCCGACTAACACGCGCGGTTTCACCAAGGAGGAACTGGAGGTAGCCCAGCTACGCATGGCGGAGGATGTAGGAGAAGCGGATGTTGATTCGGAGGATCAGGGACCGTGGGATGGCTTGTTCATGGCCGTGAAGGATATCAAGATCTATATCATGATGATCACCTTTACCGCTTATGTGGTTGGCCTCTCGTTCAACGCCTTCTTTGTGAGTCCTCTACCAGTCGTTTTCTCTCTTTTGGACGTCACGTTTTCTGACTCGTGGCATTGTAGCCCAGTCTTACCGAGACCCTCGGGTTCAGTTATGTGCCCACGCTCCTCATGAGCGCCCCGCCATGGGTGTTTTCTTGCCTCTTTTCACTGGCCGTAGCGTGGAGCTCCGATCGGTATCAGGAGAAGGTTTGTCCGCACTTATGTTCCTTGAGGTACAAATTGCGCCTGGCTGACGCGTCTTGTCACTTCTAGTTCTGGCATATCGTGGGCCCTATTCTCGTCGGGTTGGTTGGCTTCATTATCAGCATGTCCACGTTGAATGTTGCGGCTCGATATGTCGCTCTGTTTCTCCAGGGCCGCTTCTTATGCTGGGTAAGCTTTTTCCGTGCCTTGTGTTTCAAACCACCAAGGCAGACACTCACTTCCGGCAATCCACTCGATACAATGACTGTGCTAACGAAACCCGGAACTACAGCTTCATCGTCTTTTACTCCTGGATCAGTTCAACCTTCCCGCGTCCTCCCGCGAAGCGTGCCGTGGCCATCGCCATGATCAACGCATTCAGCCAACTGGGCAACGTCGCTGGCTCGTACGTCTGGAATCTTTCGGAAAATGGATACCGGAAGAGCTACGGCATTGTCACGGCCATGTTTGGCATCACTATTGTCGGCTGTTTCGGGCTCCGCATGCTGCTTGCCAACCTTAACAAGCAGCTTGAGGAGGCGGAGCACGAGGCTAATGGCCAGCCGGACAATGCGCATGTGGACGAGTTGCATATGACTAAGGGCTTCCGGTACCTGGTGTAAGGGAGCTTTGTTTTATTGGTATAGACTGGGTGTGCAGGATTATGTATCTGGGAAATACATATAACGATTCTGCTTAGGACGCCAAAATCTAACGCCTACTCAAATGGCTATCTTCTGTCCGTCTTCGTGATATCTAAATTTAGGAGTCTTATAAGCCTAAAGACAAAGATATGGAAAATACACGTGCCTATAGAAAGCAGAGGCGAGGTTCATTCCATCATTGGACGGTGGTGACCATTGACTGCACTAGAACAATATATACCTTGGCATAGCTTGCTTGTATCCTGGTTCTTTTGGTGTACTTCTCATACAATGAATCACGATACAGTTTACCAATGATCCAGAACGTCTTATCTTATAAATAATTAGAAGACGGACCTGTTTATTCCATTATGGACGTCAATAAATCCCTAGGAAATACTATATCATTTGTGTGTACGCTTTTTTTATCCATCTGCTTGCCGAGGTTCTCAGCAACAGCTGAAGCCCGAAATGAGAATATCCCGCGGTATGTGGTAAAGAACCTTGGGAGTGCCTTACTGAGCCATTGAGTGTCCGTAGTATACCCTTATGGAATTGCATCTGGCAACCCAGAGTCCTCACCATGCATCTGACTAAATAGTGGCTCCCAAACCGTGACAGCGCGTTTGGTAAACCGTCCGTTGGCCATCTCTTGTGGCTTATAGAATAACATCTTGTCCACGGAGCATTCTAGCAACTCGCCAGCCATCCCTGTTGTGTCATCTAAAAAGAGACGATACGCGTCCAGTATAGTTTGAACTGGCGTCAAACTGCACATCAAACAATTAACCAGTGCCGCCGCAGGTAGATTTGCCCAGTCAGACAGACTCACCATTCTGGCGACACGGCCGCAGTCATCTCGGGAGGAACAATCTCAGTATCGACCATCCCTGGCATGACACAATTGATGTGGATGTTATGTTTGGCCTTGAGGATAGGCGCCATATTCTGAACGAACAGGTTGATCGCCGCTTTGGTTCCGCAGTACTCGGGGTACGTTCTATGCGGGAACATTCCGCCAATACTCCCCGTCACCACGATCTTCCCACCTAGTCGAGGCGTGTTGTGCCGCATGAAATGCGTTGCTAACACAGTCCCGTAAATCAGGCCTTTATAGTTGGTATCCGTGGATATAAGGTTCGGCTCCTCCGGTAGATCGTCTACATCCCGCTCGTGTTGGCCGAGGAGGTAAAGCGAAGATTGATCGACTGCGCCGGCATTGGCACATAGAGCATCGATTCGGCCCCAGTGCCGGAAAACCTGCTGAAAGACACCCGCCTGGCTCTGATAGTTACTTACATCTCCTTTAAAGAACCGTGCCCTGTCTCCTAGGGATTTCTCAAGCTCATGGCCGGGTTCTTCCCTGCGGCCAACGCAGGCGACGTGCCATCCTTGCTTGTATAGGTCGCGCGCAATTGCTTTGCCAATGCCGGACTATGCCACATCTTGTTAGGGCAGAAAAGGGGTGGGAAGAAGGAAGTCAGGCAGGGCTTAGGAACTCACTGTAGCACCTGTTACGATGGCGACTTTGATATCTTGTCCAGTCATTTCTGCCGCAATACAAGTAGTGGACGGGGGTTTCTTTTTAAGGGAGAAGAGGTGGAGGGCTCAAATAACCCAAGCCAAATCTAGCCTCAAGTACAGCCCCGCGCTTGCGCCTGAAGTCCCTGTGCTTCGCTGTCTCTAGCGCTCTGACTGCCCGTCGCGACGACCCGCAGTGGAGATCGTGACGTATGTAGGCTAATTTATAGCATAATGATAGTATCGCTTCCAGTGCCCTATATGCAACTAGACACTAACGGAGATTCTGGGCCAGTAGGCCTATACCGTTGGGTATACACTTGCTGATCTTACCATATTTCAATATCTTCACCTTATCACTGGCGATGTTCATAGACACTCACTAATTACTCTATAGGTCTGCAGTGGTAACTGGGGAAGAGGTGATTAGTTGGGATTTGTCCTTTCCTACATGGATCTACACTTGATTACAGCGAGATACAGCGATGAATACGGATAGCGCAACTTTGGCGTATGTACAAATCAGATATTCTAACCATCAAGGCGGTGTATCTCTAAGAATAGACGAGGCTGTGACATCAAAAGACATACTCCGTAGAACCATGAAGAACCCGAAACAAAAATCCTGAAACGATATCCCCTGATGTTTATGACCAGGGAGGGGGCGAGACATGGCCTGTTAACCATGAGCTAGACACTCTGTACAGAGAGCCCCAAAATATAGTACATGTATAAACGTGACGCATCATGCTTAATCGGCGTTGTTGGCACATGTCCAGCTGGCTTTCGATGAGCTCTTATTGATCGCATCACCGGAAACATATAGTCCCAGACCACACTGTCATGGTGTTAGTTGAAGCAAACTAGGATATGTATATAAGAGACTTACAATAGCAAAGGCAATGCCCAAGATAATCAAGTTCAGAATGGTGAGGAAGATCTTCTTGGGATTGGCGAACCACTGGCCTCTGTTCATATAGAACCAGAACATGGCCGGGAGACCGAAACTGAACCAACTTCCAAAGAGGGCACACTGTTAACTGTTAGATATATGGATATCTCGATACCTGGAGGGGTGTCATACAATCAGACTCAAAAGGTCGTTGAAGACCGGAATGGACTCCGCAATGACCCAGGCGACGACCCAAACGGCCAATGCGATGCCAATCCAAGATCCAATAGCCAAAGCACTCCTCTGGTGCATGTGATGCGCCCTATCGCCGCGGAAAATGCGGACGTAGATATATTTGCACGCAACATGGCCGAAGATGACTCCGGCGATGATAACCTGGTGACGATTAGCCGAGTGCTGTGGTGGATACGCAAAAGGGTGGATGACGCACAGTTGGGATGGCAAGGCCATAGGCAACCTTCTTCATCACCGGTCCGGCGGAGGACAGTGCAGGCGAGGCAACCTCGGGGCCTGCATAGCAGTAAATGACAAAGGCAACGACAATGTACAAACTGGTATCACCAATTTGCAACATGGCCAATGACTTGGGGAATTCACGAGGGTCTTCCATCTCGGACAGGAACCCGAAGAAGGCCACATGAGCGACTGGACCCGAGTCAGTTCCGCTGAATGAAAGGGTAAGAAGCTATGTGAAGGTTAGGGAGAACCATACTGTAGGCAAAAATGATGTTGGTCACTGCCAAGAAAGCTTCCTGGAAGCTGACATGGGTGGTGATATCCTTCTGGACATAATCAGGAGCCTGGACACCAATGGCAATCATCGTGACCAGCGTTGCGACCACAATACTGGTGCATGCTAGAGAATCCATCAGTACATGGATCCATGGTTGAGGGGTGATTGATACTCACAGGCAATGGCCATGATGTAGACCTTGTTCATCGTGCGAGGCAAGTTGCACAGAAAGCTCAGAATCATTCCAACCACACCAAAAACAATCGTGCAGGTACCGTGGTTGGTGATGGTGTTGAATGTGATCGTGAAGGTGAGGACGTGACTGGCGCAGAGGAAGATGAGGAGTAACAATTGGGCGACATAGAGCAGCTCTCTGCCAAATCTCCCCATCAACAGTTCACCTGCATCGCCCATGCTGTGGACTTGAGGGTAACGGATCTTGAATTGTCCCATGACGTAGCCGGTATACCAGGAAATACCAGAGATTCCCAGAATGATGAAGAGGGTGCTGAGGTCAGGTTAACATTCCCATCCACATTACCGAGTCACAGCCCAATGCACACTTACGGGATGATTCCCAACGTAGCGACAGCTGATGGCAGGGACAGGACACCCAGGGATACGTTTTCAGCAGCCATGACTGTGGGAAGAAAAGGTTAGAATGTGGCTCCTATTAGTCGAACTCGAAACCAGGCGAGTCTTACGCATTCCAGCGTGCCTGTAGCTTGATCAGAACAGAACTTGAGCTTCGTCGCGGGCTCTCTGGACTTACCACCACTTCATCACCCGATATTTCACTTCTCCAGTCTCTTCATTGCCAAACGGGTCGTTGGCCGGGGGGAAATCCTCCGGAGAGACCTTCTCCATTTCCTCGTCATTGGGTTTCGCTGCAGAAATCCGTTAATGGTTCACAGCCGGAGACGTTGGGAGCGGTGGTGACTGGTAACTCACTCATGATGTATTCTGTAGGGTAGATAGCAGCAGCGTAGAGGGGGAGGAGGAAGTCTGGGGTAGGAAGACTGAACAATTAAATAACGCGTTGGTGTCTGAGCCCAGTGTGGATCTGGAGCATTGGGCAATTTCGCTTTTTTTTTTCTCTCTCGATCTTCTGTGTCTACCGAAAGTGGCAACCCAAGGGCTGAGTCAGCTCGGCCGGTACGGTTAGGCTTATCAAATGAATGCCAGTAATATGGGAATAATGGGGTTCGAGTACTCCGTATGGTACGGGTTGTCATTAGTGGCAATTCCTGGAGGATCCCCAGTTTCGCGATGGGGTTGTTCTGGGGAAGTACACATGGCCAATGGTTCATCCTCCGTGTCCCTTGTCCTGTTCCCCCTCACAGTTCAACAGGAATGCCGGTTTCCGTTCTACGTAGTATTTCCAGAGTAAGGGCATGGTCCTTTGGAGGCCAAGGGGCGGTTTCTGTTATGTAAGGAGAACGGACATGACCCGATTCCTCCTGTGAACTGCTGCCTACTGCATAGCAAGACACTATGCCTTGCATTGCGATAAGAGTACTCCGTAGCAATTAGTTACCTGAACACTACACGGCATACAGAGAACCACATCCTTATCGCAAGTGCGTGGCAGGCTAGGTCTGAAGAAGAAGGCCGATGGAATTCCTCAGATATTCCACGATCCACGGTGACCCAAGGCTGGTCGTGGTAGCAAGTGGGACCGGTTGTAGCCGGTCACCGGTCCGGTTAGGGATGTGCCACTACAGATCCAGGGTCCATCTCGGCTTCCTGCATTCGCTGGCGGTGAGAAGTTTTTTCCCAGCTGTCTCACAGTGGGTGGTTGTGGTGGAGACGGCAGTGAAGGCTCTGTCGGGTCGGGTGGGTATCCTCTCGAACATATTGTACAGGTAGAGCACCCAGCAATCTCTCTGCAACAATCTCAACAAAGACGATTCATCGGAATGTACGGGGGCCAACAGGCACATGCGCAACATCATGCGGCTGTTCTCTTCCCGGCTTTCCGAGTCCGTCGGGTTGATACAAGGTTGCAAACTCTTTCGACCGGCAACTTAGGGTTCCCGCCCGGCGGCTTGGCATACGTGAGATTTGGCCACTAAGATCTCGTGTAGTGGATCTTTGTGGGGCTCCGCGGCAAACCGACGAAAAAAAGGCGTCGCGGGAGGCGGAAAGGCAAGAAAGGTAAAAAGGATGAATACCTCTCAGTGTAAGACCTACCTAGGCTGTGTCCAGCCTCGTGTTGCAGCCCTTAGATTGCCAGGCCACTATGCCTGTTTCACCTTAGGGTTTCTGCAGCCCACCTCGGTTTTGACCCACTATGATGACCCCGGGGATAGATAATACTACGGTACGGAGTAGAACGTTTTCGGATGCAGCTGGAAATCTGCAGCCAAATCTGCATTAGATCCTTATCGCTGTTCAAGCCGGCTAATTCCCACTCAATGCCATGCGTCTACAGTCTACTATAGTGCATAACAATGCCATATTTGATACTGAGATATCCTTGTTTCCCGGTCATGTCCCTGTTGATAGACTAGGTAGCTATAGAGCTGTTCTGGTCAAAGTATCTTCATCTAGAATATTACCGTCATGGCTATTAGATTTGGGAACATCTAGTAGTAAAAATTATACTACTATCGGCGTACAAATCTGACAGGCTGGAGATATGGAGTAGTTATCTTTACTGTGTCTGGGCTCCATATATGATTTCACGACGGAGCCACTATATCGTTAGGTCCACTTGTTTCCCTCCCCCTTTCCATCTTATTACGGAGTAGTATGGAGATCACTCTCCAAATCAGCAGATAAGATTACTCGATTATAAACCGATGGTCATATTCATTAATAACAGTTACTCCATACAACCCACCAGAGGATGCGTGTAGCTTCCAATCCCCGCACTTGATAGATCCGAGGGTATACTTATATGGTTGGGGACCTCCCTACAATCAGACTCCAAGCAGATGTAATATGAGTAAGTCTGCGTATAACATACCGAAATGCCCATTATCAGGAAAATCTACTAGACAGGCCACTGCAACCTCATGGACCATGGTAGGTAGGGAATGGTTGTCTGTATCATTCGAGCTGCAGTTGCTATCACTGGTGTAGGCAAAGTTGCTACGGATGTATACTCCGCAGGTATATCATTACCTCTATGCACTGATGAACATTCTCGCAAGCTCCTACAACCGGAAATCCCCGGACTGAAGCAAGCGGACAGTTTCCGGGTCAACTCTGACGTATCCCTTTCCCTCTTTCGCGATCCAATACATCCGATCACCACTCTCCTGTGAAGGCGTGAACCCTTCTTTACGCAGGCCAACCTTCACCTTCTTCATGATTGCCGAAACCTGCTCTTTATCCAAACTCTGATTGGCGACCACTTCGGGGGTGGAATTGCCAAGGATTCTCAAGAAGCGAGGGATGGCATATGCCGGAATGCCATGGTCAGATTCAGCCATCCATTTCTCCAGGTCGGCGATCATGCTCTCGGCTCGAGGATGGGACCCAGCGTGAAGCTCTACCGCTGCACATCCCAATTGACCCTCGTAGCCGTACTGATTCATAGGGATTGCATAAACATTGACTCCGGCAATGTCGGGGTGGCGACTGAGGCAGTGTTCCACTTCCGTGGTTGAAATATTGTGGCCCTTCACGCGGTACGTGTCGCCAAGTCGGTCAGAAAATGTTATGTAACCATCCGAATCCTAAGCCACAGTTAGTTCCTGGGGGACAGCAGGACATATACAGGCAGAGGAAAGTCCCTTACCATCACCAGCGCATCCCCAAGCCGGAAGAACTCATCTCCTTTCTCAAACACATCTCGCAATGTCTTCTTTTCCGTAGCTTCGGTCCCACCCTCTCCAACATAATCATGCTTGCGCTGAATTGGCGGTCGAATCCGACATATTGCCTCTCCAGCTTCGCCGGGTGCTACCGGTATACAAAATCCCGTACTGGGATCGCGGACAACATTGCCTGTTGTGAAGTCTGTGCGAATAAGGTAGAACATATCCTGTCCGAAACGCCGCATCAAGGGACCCCAGCGGGCAACCTTGCCATTACCCGCATCGTTCCGCGTTGAGTTGACGAGCGAGACGGTAGACTCAGTAGCACTGTAGTACTCCACAATCCACTCGACGCCGAACCGAGCTCGGAATTCTTTCCATACCGTTGGGGCGAGGCCCAGGCCAAATGCCAAGGTCACATTATGGTCCTTTTCATCAACACCGCTCGGATCGGGTGGCGATTGAACTAGATAGCGGAGCATTTCGCCAATATACAAGATTGCATTGGCATTGAATTGGCGGCAGTCCTTCCAAAATTGCTGACGAGAGAACCGACGCGCCAGGATGATCGTCCCAAAAGTCATCAGGGTCGCCGGAAGGGCCGCAACTCTACCTCTTTGTTAGTCAAACGCCTTGGCCTTGATTTGGGGGCCTTACTGAGCTGTTCCATGAAACATAGGTAGGCAGATATAGAATCTCCGCGGTGTTTCAAACATGTCGGGCCACCGTCGGTAGTTGCTCAGCATCAAGCAAAACCCTGCTGGATAACAGACGGCTTTCGGCAAACCGGTTGTGCCGGAGGTAAACAGATACTGGACAGGCATTGTGATGCCGATCTTGGGTCGCGTTGACACAGGGAAGTCGTCGGTCTCAGCAGTGGCAGGCTGAAAGGTCTCATGAGACCAGTATGCCGCTCCCTCGGGCAAACTTGTCGGCGGCGACGGGTAAGTACCATAGTCATATAAAATGACACCAGGGCGATGGTCACCCTCGTTGTTTCCAGGCACATAGTAAGTATCTTGGATGACTGACCATAGCTCGGCAGAGCAAATGACAAACGAGGCATCGCACAGACGAGCACAATGACGGATGTGATCTGCCTTGAATTTCGTGTTGATGGGAGCTGGGATTGCACCCAACTTGAATAGCGCCCACCAAGCAAACAGAAACTCTGGTGAATTATTGATAAAGAGACACACCACCGTACGATTCTTGACTCCAGCCCGTGTTAACTGGTCAGCCATACGCCCGATCTCCCGGCGGAATTGATCATACGTCCAGCTGCGTCCCTCAAACTGCAACGCCTCGCGGCTGCCCACCGTCTTGCGAACCGCATGAGATGAATGCACAATATGGTAGAAGGACCAGTCATCCTCTCCGTGTTGACGCAGTAGATCCGCGGCAAACTGCTTGCCTTGTCTCGCACTTTTCATCTGCTGAAGGTCGCTAGTTATCGCATATTTGGCGTCGGCATACATCCCCATTGCCGTCAGGGCGGCTCCGCCCAAGGCCATTGTCGGTAGCCAATCCATTGCCATTCGTCCTGTGGTTTATTCTCTGAGTATAGACTTTGATCTGTACCTTTTGATCATCACCATCAACATATCGACGTGTGAATGGACACAATGCGGAGATATAGATTCGAGGATCGGGTATTCCATGTCCCCAATGCGGGGTTATGCCGAGGCTATTCTTCAGCATCAAGACAGGAGTTCAGTTTCTAACCTACGTGCTTCTCTGGGCCTATTCAGATTATTACGCGAATTTCTCTCTTCAGCGACGGGCTGCACTGGCCCACATCCCCCGGAGATTCCCCACCATCGATCAGTAAATCGCCGATACCAGCACTGCGGACAACCCCGGGATGTTGAACGCATGTATCATCTGTCACAAGAAGAAGGTAATATATCTGTGCCCAGTATCCAGGTTCCTCTGACAAATCTCCTCAGGTCAAATGCGACCTGGCCAAGCAACATCCGTGTTCCAATTGTGTCAAATCTGAAGCGGACTGCGTGTAAGCGATATTGCCCAGCCGTGCCGTCTGAAGTGAGACTCATGGCGCACTGACAAAAATCGAATAGCCGGTACAGGAGAAAGCGTAAAAGATACACAAATAGCCTGTCACCTAGAGACAGCAGTGCTGAGCTGCACACAACTCCAGTCCCGAACTCGGCTCAATGTCTCCCTCAAGCCGTTCCGCAGTCGTCCACAGCCCACAACGGCCCAGATAATCAAAATCCAGTTCAAACCTATCGTGCCCGTGACCGTTATCTCGGCCTTCATGTGCCTTTCAATGAGTCGATCATCACGCCCAATGCCTCAAAAGGGCGGGCCAGTCTTCCTGACATTGATGTCCAACTGCTCACCCAACAAGGAGCATACACACTGCCAACCCCAGAAGTTCAGGACGAACTGATGTCCATTTTTATGAAATTCGGCTATGTATGGACCCCTATCATCGATCCGGCTTGGTTATCCGGCCGTTCAAGATCACCACTGCTGTTACAGTCACTGTTTCTCGCAGCCAGCCGTATGGCAAAACGGCCAGCTCGTTATGCCTCAAGTGCCAACTTTTATCGTCGTGCCAAGCTACTCTTCTTTTTTGGCAACGAAAGGGATCCTCTCATCATGGTCTCCAGTGCCATTCTGCTGCACTGGTTCAACCCCGTTGGACCGGAGACCGTATCCACTGATACAAGTGGATTTTGGCTCCGAACGGCCGAATCTATCGCCTTTCAGATCGGCCTTCATAAAGAGCCATCGCCTCAGGAACGGCAAAAAGGGCTTCGTCGACGGCTGTGGTGGACGTTGGTGGTGAGTATTCGCATCACCTATGATCGTCGCTCATTTATTGACGACTAACATGGACGCGTAGCTGCGAGATTGCATTATTGCGGCTGGTGTTGGTCGGCCACGTACTATCAATCTGTCTGATAGCGACGTTCTCCCGCCGGCCTTGGGCGACTTTGAGGCTCCCGATATCAATGCACGGCTCTTCATTATCTATGTACAAATTTGTCAATTCCTTGGAGACATCGTTGAGCACTGTCTCCGGCGTCAACTCTTGCCGAATCATCAACGAGTACTAGAGAACGCGCTCTATCGCTGGGTCAAACAAGACCTCCCGTCCCTTGGGATGCACCAACCTTCTTCACTCGAAATACGACAAGTGATGGTCACGTACTTCGCCACCCTTGTGATCATTGACCGTACTCCAACCGCGGACGGTTTTCCCTCGGCTCGAGCTCTGATCGCCGCGTCATTCATCGTCGGAATATTCAGGGTCTTTTTAGAGCAAGAAGAGCTTTGTCGCCTAGGACCGGCGTTTACTTTCTACGCGCTATGCGCTGGTCTCGCCCTGATACCTGCGTATCGATTCCTTCCTCTGCGTCATGTTGCTAGCGAAGAAATGCTTGTGCTGAAAGCCTCCCTGCAGGTACTGTCTCAGCAATGGGGTTCGGCCTTTGGGTCCCTTCGGGCACTACAGAAGCTCACAGAGGATGCGTCGAAGCAGCCAATATTCGATACAGGCATTCCTCATTTGGCCGATGATGTTATTCCATTCTTCGAGGATTTTGACTCTAGCATGTGCAAACTATGGGATATGTTGCGCCGTGACAACGTATCCGGAGTTACGCCTGTCAACGCACAATTGACCATTCCGTCTGTGGCAGCACAGCAAAGATATTCCTCCTCCGGACTGTCAGTCCTTAATCAAGAGAGTCTTAGGATCCCAGGCGATGACTTGGATATGCTGAGTGGTAACTGGGAGGGGTTGGGTTTTGATTGGGGTGGCTCCTGGCTTTTGGAAAGTATGTGAAAATGACTTAAGTACATAGATATGAGCTATTGCAGTAGCTACCTAGGTACTGCCTCGAGAAGCTTCCAAGGTAAAGCTCCAGCTTTCGCAGCAAGTGCTGGACTCCTATTAGAACCTCATAGCTTTGTTCTTCGATCCTCCAAGGCGTAGAACTGCTGAAAATAATTCAGACACTCCTGGTTAGCGACTGTGTTGCTCACGGTTCCTGGAACTTCACCAGTGCAGATGACCTTCTTAACCAAGGTTTCGATCTTCTTGCCGTTCACTGTCATTGGGATTTCTGGAACCTCTATAACAAAACGAGGAACATGCCGGCTGCTGAGGCCTTGCCGGATCGCATCCTTCAAGCGCTGGGTGAGACTCGCAGAAAGTCTATGACCCCTCTGCATAACTATGAACAGGAACACGGACTCGTCTGTATCGACCAAAGGCCGGCGTCTCCCAACACATAGCGTATTCAATATGATTTGGTTGAAGGGGGTTGCTTCCACGATCGAGTAGATATCCGAGGAACCGAACCTGACCCCTTGTGGGTTGAGCACTCCATCGCTACTGTACCGTCAGAACTGATCCGCAACGTACTGAACAATTTCATACACACCTTCGCCCGTGTATCTGCCAGCCTTTTGTAATAGGATTGTAACTAGCCCAGTCATGCTGCGCCCAGCAATCAGGAAACAGATCGAAGTACGTATCCTTGTATCTCGCCATCTCCTTGTCTCCCCAGAAGAAGACAGGCATAGAGGGGAACGGGGCGCGGCAGACAAATTCCCCTTGCCTTCCAGTTTCCTTGATCGACTCTCCAGTGCTCGGATCGGCTACATCAACATCTTGTCCCAACATTGGAAGCTGGATTTCCCCTGGATACAAGGGACCAGCTGGGTCAGTGCCAATCCAGGATGTGACCAAATCAGTGCCTCCAGTGACGCTAGTCAAGTGGACAGATTTTGGAAAGGTGCGATAGAACCAATGGTACTGGTGGGCTGCCAGGTGAGATCCCCCGGTTTGTACCATTTTTAATGACGACAAGTCGACCTCTTGGCTAGGAATTGAACCAGTCATCTCCAGCTCCTGTAGGTATCGGGGAGATGTGCCCCAGTAGGTCACGCGGTGGTGTTCCAGTGTCTTTAACATGGCGTTAGGATTCGGCCACAAAGGAGATCCATCATACATGACCAAGGTTGGGCCAACAGACAGGTGCCCAACCATGATATTCCACAAAACCCATGAGGTGCTGCTGTATTGGAACACGACATCATTCTGGTTGAGAGAATTATGCAGGAGGGACACCTTTTTGTGTTGGACAATGACGGAATGGCTATGGACAAGACATTTTGGCTGCCCGGTCGTACCGCTGGTGTACAGGATGTAGAGCGGGTGGCTGTACGGCACTCTGGCAAAGTCCAAGGCATCCCCTGGTTTTGACTTGGACAAAAAGTCGTCAATGGTAGGAAATTCAAGCGGTTGGGGAGCGGACAATGGTATCACGATCACCACTGGTTTTTGTGGGAGGCGACGAACGATCTTGCGGATCTTGTCAACATTGGAATGAGTTTTGCCCTTGAACGTCGAAGCGCTGTCCGCAAAGAGAATCTTAGGAAGAATCTGTTCTAACCGGGAGACACAACCCTAGTGTTGTTAATCAGTATTCGTCAGCCGATACTTGGTATAAAACCCTCACCTCTTCGCCAATGTCGGGAGCAATGCTAGTCCAGATGGCTCCAATCGATGCCGTAGCCAGGAACAATACGACTGACCACACGCTTGTCGATATTATGGCGCCGACTCGCTGACCCTTTTCAACGCCGCTGCGTAACAGGGCACTCCGCAACTTCCTGACAATCTCAGCGAGATGTCTCCACGTCCAAACATCGCCGTCGAGTGACTCTTTCTCACGAATGCCAATAAGGGCGTTCTGGTTGGGATCCTTCCCGTGGAAAACATTCTCGGCGTAATTGACGACAGCCCCCTCGAAGAACTTGGGGATCGCGCTCATTGGAAGACCTGGATCATAGGCGCGCGTCATGGTAGTGGGCAATGCAGGAATGATGCCAGTGTATTGATGCAAATCTAGCCAAAACCCCTGCGGGTGTGTGATAGACCATTGATGGAGGTCGTGAGAAGAACGAAGGTTCACGCCAAATTTACGATTGACATGCTCGCGATAAATATTCATTGGAATCTGCTCAGCTGGAGTGCTTGGCTTCCATATAGGCTGTAGATGTTGCATCTTGCTTCGATGTTGTTGGTGCAGTAGGCTCGGGATATCAGACGGGTGCATGACCAAGTCGCCACGGAATACTGGGCAGATGGACCTTTTAAATTGGCAGTGCCTTTCAGTTCCTAGTCGGCATCATCTTTACACCCCACAAAAATCCAGCATTTCTCTATGCAGTACGTGCTTTCACGGCCCATGGCGGGGTTGTCGGAAGCTGGCGGTGGTTTTCGGTGATTTTGCGGCATCTACAAACGCGGGGGCTCCTATCTGTGGAGGTATAACAGGGGAATGAGGACCCAAACAGGGCATTTATTCCTGGCCCAAGGAAACCGATTTCAATGAACCAATATTAATTCTGCGTTGTGCTTTTTGCGACTCATCAATACAATGTCTAAGCTCACCCCTTCGTCCGCGGATGAGGGTTATTTCCTCTCTGTCCCTCCGCTTCCTAATCCGGCGGACTCAGATGCTGTCTTTCAGCGGATTCTCCAATGTTTGTACCTATACCAACGTCTGCTTGGCTGTTTGATACTAATCGAATACAGGGTATCTCCCTTCTGACGTCCTTTCCAAAGTCAGTCCAAGTCTCAGTCGGTTCGGCGCAGACGCAGTCTCAGAGCAAATCAATGGATGGATCGGAAATGCAGAGACCCAGCAACCATATGTCAAAGGACGGAATGTATGGGGTTCCAGATATGATCGGGACCGGCTCATCACCAGTGAGGGCTGGAAGCAGTTAGGCAAATGGGGTCTCCAAAACGGGTGAGAATTTTGCAGTTCACTATACCAGATATTTGCTCACGACGTCCAAGGGTTGTTGCCCACGGGTACGAAGATACTTTTGCTCAATACAGGAGGATTGTACAACATGCTTTGTCTGTTGCCCCTATGATGGGATGTACACCATGTCATATGTTAACGGTCTCACAGCAATTACATCTTTTCGGCTGCGTCGGCAACCTACTCCTGTCCCGTGTCGATGACCTCGGGAGCATGTCGGCTCGTTCGACACCATCTATCTGTTCCTTCGGATCATCCATTCCATTATCTCTACGCCAGGCTCACGTCTCGGGAAGACCCCTGGATCTCTGCGCAGTGGATGACAGAACGAGTTGGAGGAAGTGACGTCCGCAACAGCGAGACGATTGCTGTATACTCTCCTCTCCCCTCCAAGGAAGGAAGATTTGGGCGTATAGATCAGGGCGACTACCTTCTTTCCGGGTTCAAATTCTTCTCCAGTGCGACGGACTGCAATGTCGCTCTTATTTTGGCCAAAACGGAATCCAGCCAGCTCTCGCTGTTTGTTGCCCCGACAGTCAAAACAATTATTGGCGAGGATGGCAAGGAGAAAGAGGTCACCAATGGTATTCGGATCCACCGATTGAAGAATAAATTTGGCACGAAGGAACTTCCAACGGCCGAGCTGGAGTTGAAGGATGTTCGAGCACACATGATCGGACCCAAGGACCGCGGTATCGCAACAATTGCCCTCCTGCTGAACGTGACGCGAACTCATAACTTTATCACCGCACTATCTTGCCTGCGTCGGGCGATGGACATTGCCAAGGCTTTCGCTCGTTCGCGCAAGACTATAGATCAACCGTTGTGGACCTTCCCAATGCATTTACGCATGCTAGCTCAGCTAGAAGTGAAACACCGGGGTTGGATGCAGCTGGCATTCTTTACAACCTCGCTCCTGAGCTATGGCGACCACGGGTTCCCGGCCAACGTGTCAGATCACTATTCACTTCTCGCAAAGTCGCCAGAACTAACAACTCTCGTGCTTCGGGCATTGACCTCGACATCAAAGGCTGTGATCTGCAAATCGGCCACCTTGGCTTTCCAGGAATGCCAGGAAGCTATGGGAGGCGTGGGATACATGGGTACGTTAGTCCTATAACTAGTTGATCGTGTGGTTACTAATCCACCCCCAGACGAGCCGGAAGAACCAGAGTTCAATGTCAGTCGCTTGTGGAGGGATACCGCGAGTAACTCGGTATGGGAAGGCACCTCCAATGTCCTTGCAAGTGAGACTGTCAGACATCTGACCCGCGGTCACAATCTCGAGTCCTTTGGCACTTGGATACGCGATGTTATTGGAAGAGTGCGGCAGGACCCATACAGAAGCACGTTGATGGAAGCCTGGAAAACACTGTGTGCCAAGATGGATCCAACTCAAGTACCTGGCGGGCTGAAAACGGTCCTGGCAGATGGGCGGCAAATTATGTTCACCTTGGCTTGGATTATCAGCGGAGTCTTGCTGGCGCTTGACGCACAGAGAGACGAGGACTCCATTGCCCACGAGGTGGCGAGGCGGTGGATTCTCCAAGGTGAAGGCATGCCGGCCGAGTTCACCTTTCCTTCGATTGTTCATTCATACTGGCGTCTAGTCCCTCACAGCGTCCATCAAGCAGGTTTGGACAGAAGCGACTGGGACTGCCGGATTGTATGGGGGATTGGGCTTCCCGGTGATGCATCTGTAGGATATCGGGTGACGGCCAAGATTTAATTCACGAAGGAACGAGTTAGATGGTTAAGCAATGTATCTGACTTGATGACCAGCACCATCTCGTCAATGTTGTTTTGTGCCTTCAAAGATATATTTCTCGACGCTGTCTCCTTCCATGTTGGCAGTGGAGTATTCCCTTGCACCGAAACACTACTACACTGCCTAGATAACCTGTGAAAGATTTTACCCTATCATATCACATATCCCCTGCCAAGTGTACAAGTAGAGGCCTTGGGCAAGCGACCTTGTGCCTGGGCGTCCTTGGCCTTTTGTACCGCCGTTGGATGAAAGCCCTAACCGAAGTTCTCCCGTGAACTAGAAACTCCTCGGCACGAATGCGGGTCAGTTGCCGTCTTGGCACATAAGTACTCCGGTATGTCGATGAATCATGCACGATCAAAAGATGGCCAAGACATGATCGACTGGGCGAACCCAAGTGTAGATAACCATGATGGTGGCAGACAAGACCTTAATGGAACAACAAGAATATGTTTGAATCATGGAGGGACAGGTGTTACCTTCAGAAGTCCATCTCCCTTTCTCCCTGTCTCTCGGATTACGACCATGTATTTGTTAAGGCTGCGACATCGGTGCCGGCTTGTCCGTCCTGGCATAATCTAGGCAACGTGAGGAATGCCCGCCTCCACACCCTACAAGGGATAATCAATGTAAAGAGCTATCCCACACTGAAGCAACGTTCATTGAAGCAAAATCACTTCTCGGGCGCAAGATTCCCTTCTCGGGAGCCAAGGAAAGGGAAAAACCGTCTTCCACCTCGCCCTTCTATATAGACATTTCTCCCCGGAGTCGGTGCCTGCCACTCTCAACGGCAGACGACGCGATTGGTGGGACCACTGTGATGAACATATCGAATTTGCAAATGGATTCTAGATATCACCAGTCCATCGTCGAGAAACCCACTCGGCTCGGCATCGCGGCACAGTGGGCCTTTTCTTCTCGGCTGCCATCCAGCTGGGAGCTGTGTTCCCGCAGAATAACCGATTAAATGCCGTCCTGTTCATGCTGAGTAGGCATAAGATGATCCATCGTTCGCTGTGGTTCAATACAACGGAGTAATGCCACAAGCTATGTCCGGAGGAAGTGATTTCCGCCAAGTGCCGTAATGTCGATGGCGATGAGAAAACCTGGCTCGACGCGTAGGCCTTTTCATGGCTGATCGCATGGAGAGACCTCTCCATTTTCTTCGCGCCTTGTCGTCGACCAAAGGTGTTGCACCGCACTGGCAAGATGGTTGTCGACTATCTCCCCGAGTATGAGGTGGAGGAGCACCATTCCCCCCTTCAGGTCGCCATCCCTCCATTCGCTGGTCGAGTTGGAGGAAATCAAGACTTCATCGTGGATCGAAATGATCCTCGCAACACGAAGGTCTTGGAGAAAGTCCCAGACGCTGCACCGCATATGACTCTGGCTGAAGTGTTCGACTTTCGTGGTTTCCTCAGTGCGGACTTTTGGAAGTGGGCGATGCTCGAATGCGTAGGTGAGTATTAGCTGCTCTGCTGTGCCTTGTGCGATGCGGCTTGAAGACTGGACAGCTAATATCGGTGTAGCCAGCATGATGAATGTCTTCATCACGGCTTGGGTGACGACTCATCCCCCCGCTCCCGTCACGGCACCGAAGACAGAAGTGGGCATCTACCACACGTTGACCTTCTTCTCGCCGCTGTTCGGGGGCATCACGAACCTTTTGTTGACGCCACTGCTCATCTATACGTTCTCCCCGTCGAGTGGGGGCCACATCAGCCCAACCATCACCATGGCCACGTTCTTTGCCCGGATCATTTCCTTCCCTCGTATGATTCTTTATCTTGCTGGTCAAACGTTCGGGGGTGCGTTGGCCGGGCTTGCGTTGAACAGTGCGTATGGAACGCGGGAGTTCACCGTTGGGGGATGTTACATCGACACGGAGCTAGTGCCGGTCAAAGACGCGTTGATCATCGAGTTCATGGCGTGCTTGATCCTTATCTTTTTGGCCTTTGGGGTCGCGTTGGATCCGCGACAGGCCAAGATCTTTGGCCATGCAACGTCGCCGTGGTTTGTTGGCATTGTCCTTGGGATCGTCTCCTGGGGCACAGCCTGGACGCGTCCCGGATACATCGGTGCAAGTAAGTATAGCTCAAATTTGTATGGGCCCAACGATAAGCGGACATGAGGAATAATGTGTCCCTCCAGGCGTGAACCCCGCGAGATGTTTTGGGGTCTATGTGGCGTCGCATTTTCCAGGCTATCACTGGATCCACTGGGTGAGTTTGCTTGCATAGGCACTTGTCGATCGGAGAATCTATGGGCTAACAGACATTCGTAGATTGGACCGTTGGCCGCTGCTATCGCGCATGGCGTTGTGTATTTTATTGATCCGCTTTGGAAGGACCCCAGTAGTTCATCCTCCGACTCAGGACGGAGTTAGATGGATGTGACCTGTATGATATAGTTATTAGAGATGGCGAATGAATGGTTGCATTGCCACCTTCGTTTGGCTGACATATATGGACTTTCTTCTCATGAGTTTTTGAATATGGTTCAAAGGACAGCGAAACAGCATCGCAGGTCTGCGTTCGTTCTACTTATTGTCCACGGAAATGGGTCACTCAGTGTCGTCTTCGCATACCTCTTCCTCTGGGTAAGGTGCGAACTATCCTGCGCGGACGTGCGGATTGCAGGGTACAACGTACTAAAGCACACGTTCTTCGGAGTAAAGTTAGGGTTTTGATCGGGATTTGCGCCCCCTGCGAGCTGCACTGGAACCATCAGCCGTTCAATAAAGAAGACGGGAAATGTGCGCCGGGGTTGGTGTTCTAGACTGTTTAAATGTGATCTATCATCCCTCCTTGTCGAGTTTCCGGCCATCCTCGGTCTAATCCCGTAGGATGTTTCTCCGCCAAATCTCCGATTGGCACTAAATATGCAGTAAGTGGTTGCGTCCAAGAATCATGCTCACAGAATCTTGCAGGCTGAGGGAATGGCCAAAAACCCCTGTATGATATATTCGAGTCATTTCCTGCAATGCATCACAAACGCTACTCATGTACCACTATCGCATTGTCATTTTTCTTTGTCCTCGAATCAGCGTTACGCATGGGACTTTTGTTCAGTAGCCGCTTTTGATGACATAAAGGAAGATGTGTCGACACACTGATGATGAGAAAACCTTGTTCGAGATTTTTATATAGTAGACTGACGAGAAGTGGTATAATGTGCTTTTGTAAAAGAATACACCGAGAAAATAGATTGAAGTGAGAAAAAGAAATCACAATCCGCCTGCCCTATGAATGGTCCATGTAAATCACCGCATACTCCGTATTACCATCTACCACGACGTCCGTTCATTTGCAGCACCCGGTGCTGGGTGAGACTCATATTCCACCGTGACGTTATCCGTGCGACGAATTGTTCCGAGGGGGTGGCTGTTCTGGAGTTCATCGGACCGTAGAATGCTTTCCTGGCTGTCGACATTGGTGATGGCTAAATCGGACTTTCGGGGGGTTTTGGATGGCCTATCAAACGACGAATCCGGCAGATTGTGGCTTCCTTTGTATCGGTTACTGTAGGAACTTTTGGTGCGTTTTCCGGTGATCAATTCAAGGACAGGCTGGAGGGTGGGGATGCAAGAGGCAATAATGACAACGTCGGATTCAATGCTGAACACGCTGTTAGTGACGTTGAAAGCATTCGGGAAAGAGCGCTTACTTTGTCCACATCACAAGATCCGCAGTGCCGTCTAACATGGGTTAGCTATATTCCTCGATTTCTCAACGGGAGGCTTACAGGTGTAGTCCGATCTATCGGCGAGACCCTTCAGCTGCGTGCACTTGACAATGGCCATTGCAGATGCACTGGGAGACATTTTCTGTCAGCGACATTTCCATCTGGATCAGGTTTGGAACCTTGGACTCACATGGCACCCAGGCCCAGAGCTGCACACAAGGCAAGCCGCTTCCGTAGAGACATATGAAGTTTCATAAGGATAGTCGTAGGGTAGATTGCAAGACAAAGATCCACAAATGCCGAAATCGCTAAGAGCACCATCTTGTCAGTCACGTCTGGAGCCCATCAGGATACAGTCACATACCACCAGTGAAGATTGCGTAGTCGATAAGAATCCACACGTCTCGGCAAGTTGCCTCTCCCTTCGCTACCATACTCGTCTTCCACAGGCCCTCCGGGGGATCACACATGGTGAACAACACCAGGATACATATACAGGACACCGCCGCTGCCGTTCCCACAAGTATCCATAGAGCCACACGATGGACGAAGGGTGGGTTTAAGATCTTGGTCAACATGGCCGTCACCGCTAGCTTCGGAAGGGCAAAGGAGAGGATCCCGAACAAAAAGCTGACAGAGTTCAGTAAACTGGCCAGCTCGACCGTCTTCTCCTCCAAAACCCAGGCATGCTTTCCGTAGCCGATTAACACGTTTCCAGTGGTAATGCCACAGTATACTAAGCCTAGGAACTGCATGAACGTTAAGCCTGTGAATATCGACGTGCATCACTGGGAAGAACGTACCAACGATACACAAATCAAATAGTCGTCTGCACCGACGTTCCGCAGCAGGCAACTGCGGATGTACATGCGTGCCACAACGATAACCGTTGTGATGGCCGTCAAGGTCCAAAGCACGGCGAGAATCTTTGGACCCTTGTCATCGGTGGGTTTGCCATCATGGGCTGACATGGTGCGTGGGATTCGAATAGATGAAGAGAACAGAACTGGAGCGAGTTAAGGTAGTGGAGGGCCTGTCAACTCATCCAAGCCTTCAGGAATATTGCAGGAAACGACCCACGCAATATACTCGGGTCTCGAATCGACAAAGCGTTTGTCTTGCATCCCCCGGTTCGACAGGTCGTTCGAACTACTGGCACATGCAGCGCCGAAATGAGCGAACTGGGTCAATACTCCGTAGGAGGCTCAGGGGCAATAAGGCAGCAGCATGGCTTTCGCCTTCTCTCCCGTCCCTGCATTCACGGGTCGTCTGTCTTCATGGGAGTGGGCTCTTCAGCACAATCATTGCCACCTGCAGTTCTCTTCCCGTCTCAACAGACACGGCACGGCACAGGGGTCACTCCACTACTCGTGATAATAATAGCGGTCGACGCATAAATTCATGGCGAGCAAGGTCTCGCGTCGAGCGGACTGATCCTTGAGGAGGCGAGACTTGGGGGCCAACCGTTCTTGGTCAATCCTACGACAGGGATCGGCGGGCCCCGTCATTGACTAAGCGGCAGTGGTCAAAGGTCTTCCAGTCGGGTCATCGAACGCGAAGCAATGGCTTGAACAGGAAACCTCCGGCGTGCGGATTGTGGAGCCGGTTCGATCCGTCGCTTGATACTAGTCTTGAAACGGTGCGGGAGAGGTACGGAGTACAAGTACTGTGGACTGCACGACCGTTGTGGAACATATGGTCGCGGCGTCCCCACGATCTTGGGGGCGTCCTCGGCAAAGAGGCCCGATAATAGCTATTATTGAGTAGGTGCTTAGGTAGGTACTCTGCTACTCCGCTATATCAAGGAACAGGTATGGCCCGGGTTGGTTCAATTTACGCCTAAGTACTAAAAGTACTTAACAGACCCACAGTCGCTGCAGTGTCTGCCATAAAAGCATCAATAAGCGTTGTCCTGAAAAGTGTGGATGAAAAGAACAATAATAAGAGAAGAGCAATAATAATATAGCAAACTACCGGCGGGGATTAAACGGCACCTCACCGAGACGCCGCAGTCAACTTGCGTGGCGCTATACCACAGGTTGCCCGCCGTCAGCCGGTAGAGTTTACCAATCCTGCCGTCTCTTGCCCTATATCGGGCTAGCTGGTCTCCAAATACCTGTCATATACTCTGATCAGTGGAGGGGACGATAGACTCCATCCCGCCATGGCTAGGTCCTATCTTCGTACTCTTGCCCAAAAAGTCTAGAGCATGGCCGATCCGTATGAAGTTTCATTGCCGGTCATCATTGATATACTCTTTTGCGACAATTACATTAGGGGATTCCGAATCTTTGGGACCGGACGATTGTCTCCAAAGCCCTCGGTGGCCGGCTTCCCCCAGACCGCAGACACTGGTGGAGAGACAGTCTCCACCGATGCCATTCATCCTGTGAATCGCCGGAATGGCTGTTCGTCTTGGGCCAAAAACAATTAGGCACAATGGGAAAGACTCAGGGGCGGGAATGGGGGGAATGAGGCCAGGGGCTTTCTTTGGATACACATAATACCCTTATTAGCCCCAACCGCGGCACACATGCCTCTCAAGAATAAACACTGTAGATTTCTCCTTTTACTTGCCCCTCCAAAGCGATTGTCAAAATGGTCCATGTAAACGGCACAACTACCAGTGGTACCTCTAATGGTACCTCGAACGATGTCACTGCCGTTGTCACCCACGATGTTGACACCAGCAAACCCACCAACGGCCACGCCGAGTCCAGTAACCTTAAGGAAGCTTTTGTTGACGACGATGTGGCAATTTCTCCCAACGCGCCTGAAGAGGTCCCCGCTCTTCTGAAAAAGATTGCCTCCCATGGTGAAACGTTTACTTCCCAGAAAAGTGAGGATGTCCGTGCAGAATTGCTTGACACGGCGCGGTCTCTGGTGTATGCTCTGGAGACCCCTCGCGAGGCAATGATCCGATTCTGTTGGTCGCAGGTATAGTATTTGGTTCGAACTCGTTCAACCTGTGGCTAACTCCGTCATTAGAGTACGGTTTATGCGGCCCTCGAGACCTGCGTTGAACTGGGAGTGTTCACTGTCCTGTCCAAGGATGACCGACCCAAATCGTCCGACGAGCTCGCCGAAGCTACGGGGGCGGATCCTGTAATGCTTGGTAGGCTTGGACTGTTCTCCCTCTGCGTCCGTGTTCTAATTTATTACCTTAGCCCGGCTTCTCAAACATCTGTGCGCTATGGGGACAATCGCAGAAACCGGTCCAGACGAGTACCGCCGGACGGGCTTCTCGACCTCTCTGAGCTCACGGCGGTATAGCGATGCCTACCCATGCCTGTGAGTTTCCCTTATCTTCACTCCAATATATTGATCAGTGCTGATATGACATAGGACCGGATGTATCACGAACGGCGTCCAAGCCCTCCCAGCGCACCTCAAAAAGAACAACTACCGCAACCCCAGTGATGGCACCAACTGCGCCTTTCAACTCGGATTCAACACGACCCTTCACTTCTTCGACTTTCTGCGGGAAAACCCGGTCCACGCCGTGCAGTTCAATAACCATATGAGCGCCTATCACCAGGGACGACCGAGTTGGATGGATGTCGGCTTCTACCCAGTTCAGTCGCTGGTTGAGGGCACGGGCATTGGCGATGACGACGTTTTGATTGTAGATATGGGAGGTAGTATGGGACATGATCTGTCAGAGTTCCGCCGTAAATGGCCCGATGTCCCTGGCCGTCTGGTCTTGCAAGACCTTTCCGAGGTCATTGAACAGGCCAAGACAGTGGGACTGCACTCGTCAATTCAACCCATGGCCCATGACTTCTTCACAGAACAGCCCGTCAAAGGTACTTATGCTCCGCCCCCAGACGCCATATGAACATCAACTAACCGGTTGTATTAGGAGCTCGGGCTTACTATATGCACTCCGTCCTCCACGACTGGAACGATGACAACTGTCGCAAGATCCTGTCGAACATTGTCCCGGTCATGAAGCGTGGCTACAGCAAGATCTTGATCAACGAGAACGTCATTCCCAGCACCAACGCATACTGGGAAACCACCAGCTTGGATATTATCATGATGGCGGATTTCGCTTCGACGGAACGGACAGAAAAGCACTGGTATGCTCTGATTGAGTCTGCGGGTCTTAAGATCACGAAGATTTGGACCGTGCGTCGTGGAGTGGAGAGTCTGATCGAGTGCGAGCTGGCTTAGCATATTGGATGGACGGAGAGTGCTGATTTCTCTGGATTTATGAACGTGATCAAAGACACATTATCGACTATCATAGTTGTATTCTCCTATTTTGAATATTGCTGCCTAGATCCATGACAATGGGTAGGTTTAACCAAGATCCTTCTGATTCACTGGGGTTATCTCTGGAATTATGGCATGATCTCAGCTGCGACATGATCTCAACTGCGACACAGGCAGACAGCGTATGTAACCTATAGATTCAGCTGTGCGACCAAGAAATGATGCGCGATAGTTACAATTAAGATGCAGTAAGTGAAGCAATGCTTTATATTCGAATGATAATTACAGATAATTCAATGACTAGATAATAAAGCAGTATCGACTATCTCAAATTGCAAAGCCTACCATCCTGCCTTTTATCTATGTGAGAATGGGTGTTGTTGTGCGATTTCCCGATTTGGTAGGACAGCGGAGACACTCCAGATGGCCCGCTGATTGGCCCGGGGCGGAATGGACGAAAATGCAAGGAGCGCGAAAAGAACCCGTGCAGGAATGTAGACCAGTGCTACTTCTCACAGCTTGTACAGCTTAACCGTTGTCCCTCCCTCGTCTCCTTGGTAAACAAGAATTCAGGGCCACGTTCCTTTCGCCAAATGTGTTTTGCTGTGGGTATTCGCCCTTATCCCGCGTTCTCTCTCTCCCGTACACCAACACCGACGACGGAGAGCGCGGAAGAAAGCTATGAGATACAACCCGGAGATCCTCTCGATTCTCACAGGCGTCCTGGGCTTTCTGTTGACCTTCGTTAGTAGCTTTCCTGCAGCACGCAAGCTACACCAACGATGGGTCCACGAGACCCAGCCGATCCGCCTGGAGACCGCGTCTTCGCGGGGCAAACCACTCTACCAAGATGAAGATGGGGAGGCAACCGATCGTTCCGTACACCAATGCACGGATACCTGGCAGAAGTTGCTCATTGCCATTCTGTCCGTGACCGGTCTGGAGTTATCCCTGGCGTTGGCTATCGTGTCCTTGCAGTCCGCGTCAAGTCCGTTCGTGGTTCCCTTCTGGTTGGAGGCCGGAGGCTGGGTAAGTGATGGCAAGGAGTTGTCCATTGGTTAATTGCTGTTAACGCGACGACGATAGGTGATATTATGTCTTCAGTCCGTCGCCTTTTTCACCGAGCCGTCCATCGTGGACCGTCATATCCTCGGTATCTACGCGTTTGGAGCTAGTTCCGTCATGGCAATTGTCCCATGCATCCAGGTCAGCCTACTCTGGGGCGCAGGGTATACCATTTACATCGATCGTGCGTCAACAGGACTCTTTGTCAGCCAGACCGTCACTGCAGCTTTGCGAGCGGTTTGCTGTATCCTGATTCCCCGACGTCCCCACGTCTACCACGAAGGACAAATCGTTGATCAAGAGAGAACTGTTAGCTTGTACAGTCGGCTAACCTACGGATGGGCGAACGGGGTGCTTCGGCATGCAGCCCAGTCGAAATGCCTCGCAATCAACGATCTGCCGAAGTTGCCATTTGTCGCGCGTGCCGCCACTCTCCACACTCGATTCGAACAGATGCTTGGGTCACGGAAGCTATGGAAAGCACTGCTAATGGGTCATGTCAAGCCTCTGGCGGTCCAAGCCGGGCTCAGTCTAGCGACATGCCTCCTAGGGTTTGGTCCCCAGGTAGCAATGTACGGCATTCTCAAGTCCCTGGAAAATCGCTCTCTAGGATCCGGGGAGACAACGCCAACATATGTTTGGGTCATCGGACTTGGCGGAGTACTCATCTTGTGTCTTGGAATCGAGTCCTGGCTGTGGTGGATAATCTACTCGCAACTCTGGATCCCCATATATGAAGGTCTTACGGCCTTGGTGTTTGCCAAAGCAATGCGTTGTAAGGACGTTAAGCACGTGAAACAGTCGACTTCCGAGAAAGCACGAGACGACGAAGAGGATGAGGATGAGGAAGAGCGCAAGAGCCGTCAAAGCGTCATCAACCTCGCCTCCGTCGACTCCAAACGAATCGCCGACTTTGCCACCTTCAACTATTTAATCCCATCATGCATCCTTCGTCTGGTCCTTGCCGGAGCCTTTCTGCTCCATCTAGTCGGCTGGCGAAGCCTACTGGCTGGAGTCTCCATGCTACTTCTCCTCATGCCGGCCAACGCATGGTTAACCAGAAGATACGCAGCTGCTCAACAGGAACTCATGAAAGCTACCGATAAACGCAGCGCTGCGGTCACGGAGGTACTCCAGGGCATCAGACAGATCAAATTTGCAGCCCTCGAAAGACAATGGAAGGACTGTATCTTGGAAAGACGTCGTGTCGAATTGGGGTTGCTGTGGAAGACATCGCTCTACACAACGGGAATGGTGTCCGTATGGGTCCTCGGCCCCCTGATGCTCTCAGCAGCTTCCCTCACCGTTTATGCGCTACAGTATGGCGAACTGTCCGCTTCTGTCGCCTTCACTGCTCTCTCAGTCTTTGGAAACCTGGAGTCTGCAATGGCCAGTCTGCCAGACTTGCTGTCCAAGGGGATGGAGGCCAAAGTGAGCGCAGACCGCATTGACAAGTACCTTGCAACCACAGAAAAACAACCGCATACAACGGACACTAGCAGAATCTCCTTCGAAGATGCAGCTGTCGCCTGGCCTGCTGAAGAAGGGACGGCACTGGACCGCGAGTGGGAGACCGATGACCGCTTTGTTCTGCGGGATGTCACTCTGTCTTTCCCACCAAAGGGACTGAGCGTGATTGCTGGAAAGACGGGCTCCGGGAAGAGTCTTCTTCTCGCCTCCATTCTGGGAGAAGCTGATGTCCTGGGTGGGTCAGTCTCTGTTCCGCATGCACCTCCTCTTGATGAGCGATATGATCATCGCGCCACAAGGGAAAATTGGATTCTTGACTCGGCTGTCGCATACGTTTCACAGAACCCCTGGATGGAAAATGCCACCATCAGAGACAACATACTTTTCGGGCTCCCTTACAACTGGTCGCGCTACCGCAAAGTCGTATTCGCCTCGGGTTTAGAGAAAGATCTCAAGATGTTGCCGGACGGGGAGCTGACCGATATTGGTTCCAATGGCATCAACCTCAGCGGAGGCCAGCGATGGAGGATCTCTTTTGCAAGAGCCTTGTACTCGCGGGCTGGGATCCTGATCATGGATGACATCTTCAGTGCCTTGGATGCGGAGACAGGAAGGCATCTCTACGATAATGCTCTTACCGGTGAGCTAGGACAAGATCGAACGAGGATTCTTGTCACTCACCACGTCGGGCTATGTTTGCCTCGCACCGACTACTGCGTTCTTCTCGACAATGGCCGTATGACTCATGCTGGAACAGTCGAACAACTAACCAATACCCCGGAGCTGGCAGACCTGCTGCAGGGACTTAGTACGGAGATAGCGTCCCAAGATCGCAAAGTCGTGCAGGATGAAGTCCGATCCCGCCGGAAACGTTCCTCGGCGCCTTCGCCGACCACGGCAAACAACATACACATTCCGAAGAAGTTCACCCAGGCTGAAAAGAGGGAGACAGGATCGATATCAATCCGAGTCTATGCGGCCTATTTAAGCAGAGGGCGCAGTCTACCATCGTGGATCCTGACTTTCATCGCGTACGGGCTTTTCATGGCGCTTTTAGTGGGTCGGGTAAGTGATCTTTCGATCCTGAAATGTTCTTAGAGTACAAGCTGATCTCTTCAGTCGTGGTGGGTGAGCGTATGGACTTCACCCTCGAAGGAAGTGTCGGCTGTTTTGGATCGGCTTAACCAAACCTCGGTCGACCGCGACCTTATCTTCTATCTCAGCATCTATATCGTCCTTTCCCTCGCCGCTTGTATCCTTGGCTCCCTGCGGTATCTGGCGATCTCCCTGGCATCCCTGCAGTCATCACGACAAATGTTTGAAGATCTACTGGGAAGAGTGCTGCATGCACCGTTGCGTTGGCTAGACACCGTACCGCTCGGCCGCGTTCTCAACCGCTTCACATCCGACGTTTACATTCTAGACTGGCGGCTGGGTTATGACATGGGCCACTTTCTATACAAATTTCTTGAGCTAGCCGGAATCCTCGTTGCTGGAGTGCTGGTTTCGCCTGTCATTCTCATTTTCGGTCTAGTGTTGATTGCACTGTGCTACCATATTGCCCGGTTATTTCTGGCAGGCGTACGAGAAGTCAAGCGACTGGAAAGCATCTCCAAAAGCCCGGTCATGGAGCAATTCGGCACCAGCCTAGCGGGACTCATGACAATCCGTGCCTTCAACAAGATCGACGTTTACATCCGACAAATGTACGCCCGCATCGACCGCCATGCTCAGACGGCATGGTATCTCTGGCTCTTTAATCGTTGGCTTGCTCTGCGGATGAGCATTGTCGGTGCGCTCTTTTCCACCGGAACCGCAGCCTTGGTTGTCTATTCCCCAGGGATGTCTGCTGCCTTGGCGGGCTTTGCGGTCACCTTTGCTTTGCAATACAACTACGCCGTTTCCATGGGGTTGCGTTTCTACGCTGATCTGGAAATGGACATGACCGCGACGGAGCGCGTTCTCGAGTACTCCAACATCGAGATTGAAGATCAGGATGGCTATGAGCCTCCGGCCGCATGGCCCCTGCGCGGACGAGTGGAAGTGGAAGACCTCGTCGTGGGCTATGCGCCGGATCTTCCGCCGGTCTTGAACGGGCTCAGCTTTACTTTGGAGCACAACCAACGCGTCGGTGTGGTGGGCCGCACTGGCGCTGGGAAATCTTCGCTGACGCTGACCTTGTTCCGCTTTCTCGAAGCGCGCGCGGGCCGTATCGTCGTGGACGGACTCGATGTGTCGAAGATGAATCTACAGGCCCTGCGCAGCCGCCTAGCCATCATCCCGCAAGACCCGGTCCTGTTCTCCGGCACGGTCCGCTCCAATCTCGATCCGTTCCATGAGTATACCGATCTCGAGCTCTACAACGCACTGGAACGCGTCCATCTTTTGTCTTTCGAGGATACGCTTACCCTCGGTTCGCAATCGAGTCATGAGCCGCTCAGCGGCAGCGATACTCTGGCCTCATCGGCATCGTCCACCGCTGGCCCGGCAAAGCTGCCCGGTTTCTTTTCCTCTTTGTCGTCGCCTATCTCTGAAGGCGGGCTCAACCTGAGCCAGGGCCAACGCCAGCTTTTATGCCTCGCGCGTGCCATTGTGACGCACCCGAAGATCATGATTCTCGATGAGGCCACGTCAGCGGTCGATATGGAGACGGATGCTCTGATTCAGCGCTCCATCCGTGCTGAATTTGGCCGCAACGCTTCCTCGTTGCTAGTCATCGCGCATCGCCTCAGCACCATAGCCGACTTTGACCGCATCCTCGTCATGGATGCCGGTCGTGCGGTGGAGTTTGGGACCCCGCAGGATCTAATGCGTATCCCAGGCGGCGTTTTCCGAAACCTGGTTGAGAACAGTGGCGAAAAGAGTGTAGTGGAGGAGATGATCTTTGGCGCCCGACAGTGATCACTGTGATTATTCGATTGTATAATATCTGTCTGTATATATGGCGTGTGATATCTGATTTGCGTTGGTCCGAGTTCTCCTAGTTAATGATGTTGTATCATATTTCAATAATATCCAGACTGTTGCATTCTAAGCCATAACCAATTTCCATATCAATTTCATGTCTTATATTCATTATTCCTGAAATCCATAACCAAAAGACTCTAGGTCGTCTGCAAACACATGATTATGCATATGAAGTAACGGCGAATTGCCGCAACGGAAAGCTTGCCGGCGCCCGCCCGCACTTCATGCCGTCCATCACAGAGCGAAGCATATTTAGATGGTTCATTAGCACGCTCTCACGATTATCTCACCATACTCTTCAAAAGCCACCCGACATCATTCTCAAGCATCTCATACAAGACCTCCAAAATGACCTCCATTGAACTTCACGGAAGAACGTACCGACTGCCCCGTCATCCGACGGTCGTTGTCTGTGTCGATGGATTTGATCCCGAATATCTCCAAGCCGGCTGCGAGGATGGCATCTTGCCCACTCTTTCCTCCTTCATCCAGACCGGTTTCCATCGGACTGCAAATTGCGCAATGCCCTCATTGACCAACCCCAACAATCTCTCCATCATCACCGGGGTGCCGACCAAGGTGCACGGCGTGTCGGGGAACTACTATCTCGATAAAACCACTGGCCAAGAGCACATGGTGCTGGACGATTCGCTGGTCCACGGGTCTACCATTCTCGAACAGATGGCTAACGCCGGGGTCCGCGTGGCGGCTATCACGGCCAAAGATAAACTACGGCGCATCATCAACCGCGGCCTGTCACCTGCGAATGGTGCTATTTGCTTTTCGGCTCAGTGCGCTGCAGAATGTACATTGCAAGAGCACGGCATTGCAGACGTCGAGGAGTGGCTGGGCCTGCCATCCCCACCGCAGTACTCGGGCGAACTGTCTCTCTTCGTTCTAGAGGCGGGCCTGAAGCTCCTCCAGGAACGTCGTGCGGATCTCTTCTACCTGACTCTGTCGGATTATATCCAGCACAAGCATGCGCCGCGTTCTACGGAGTCGGACGAGTTCATGCGGAAAGTCGATGGGTATCTGGGGGAATATGTGAAGTTGGGTGCTGTGGTCGCAGTGACAGGGGATCACGGTATGAGTGACAAGTCCGATGCGAATGGGAAGCCCAATGTTCTATTTCTAGAGGACTTCCTCAATCACAAGTGGCCTCAGAGCGGTGCACGGGTTATCTGTCCCATTGCAGATCCATTTGTCAAGCACCACGGTGCCCTCGGTGGTTTCGTTCGGGTTCATCTGAAGGACTGCTCCGACGTTGAAGATATGGTGGCAGCATGTCGCGAACTACCCGAGGTTGAGCTCGCCATGCTGGGGGAAGAGGCTGCGGCTATGTTTGACATGCCGGCTGACAGAGAGGGCGATCTGGTCGTGATTTCCAAGGAGCAGTTTGCCATTGGAAGCAGGGCAGATGAGCATGATCTGACTCAGCTGCAGGGCCATCGTCTCAGAACACATGGAGGCCTATCCGAAAGGGCCATTCCACTGCTGAGGTCCACGCCAGTCCAGATGGACGATGTGGGACAGCGGCAGTGGAGGAACTTTGACGTATTCGATCTCGCCCTCAATTATTAGGTAACATTTAGTCGTCCACAATCAGAAGCTTGTGCAGTCATATGAGTCTCCAAATAATCCCAATTTCATACCATCATTCGTAAACGAATCGAAATCGAAGTCGGCGAAAAAATCGTCATGATTGGTATCGCTCTCATCCGAACTCAACTGCCCTAAACTTCCTGCAATACTCAGGAACGGGTGCGTCGAGTGCTCTAGTGCCAACGAGCTCTGAAGCCGACTGGCTAATTGACGTAAAAGACCACGAACTTCATTCGTGTTCATGTTGCTGATGACCGGTTGGTATGACGAGAGTCTAACGAGGCAAACAGATGCGAATGCAGTCATCGTCCCAAAATACAGCGGCAGTCTTTCCAGCCATGAACTTGGCTCAGACTCGTTGCCTACAATGCATCGGACGATGGAAAGGGCACTTTCCAAAGCACGTTGGGCAAAAGTGCTCACTCCCTGTTCAAACCCGGTCGATAGATTTTCACCCTCAGCCGGCCCACGGAAAACATGAGAGAAAAGGTACAGCCTCGCAGAATGGGTGTAAAGCTGAAACATCTTCTTGGGTAAATGATGTGCCTTGTCATCGTCAAATGAAAAAAGGTCTAGCCATTCGTCATACCACTGATCATATGCGTCGCTCAAACGCTCCAATTCTGCCGAGCGGTGGCTGGCAATCGGGTTCTCGATATCTGCCCCAAATACGTCAAAGACGCGGCTACTAATAGACCACAGCTCAATTTGGCTGATGAGCTTCCGATCCGCCTGAGTTGAGTATTTGCTTTGCAGAAAGTCGCGGGGGTTCTTCAATGAATGAAAGTCCCGTGTGAGCGGCGGTCGTCCGTGGCTCAAGGAGCAGTGGTGATCACAGAGATAAAGCAGATAATATAGTCGTGTTCGGTCGTAACACCCCCGTTTATCGTGGGGCATTTTAGTAATGCATCGGTGGAGGTCCAGCTCAGTGCCAATGCGGACGGCTTCTGACGTTAGACAGAGCATGTCGAGAGGAATTTCAAGAACCTACCTAAACCATTCAGCGCCGATGAGATCTCGTTGAGCCAAAAAGCCCCAATACACAAGGCCCGGACGTCGTCGAACGTATAGCGAGGAGAAAACATCTTGCCCGACACCTCGTTTGTCAACGCATCGAAGCAGCTTTGGTAATGCTTCGATCCGGTGCAGAAGGCGGCCACCGTACAGACTGCAGCTGTAAGAAGAGAGGAGCGTGAACGCGTGGTAGCTAACGTGTCAGCTGCAGCAAGTACATGGTAGATGCAGGGGTCTAGCTTTTGCTGGTAAAAATTGAAGAACGTTTCGGCTGTATCGTATGAGATGACCTCGCGTGAGATCAGGTCCGGGTGGCCAGGTGTGCTTCGGTTAGCACTGAGAGTTAGGTTCAAGATTGAAGATGCTGGGAAAGCTCCAAGGCTACAGGATAGATTCAGAGTGACCATGTTTGGAGTTGCTGATGGAGGAGAGGCCGAGTGCTCTTGAGGCACGCTTATTGCTGACGGTCCGAAATTCGATATGATCCGTTGGGGACGAGACGACTCAATGAGAGCCTGTTCTAGTTTCTCGATTCGAGCTTCCATTATTTCCTTCCATCTGAACTTCGTCAGGATGGTTGGTACTGCTCCGGGAAGCTGACATACGATGCGTCGCTCTCCAACAGCATTTGCAGACTCTTGTTGACCGTACATGTCAGACCTCGTGCTTTACACCGACTACACGGCGGCTTATTGTCATTCATATGACACTTAGTCTGCAGGAGTCAATAACGCTGTCGGTCTGAGTCGAACACAGCACAGGGCTTGACCTTGAGTTTCCGACATGCCACACAAGCAGTGATCTTGCGAGAGATCTCGGGGATCTTCCTATCGCCAAACGATTCCCGCAGAGACAAAGCTGCTGATGGAGGCATGGTGCAAGAAATCGGCTAAAAGATAGTTAGGATCATATCAGACGAGTGAGAAAGACGACAAAGATCAGGGACAACAGAGGAACACGTGGAAATGGCTGAGTCATCTCCTCCACATTTTCCCACGATTTCCATATTTATGCCAACTCTGCGTCCTCTCCGACTCACCCTCTCCCAGCCATGTCCTCTTCGCTCCTCATCTCCCCAGTGGAGTTCCATGCTGCAAGGGAGACGTCCTCCCGCCGAATTGTCCCTGTGGCAGCCGGACGAGCGGAGTTGCTGGCATCCTACCAGCAGGAACACATACCGGGATCCATGTACGCCTCCCCGCTGGATTGTATGTTCATTTCACTGACTGCGACAGATTCTTCAATATGGACGCCATCGCGGATACCGCTTCGCCGTATCCGCAGATGCTCCCGACAGCCGCCCACTTTGCAAAATGCATGGGCGAGCTGGGAGTCCGCGCAGACGATGTCTTGGTCGTCTACGACACAGCCGACGTGGGCATGTACAGCGCTCCGCGCGTGGCCTGGGCCTGTCGCTTCTTCGGACACGAGTCCGTGCAGGTGCTGAACAATTTCCGGCTGTACGTGCAACAGGGGTATCCCGTTTCCCATGGGGAGCTGGCTTCTGTCCCTGGCCCCACGGTGTACCCTGTGCGGGAGCCTGCCAAGGAGCAAGTCGTTGATTTCGACGAGTTGAAGGACATCATCCTCCATAGGGGCATGGAGTATCAGATCGTGGATGCCCGGATTCCCGGCCGGTTTTCCGGCGTCCAGGCGGAAGCGGACCCTTCGTTGCGGTCCGGTCATATGCCTTCTGCGATCAACATACCGCTGGCGGCGATGTTGGACGCGACGACGAAGACTTTCTTGCCGTTATCGGAGCTGAAAGACTTGTTCGGCTCTGCGGGGGTCCACGACCAGAGGCCATTCATATTGACATGCAATTCTGGGGTCACGGCTGCCGCGTTGGATCTGGCCCTACAGGAGACGGGATTTCGCATGCCTCGCCGGATCTACGATGGGAGCTGGATGGAGTGGACCCGCAGGGCGAGTCCAGAGTTGGTCACCACTGACGGTGTCTGATTGTCTATAAAGTTGTATATACTCTATCATAGATGTACATATTGTAACTGCACCTGCATCGCTATTGTATCCATCGCCCCATCCACTGGCGATTAAGCTGTTTAGCTTCCTCCACCAACCCCAGGTCCAACAACAGCTGCACGCTGCCTCGAACCGCAGAGTGCAGCGAACTGCTCACCCACGCATGCGTCGGTGCCGTATGCTCTCCGATGAAGATGGTGTTATGCTCCGTCCGGTGGTACGCAGGGATGTACAGCCGGTGCTGCTCGACGTCGGGGCGACACCACGAGGTCGCCGTGTGCTCGTCCTGCAGCCAGCACAATCTCTCGTAGTCTCCGGTGTAAAGGTCCCTCGCCTGCTCACCGTGCAACGCAACGACTGCATCTAGTACCGTTTGCACGTGCTCCTCCTCCGAGAAGCTGACGAACCTGTCACTCCAGTCTCCGCCACGGTAGTGCATAATCAGACCCGGTCGCGATTCATTGAGCCCGTAGACTGGGTAGTACAGCGCCCCAACAGCATCACTAGGGGGCGTCGACTTTCCACCAAAAATAGGCTTGTCGCCCTTTTCCCAGAACCGCTCCGAGAACAAGAGAGCAACCTTGCAGGCGGACTTGAAACGCAGACCGGCCTCGCTAATCGCGCGGTCCAACACGGAGGAAAATTTCGGGAGGTCCATGAACCGCGTCATGGTGAAAGGCACCGCCATGATCGTATAGTCGTAGTCCTTGCTTTCGTAGGTGCGGTTCGCGACCGAGGGATACCACGACAGGCGAGTGTACGTGCGGCCGTCGTCCCGGGAGAAGGACTCCAGCTTGCGAACTTTGCGCTGCAGCGTCAGACGATCCCGCACATGAGGCAGGAATGCATCCGACAACCGGTTGAATCCGCGATCGATGCAGGTCCATTCCGTCTTGCCCAGCGACCCGGGGCTCCCGTCTAACTCGAGATTCGAGTTGTGGTGCAGCTCGTCCCAGAACACGTCGTAATCACTGGCGGTCCAGATGGCGTCGGTGACGTTCTCGCTGGCGTGGAACACATGGCGCATCATGGCCTGCTCGCTCCAGTCGTCGAGACCCTGGTCCATAGCCTCGCGGTGGGCGCGCCAGACGTCACGCTGGAGGGACTTAAGCTTCTCCTTGCGCATGAGGATGGCGTCCATGCGACGTTCCGTGCGGTCGTATTCTTCCCCAGACACAGCGGCCGGCTCCTCCAGACTGCTGTCTTGTTCGATGTCGGCGCGCGTGGGGATGCGTCCATCGGGGAGACGGCGGGTGCCCAGGGCGAGGAGCTCGTTGGGGTGGTGCTGAATCCAGGGGATGAAATCGATCCGCCATTGGGAGTCGTTACGGTTCATCTGGTTCAGGAGCTCTGCCAGCTGAAACACCATGGCATGGTCGGTGTACTCGACGACGTCGCCGTCGGTGTAGTGCGCTCGCACGGGCAGACGCATGGGACCCATCTCGGCCCATTCCTGCGTGCCCCCGACGAATTTGGTGCGGAACCGGCCGCCGATGCGATCGCTGGCTTCGATGATCTCCCAGTTGTGCACGCCGACGCTGTCGAGCATCAGCGCGGTGGCTAGACCGGATATTCCTCCACCGACAATCGCCACCGAGGTGTTTTTCGCAGCTGCACGGGCTGTAGCGTTCATAGAGGTCGCATTGATGGCGTTGACCCCGTCGAACCAGGCACCGAGGGCATCGAAATCATGCAGCTTGGGAGTGGTCGCCGTGGCCAGGGCAAACCCCAGCGGGAGGAGAGACAAGGGCTTCATGTTTGGGGTGCAGCATCACGACGAGAATTTCGCACTAGATATACTCCGTGAAGAGCAGGGACCTTGGTGGAGGCGGACCTTGGAAGTTTTCTTGCGCAGTGGTTGTCTTTGGTGTCCTGTGTCGATCCTCATGTAGACGTCCGCAAGGTACCAGTAGTTCATAAAGGCGACGGCAGATGGAGACATCCCGGTACACCCACGCAAATGTCCGTAATATTCACCCAACCCTCGTTGTTCCTTCACTCAAGCCCTCTTCGAGTTCCACAGAGCCTTTGCGGTGGTAGCGTCATCCCCGGTCCGATACATTCCAGCCACGACATGATCAAGCGCAATGGGTAAGATCGTCGAATATGTAAACAAACGAGGGAGACGTGGGAGGGATCGGCATCTTCACGAATTTCTGTCTGAAGGTATCGTGAGGTTAGAATGGACTATCCGCCAAAGATAGAGAACTCACTTCAATACCAGCTTCTATAATCCATGTCTTACGCGGTATGGGAAAGCCGGGTTTCAAATTAAAAATCGAATCATTCATTGCAAAGTGGATATCTATGAACAGGTTTGGAATAAGACACAAAAGAAATTAAAGAAAAGAATACATCCCATCAGACACCATCACGGATGAAATTAGAAATGGGGGGCATTCAAGGCCATCAGGCAGATCAAGCCGGAAATCAATGCAGCACAGGGAAGAGTCAACACCCAACCAGAGAAAATGTACAGCAGCTGCATCCAGTTGACGGCCTTCAGGTCATAGTTCATCAGCGCAACACCCATCGCGGCACCAGTCAGGCACTGGGTGGTCGAGACGGGTAGACCCAGGCGCGAGGCGAGCAGAACCGTGATGGCCGCGCCCAACTCTGTGGCAAAGCCACGGGTGGGCGACATCTGGGTGATCTTGTTTCCGAGGGAGCGCAGCACGTGGTAACCGTAGAACCAGAAGCCAGCACCGAGCAGCAGACCCGCAATGACCAGGAACCATACGGGAGTATCGGCCTTGGTGTTGACGGCACCAGACTTGTAGGTCGCATAGGAACCAGCCCAGGGACCGACGGCGTTGGCGACATCGTTGGAACCGTGCGCGATCGACATCATCATGGCGGAGACCACTTGGCAGTAGGTCCAGAGATGCTCGACGCGGACGTCATAGCGGCGGGCACGAGAGTGGATGTCACGGAGCTTTTCCGAGTCGTGGGAGATGACATCGCGCGTGACACCCTGGAGCAGGATGAACTTGGTCCAGCCCCAGTACTTCATAGGGTGGAACCAGGAGAGGTCCTTGACCGGGTCGAGGAAACGCTCCTCCGGCTGGACGATGCGCTTGCGGGGCTTGATTTCGGGGCTCGACTGGACCGAATCGGCGATGCGCTCGAGATCCGTGGGCTCTTTGCTGTCGTGAGGGAGTTCGGGCGACGGGTTCTTCTCCGCAGCGCCCTCGCCGGCGCGGACCTCCCCAAAGGCGTCTTCGTAGTAGTTGGTCACGACCGTTTCTCCCTTTGCGGGGAAGTAGATCGGGCAGTTCTCCTTCAGGAGCCAGGGGCCCAAGGGGAGGTGGTAGAAGCGGATCCGGCTGTCCTGCATGATAAGGCGGCGGCGGAAGTAGGGCATGAAAAAGACGACCGAGATGAGGAGACATCCACCGAAGACACCCAGGATGATACCGGCGGCCTTTCCGGCTCCAAACTCTTCCAGAGAGGGCGCGGTTGGGGCCTCAACGACGATGAAGAGGGCGAGAATGGCACCGGTGACGGAAAGATAGACGGGAATGAGGCGCATGGCCCATTTGAACGGGTCCTTGCGCTCCAAAACCGAGTACTTGAGAATGCCGAAGATGAGGGCCGAGAAGCAGGCGGCAATACCGGGAGCGATTCCCCAAGAGGCGGCGGTTTGGGAAACACTGCCCTTTTTCCAGGCCCAAGTGATGTCTGCCTGAGAGGCGAAACCAACACCAATGAGGGCACCGACGACGGTCTGCGTCGTCGACACGGGCATTCCCTTGCTGGTGGCGAACATCAACCAGAAGGCACTGCCGACCTCGGCACATCCCATGGCCAGCATGAAAGTGCCGGGCTTCCCCATAAAGCGATCGGGGGTGATGATGCTGGACTTGATGGTACTGGTGACACGGTCTCCCAGGGCCACCGCACCGACGAACTCGGTGATGACGGCCAGGATACCCGCCTGCCAGACGGTCAAGGTGCGAGCCGCAACCGAGGTGGCATACGAGTTGGACACATCGTTGGCACCGTTTCCGAAGGCACTGAAGACAAAGGCGATCGAGGTGATGGCCAGGATCCAGTCATACTTGGCGGTGATTTCGGGAATCATGGTGGGCAAAGATCCAGGCAGCCTGACGTGCTCGAGAGCACGAGAGAGGCGAAGAGAAGGGGAGGGTTGATGACAGGAGGTCAGAGATGAGCCAGGAGAGTCGGGATGGAAAGGAGAGATGAGAGCGGATGGGAGGGAGGTTAAGTACCTAGACCATAGCCGTGCGACTGATGGTCGAAATGCTCTGGGTGGTGTTGTCCTCCGTACATGCTCGTGTGCTTCGAAAATGGCGATATTCCGCCAAGTCGGCCACACGAACGTGAGAGCAGTCCCCGTCTCCATTGGTTCCGCCCGGGAGAGCGGACTTGGCGCCCAGTCCGCCAAGGCCGTGAGATGTGCCAATCACGACGGACAATTCAGCACGTTCCTGACGGACTGGTGAATGCTGGAGAGAGAAACCAACTGCCAGCCGGTTAAGGTAACTTGGCGCGTGCTTGGCTCTGGCCCTCGTTAGGGTTTTTCTCCGGCACGTGGGGTTGGTCCCTTTCACCATCTGGACGAAGCAGCAGACTTTCTTTTGCTGCGTGGCAGTGCTCTGATCTGATGGCCACCGGTGGATACGAAGAGGGTCTTGCCATGGGGGTTTAATTGTGGTGTGACTGTGGTCCAACCGTGGTGGTGGTTGGTTTGACGGTCGACTGAACGAGGCCTTCGGTGGCGTCTTACCTAATGTGCCTTCTTTGCCTTCACAACCTCATGAATCATAGATTGATGAGCGATGATGAGAATTTTTCTAATAATGCCTAGAGGTGCTTGCCCAACCACGCCCGGTCTGTACGCCCACGTTCGTTTCCTGAACCGGGAAGGGTGAGATTGGTATATTGGTTTGAACGCACGTGCCCTGCTAACATGCGCGAATTGCCGTGCACGCGTCAAACGGATTCTCAATCTCATACATGAAGCGATCCGCTCCTTGGAGAAAGCTCCGCCGATAGTTGGGGCACCGCCGACTGGTGAGCAGCCAGCCGCGACAGGAGACATCCAACGAGTACCGGTAGAAGTTGCGGTTCCCCCGCATATCGGGGGTTTTCTGGATCATCGCATCGATCGCACGTGCATAGCTGATGCAGTCTGCACAGAATGCCTCCCGATCCCGTGCCTCGGGAGGTAAGCGATGGGAGTAGAGGACGAGGCCTTGAGGGTAGTTAGTGCCTAGGTAATATGCGGTGGAGGTAAAGGGGAAAGGCTGGAATGTGGGGGAACGGACTACAGACGAAGAGGACGAAGCAGCCAGTGACGATGGCGACGGAAAGTCGGGAAGGTTTTATGAGTTTCATGACTGTGAGAACCAGTGGAAGAAGAATAGTACAAGTTTGGTCTCTATTGACGGTGATATTATTCGATATCGGGTCAGCAGAAACAAATAATTAATGAACTCTGGAGCCTAGGGGATGCTGAGTCAGCTCAGTATAACCTCGGCATAAATGTCTTCTACAACATCCATCAAGAGGTAGCCCTGGTAGGATCATTCAATCAGAAAAAGTATTTCGATCAATCCATTGCACTGTATGCTCGGTCCCTGATGAGACGCGGATCCCATCCTCCATTCCAAGAAGCCCAATGGTATGCAGTCTAGGGCGGCGAGTGTGCAAAACGCCCACAATATATATCACCACTATGCCACGTCTATTCATGATATGCTTCACATAGTATAATTAGAGCTCCGGCTAATAGGTATCGCCCTGTACAGATAGAAGTGATTACGTCGCATCCAATATCTCCCGCAATTCATCCGAGAGAGGATATACACGCTCCTCTGGAAGACAGGCTTTGGCTTCTTCAACCATCCCATCCGCCACGTATTGTGCGACCTGCTTCATCGTCTGGGTCACGTCCGTGATGGAAACAATCCAATCATCGATATATCGATCCACCGACTCACGACCCAATCCCACCTGAATCGCCCGATACCCCAGCGGGCGAAACGATAGGTCTCGCTCAGGGTCCCATTGCACCCGAACCGGCCTAGACTGGAGCTTCTGCTGCCATTCTTCCTGCTTTGTTGCTGCCGCATGACTGAGACAGGAGTGTCGCAGGGCCCATTCAAACCCTTCGCGGGTGATCTCAACGGCCAACACGCGCTCCTGGTTGGGCTTCGACGCCCAGCCGCACCGGTAGGCCATCCACAGGAAGGAAGGTTTGATCCAAGTCATCCGCTGTCGACGGAAGGGCGACACAAATCTTTGCGCGCGGATAGCTGCATCCGCGATTTCGGGCGAGTACGCCTGGTATACGGTGATGGTGGTGGGAGTGTATTTGGCTCGGATCACGCGATAACCGTGGGCATGGTGCACAGTCGAGGCATGTGAGCCCTCCATAGTTCGTCTGATGCGTAGTGTTCCTGGATAGGCGTATGAGCCAACTTGAAAGTAACAAAATCAAGAGATGGAAGTTTCTGCGCTTCCAATGAACAAAGAAAACAAGTGGGTGCCACAGTAATTCAATTTGTGAAACCTGGGGCAGCAGAACAGACCTCGTTCTTATACAGTGTCCCGAGCACAGCCTCCAGGAATTCAATGACTCAATATCTCAACAATGTCATGAGAATTGAGACTAGCCACGACGGATCTCCCGGCTAAGCCTCGATTCTCGTATTCTCCCGTCGTCTGTGCGATCTAGGCGAGTCTCGCTTGTCGATTTTATGGCCTGTGCAGACGATGGACCCTGTTCAACAAAGCAATGCATGCACCCGACGCTTCAATGCTTAGCCAAGGTAGCCCGCACATTGCCAGGTATCTCCGTTCTAGTCGTGACTGAATCTACCTAACGAATGGACAGGCTGTTTCAGATATCCCAGCACTATGGTTTACTGAAGAGTTAATCAAGGACTATCCCGAAGCAAAGGTCATACTAACAGTACGCGACATCGATGAATGGCGGAGGTGGGTCATTACTTAACGAAGACTATGTGGAATCCCGGACTGATCGCGCCATCCGCTCTACGTCTATAGAAACAGTTTTTGCCAGATCAGGGAAATGGCGCCTGAAGTTTCTCGTCCCTTTTTCCCGAACTCTGACCCTGCTTTACGGCAGCCATCCACTGGGGGTTTGTGACCATTCCTCGGGCTGGAAAAGAACTCTTTGGAACCAACCTCCAGACTGAGGGCCGCGCCATCTATGAGAACCACTATAAAATGGTCCCGGAGAACCTCTTGCACTACCACGTCAACGAAGGATGGGAGCCGCTGTGCAGATTTTTTCAACCAGCAAGTGCCTTCTGTTCCGATGCCCAATGTCAACTCGAAAGAGCACATGAGACTGAGGATGCGTGCTTCTATCAGACTGTCACGTAGGGAATGCTCCTCCATATCATTCGGTTTGCCGCGTACATCTGCCTGCTTGTGTGCTCTGCAAAGGATTGCGGGTGGGAGAGTGGGGATTGCTTTCTATGCTCAATGCGTTCAAGTCTGCTTGATCATCACTTTCAGTTCCCTGGTTCAACACTAGTCATGCAATGAAATAGGTGGCCACAATGTTGCAGGTTGTCTTCAGAACATATTGCTTGGAATTGACAGGTACTCATGAAGGATTCACACGTACAAGTTAAGGCCTACAGACAGTTCCATTCAGAGATGCTCATGCCCAGCTTGCATGTAATTTGCATGGCGTAGCACGAGAGCCACTTGATTACGGACAACCGAGGATTATTCCTTCCACTGCCGTGCCTTACATCCGATGCGATTCGCATCCCTGCACTATGGACGATTTCCCCGCTCGAATGCGATTGTGGAGGACTATAAATCGCGCTCCGCATTCTCCAATGTAGAGACCCGTTTCAACATACCTCACAAGACGCGCCTGTAGAACCAGTGGAAAATAAAATGGTTGGTTTATCTACTCTTGGGGTCTTCGTGCGCGATGCTCTAATCTGGAGCTGTCTCTCGTCCACCTTGATCTCACCCGCGACGGCGGCGACGCCATCTCCCCCAGCCCTCTCGTTCCTCTACACGGCATACGCCCAATGCGCCGGTAACCTGATGGAAACCGACGGGCCCCGTGGCATTCGCAAGGCAATCCCCATCGTCGGGGGGAACTTCACCGGCCCCCGTCTATCAGGTAAGGATTGCTCGTCCAGAAAGCAAGTCGCCAGACACATCGCTCATTCTCGCTAGGTAAAATCCTCGACGTAGGTGCCGACTGGGGCCTGGTTGATCCCAAGACCAATATCTTCTCCGCGGACACGCGGTATAACCTGCGCACCGACGACGGCGAGAATATCTTTGTCCAGACCTCGGGTCCAACGGCGCCACAAGGAGGATTGCATCTGCGATTGGTCTTTGAGACGGGGAGTAGGAAGTATTACTGGCTGAACAATATTATCGGTGAGTGAGATGTGATGCGATACGGTTTGTGATGGTGGGTTGACAAAGGAAGCTATTGGAATTTTGACGCCTATCTCGTCATCGGAGACCGGCTCGCTGCTTCGTATTGATGCGTGGAATGTAGGTTGATGTTCTACCTCCTTGGAAGCAGGGCTGACGATCTTGCAGATGGCGAGCGACTGGAACTCTACAACTTTCGTTGAGCAGGTCGAATACAGCCGTGACTCCATGGGCAGTTCAATATGATGTGCCGCTTATGAAGATGAGGGGATTTGGAGCATGGCAACCAATCGAGTCGCATGTATGTCTCCGGGAATCTTGGGGAGTTGGGGATCCAGAGTCCTTTCGTACATATCAGACTGGCCCTACGCAGGATCGTTCATCCCCGCCCGAAGCCTAAGACCTGGTCATGAGCTATGAGGTGTTCACCATCTCTCTGGTCAAACATTACATGGACAAAGTGGTGAAACTGGACTTCTTGACTGCATCGCACGTCGCCAAGGACGGCAGAAACAAACGTTGGGGAATAACTATGCATGCTAAACTGATGGGGTTTCCAAAAAGAAAAGAAAAAAAAAAAGTAGTTACACGATTCGTCACATGCCAGTATATGCTTACTCCGGCTTCTGTGCGATGATGATGTGGACCTTGGTGTACAAATGCTTGGAGAGATCGCGCAAGTCATTGCGCATGGCGGCGGTCAGGACCTCGATCTCCTCACGCTGCCACCCGAGCACGCGACTGAAGAGCGCATAGGTGTAGGGCCCGACGGCTTCGAACATGTTGACCTGGTGGTATTTGCCAAGTTCCTTGAGTTTGGGGTTCTTGGGCCACGGGCTCTGGGGAAGCTTGTAAATGTCCTCGTGCACATTGACAAACCCGGCCTTCTCAATGCGATCCGCCCAAGTGTGCACGGTATCCATAGCCTTGCCGAACTTCTTCGAGGCCTCGTGCAGGCCCTTGACGCCGTCAAGCATACCCTGGGCTTTGAGATGGGTGTCGTCGTCCGAGTAGCTGTTGACCTCTATGGAGGCAATTTCGAACCAACCGCCAGGCTTCAGATTCTCCAACGCTTGGCGGAAGAGACGGTCGTGATCACGGATGGAGCCTTCGAGTTCGCGGCCATGGATGTAGTCAAAGGGCTGGCTGTAGGACCAGGGTTGTTCAAAGTCGTCCACCTCGAAGCGACAGTTGGGGGGGATCCTGGCAACCGGTCAGTGGGACGGACATGGCGAGGAATGGAACGAGGCGGTAGCTACCAGGCTGGCTGAATGGGGCTGAGATCATTTCCTAAAGCGGGATGGGTCAGTGCGTTGTTCTTTGTTGTACCATCGGCGCGCCCAAGATCTCCGTACCAATCACCTCGGACTCGGGGTGCTCACTAGACCGTCACACGTTAGCTGGGGTTACACAAACGGCTGTCGGGAGTCTCACTCGGCAAAATCAATGGCCCAGATGCCGGTACCTGTACCAATATCCAAAACGCGGGCGGGGTTCTTGACGGGCGCACGGTTGAGTTCTCCTTCGAGCAGCATGCGGTAGATGTGGTGACTCTGGGGGTTTGCTGCGGTTAATGGGTGAATGGCGGATGGCGGATGGTCGGGGACTGGTCGCGACTCACCAGGTCCATGCGATCTTGTTCTTGTTCATCGTTGGGCTGGGAGGTATTAGACAAATTGGAAGGGAGGGAAGGGGGGCGAGTACATACCAGAACGTATTCTCCCTCATGGTATGAGTGATATCGGCGACCATTCTATGGATCGAGGGTCAGATGCGACGCGACGGATGGGAGAGGCCTGGGAAGGACTGAGTTTACCTCATATCTGCGGAGGAGTCAGTGGAATGATACTCGGGGATGAGAATGGAGGAGAGAAGAGAAAAGAAGACTGCACATACTGGTAGTTGAAAGCACTGGAGGTGATACTGGTGGTATAACTGGCTTCGCCCAGCCTGGAGTCGTCAGACGCGGATTCGACACGAGGTGAGACGGAGAGGGTCCGACTTACGAGCCGGTGTAGGTGGAGTCGTTGTCACTGAATGACTATAAATTCCGTATGAGAGTGATTCCAGGATAGGATTGCAGGTTGGACTGGGGGCATGGGTGGACTCACATCGGCCTCGATGACGGCGGGGCCGTGCTGTTCCTGGTTGGACATGGTCGATGCGATCGAAGGGATGGGTGATAAACGAATAAGGCGGAGGGGGGAAGGGATATGATCGAGATGATGAGGAAGAGCGACGATGGGGGTGTTAATAACGAGAGAAGAATGAATAAAGCGAAGTGGCCGTCGGAAGCTGAAGGGGAAAAAAGTGGGCGGCGCTATCGACCACCGGCTTCCTCGCTAGTTCGTTGGCTTCTGGTCCCCGGATGCGCCAGCCGTCTGCCGCGCGCCGTCGATCGGGCAAAGTGGACGAGGAAGGAGAGTGTTTTGTAGAGAGAGAGTTCAGTGCATAATTTCTTTTGAATCATAATCATGATCGAGATGGTCCCAGATGGTCCCAGATGGTCCGTCCATAACCGGGGGGCGGTCAGATTCCTAGGGAGTACGGTAGGTAGTGTATGGTTCATCCATGGATGGTTCCCGTCGACCCAATATAGTTAACTACCTACTGCATACTATTCCACCTGTCAACACAAAGGGCACGGGACGATTCTGACGATCGCGCCATGTGGATGTGGATATTAGGATTGATTCTATGATCGATGATATCAATCTTCTCATAACATGTCATAGAATAATATTATTGTTATAATTATATAATTATTATTGTCCCTGCTTCATAGTGATCTGACCGATAACGGTTCTCTGCAACGGACGTCCATGTGGCGGTGGGGATTCCCCGATGGCCGGGGTCTGTACGTGCCAATCAGTGTCTCTATAGGAAGGTCGGCATTATTAAGGCATTGTTCTGATTAATATAAGTGTCTCTTAGCCCTATTATTACCCCTCTACTCCGTAGTAATCATAATAATAAAGACAAAAGTACCTCTGCAGGCCATGACGCTCCCCTCCCAGTCGCCTGCATCCTTCCCTTCTCCCTCGGCGGCGCAGTTGCATAAGTCTCGAGCCCACCCGACGAAGTGACCAACCGGAGCTTCATACCGACGAGGTATTTACCGTGAAGCCACGCAGGTCGACGACTCGGGAATGCGTCTTCCCGCAGTGCATCCGGACCTGGTTCTTCGATGGTTCTCATTAGGTTGCCCGATTACTACCTCTAGATACTGCCACTCAATCATGTGATCGTGGGGTTCACGTGTTAGTCAGATGGGATTAGTCATCCTGTCCACCGAATACGGAAGTCAGTATATTATACTGTAACTTCCATTCAAACGCCAACTATCTTATTATTCCTCCCCCTGAAAACATCAAACACCATGATCAGGTTGGATGTTCGCCTTTGGCGCACGAAGATCGGCCTAGGCGGGGCAGCTTGGCACCTACTGTATGTGCACGGCAAGCCAAGCCCCGCCTCGTATTCTTGATCCTCCCGTTTCGAAGGGTTTCATCTCATCCCCTCCGTCTTCGACAAGGGATACATGTATGACTTGACCCTCATGCGCCATGGTGGGTGTCCCGCACAGCGATGGCTGTCGCGCGTGCGTTCAGCGGCGTGTAAAGGTACCTAACCTTGACCCTCAGTGGCACCGGTGGCGTCCGTGTTCATCGCGATCCCGACTAATCCTTGAATACCGTCCAGTGTGATCAAACCAAGCCGGAATGCCGTCGTTGTCAGATCAGGACCATCCGATGCCCCGGATACCGGAAGATCCTAAAGTTCTACCACACCACCCCCGGCGCCCATGAGTTTACCGACGCAGCGACCCTGTCCCGCACCCGTCGAACCCCCTCGAGGGGAGCGATGATGGCCCGTCCCACCATGGATGAAACAGTCGCGCCCAACCTGGTAGCAGAATCGCTACATCTCCAGCTCCGAGAAGCCTTTGGCGACCTGATCAGCGCGACGTTCCCCCTCACCTTTGCCACCTTTTCGCGCCGCGTGGATCCAGATTGGAAGGTGTTCGTGCAGCGTCATGCCAAAACACAGCCCGTCGCCATCACGCTGAGTGTCCGCTGTCTCACCACCTGGTACTTGGCCCTGCGCCATCAGGATCAAGACAAGATCACCGCCAGTCGACACATGTACAGTCGCGCCCTGCGTTCACTCGCCGGCCTTCTGCGCAATCCCGCGACCATCACATCCGATACCACTCTCGCGTGTGCCATGGCCTTGGCTGTCTATGAGATGTGGGATGGCGTCAGTCCAAACTCCTGGCTTGTTCACTCAAGAGGGGTGAGAGCCTTGTTCCGACTTCGCGGCCCGGACGCCCATCTGGACGGCTTCGGGCGGACTCTGTTCACCACCTATCGATCCTTTCTCGTGGCGGATGCACTCATCCACCAGGAGCCATGTTTTATGGCGGAGACGAGTTGGAGACAAATGGTCCTGGCAGCGCTCGCTAGGGAAGAGCGGGAGGGCAAAGCCAGTCGCCTAGTCGACGTGACCGAAAAGCTCTTCAGTGAGATTGTCCTCTGCCCAGGGTTCCTGAAGCAAACACGCGATATAATCGCCCAGGCGACGTTGGAGCCCTCCACGGAGACGCTCATGTCTGAAATCCGACGTAGTCAGAGCATCCTCAAGCGGCTTCGGCAGACATTGACACTGGGGCAGATCCAAGAGGAAGGCAGAGTGGATAGTCCAATCGGCGCGGATTTCGTGCAGCCCATCACTCGACTCAGTCTCGAGGGGGCAGACTCCGCATTAGCCCTACTGAACCAATTGTTGGTGATCCTAGATACCCACAAGAACCAATCTCTAGATCCGGAGAGCAAAATGGGCCTGTCAGGAGAGAATCCCTGGAGGAAGCCCCCCGTCCCACGAACCATGCTGCTGCCCGCAGGCAGGCATACGGAGAACAAGCTTGATGACCGCTTAGATCGGATTGTAATGACGATGGGACTTTGCGCTATAGACGCATACTCTGGGCTTTAAATAAGCCGGCCTATTTTCAGGTGACTACCTATCTAGGTACATGGTCTTGAGTCAAGTAATTGCCTTATGATAACGATCAATATACCCAAGATTAGCGCCGTAATGATCAACTGTAAGAAAAGATTCCGTAATAGGAAAACATAAGTCACATGATAATACTGACTCAGCTGCCCCTCCGGGAAGGCGGTCAAGCGGCCAAATTTGGTATCGATAGCCAAAACGCTCTCGACGCTTCCAAAATTTTTCCAGCATCGGCGCCCAACGATGGTGAAGTCTTACTTGTAAGTGTTCGAATTTGATCTTGCCGGGCTCAATCAGAAGTTCTCTAACCGGTCAATTGCAGAAAATTCGAGCACGCGAATACGTTCGGGCTCATCGCATCTGCTTCGTCGAATGCGATCTGGGCCCGAGACGATGACCTGACCGGTGCTGCACGTCGCACTGGCTCCGGCCGAGCCATCGTCGGCGCCAGCGAGGAGGTCTTGTGCTGGGATATCAAGAAAGGCGAACTGTTGGGGAGGTGGCGTGACTCCGCCTGCAAAGCGCAAGTCACGGTCATCACCCACAGCAAAACCGACGAGGATCTCTTTGCGGTTGGGTAGGTTTACCATGGCCGAAATGCTTCTCCTCTTACCTCTGGTTACCAGAGCTAACATCTCGCTTGAATCCAGCTACGAAGATGGAAGCATCCGCGTGTGGGATTCCCGGACGGCTACGGTCATCATCGCCTTCAACGGTCACAAGTCGGCCATTACCCAGCTTGCGTTCGACCCCTCCGGTGTCCGACTCGCCAGCGGCTCGAAAGATACGGATATCATTCTGTGGGATCTAGTCGCCGAAGTTGGACAGTTCAAGCTGCGCGGTCATACCGACCAAGTGACTTCCCTTCAGTTCCTCACGCCCTCCATGGAGCTGCTCAATGCCGCTGGGCTGAGTGAGCATGCTGGCTTTCTGCTCACGACAGGCAAGGACTCTTTGGTTAAGGTGTGGGATCTGGCCTCGCAACATTGTATCGAAACCCATGTGGCGCAGTCGAATGGAGAGTGCTGGGGCTTGGGTCTTTCGCCGGACCAGAGTGGGTGTATCACGGCTGGCAATGACGGCGAGCTCAAGGTCTGGTCGATTGACGAGAGTGCCATGCTCGAGATTTCCAAGGAGAAGGTGGGCTCGGAGAATCGCAGAGTTCTGACCGAGAGGGGTACGTTCTACCGCAACGGCAAAGACCGCACGATCGGCGTGAGTTTTCATCCACGTGCGGACTATGTGGCTTTTCATGGATCCGAGAAGGCGGTTGAGATCTGGCGCATTCGCTCCGAGACTGAGGTGCAGAAGAGTCTCGCACGGAAGCGCAAGAGAAGAAAGGAAAAGGAAGCTCAACGCGCAGCTGAGCAGGATGGGACCGCCCCGGAAGCCGACACTGACAAACCCGAAGACATTGCTTCCGCCCCAGTGACGGAAATCTTCGTGCAACACGTCATTGTCCGGACTGGCGGCAAGGTGCGGTCTTTCGACTGGGTCAAGCCCAAATCTACCGGCAACCTTCAGCTCATTGCGGCGACGACGAACAACCAACTCGAGGCTTACAGCGTGGTGCAGGCCAACAAGAAGAACAAGGATGAGGATGAGTCGGACTACACTCGGAGTCTCGCGGTTGACCTCCCCGGCCACCGCACCGACGTTCGGTCAATTGCTTTGAGCTCGGATGACCGCATGTTGGCTTCAGCGTCCAATGGCAGTTTGAAGATCTGGAACTTACGGACACAGAGCTGTCTGCGGACTTTGGAGTGCGGCTATTCGCTGTGTTCTGCCTTCCTTCCGGGTGACAAGATCGTGGTGGTCGGCAACAAGGATGGCCAGTTGGAGGTTTTCGATATCGCGTCATCGACACTCCTGGATACCATCAACGCCCACGATGGCCCTGTATGGTCGCTCCACGTCCACCCCGACGGCAAGTCCCTGGTCAGCGGAAGTGCAGACAAGTCGGCCAAGTTCTGGAATTTCCAGGTGGTTCAGGAAGACATTCCTGGCACTAAGCGGACGACCCCGCGGCTCAAGTTGGTCCACACTAGGACTCTGAAGGTCTCCGATGACATTCTCAACATCCGCTTCTCGCCGGATGCTCGCCTACTTGCTGTGGCTCTCCTGGACAATACCGTGAAGGTCTTCTTTGCCGACTCCCTCAAGCTCTTCCTCAACCTCTACGGTCACAAACTCCCTGCTCTGAGCATGGACATCTCATGGGACAGCAAGCTCATCGTCACCTGCTCGGCGGACAAGACCGTCCGTCTCTGGGGCCTGGACTTTGGTGATTGTCACAAGGCCTTCCTGGCCCACGAGGACAGCATCATGGCCGTGGCGTTCGTGCCGACGAACAAGGAAGGAAATGGACACAACTTCTTCAGCGCCAGCAAGGATCGGCTCATCAAATACTGGGATGGCGACAAGTTTGAGCAGATCCAAAAGTTGCCTGGCCACCACGGTGAAATCTGGGCTCTCGCCATCAGCCACAATGGCGAGTTCGTCGTCAGCGCCAGCCACGACAAGAGCATCCGCACCTGGCAGCAGACGGATGAGCCGCTCTTCCTCGAGGAAGAACGTGAGAAGGAGCTGGAAGAGATGTACGACAACACGCTGACCGCCTCCCTCGAGCAGGAGGAGGGTGAGGACGGCGAAAAGGCGGAGGCTGTCGATGCCGGGAAACAGACTACCGTGACCCTGATGGCGGGAGAGAAGATCATGGAAGCGCTGGACTTGGGCATGGAAGACCTGGAGGTGATGCGCGAATGGCGTGCCATCAAGGCTTCCCAGCCGAACGCCGCGCCACCCAGCCGGAACCCCCTGTACATGGCGCTGGGCAATATCTCTGCCGAACAGCATGTGTTGAGCGTTGTGCAGAAGGTCCCCGCGGCGTCGCTTCAAGACGCGCTGCTCGTGTTGCCCTTCTCGAAGCTGCCGGCGCTGTTCACGTTCCTCAATATCTGGGCCACCCGGGAATGGAACATCCCCCTCACCTGCCGCGTTCTGTTTTTCATGCTGAAGACGCACCACCGCCAGATCATCGCCAGCAAGATGATGCGGCCGATGCTGGACAGCATCCGGGCCTCGCTGCGGAGAGTGCTGGCGCGCCAGAAGGACGAGATGGGATTCAATCTCTCCGCGCTGCAGTTTGTCGGCCGCCAGATCAAGGAGCAAAGCACCAAGGACTACGTGGATGAGGACCTGTGGGAGGAGCAGGAGAAGACTACGGCGACGGGCAAGAAGCGGCAATTTGTGAGTGTCGCTTAGTACCGCGAGGGATCGATCTATTGTCTGTATACCTGCATGACTGGCGTTCAGATTGTTTGATAATTGGGTTCTTGAAAAGTTTTATATCCTTGGGTGTTGCTATGGTTCGAAAATCCCATGTATGATTCAATATTTGCTATTGTCGTGTCATAGACCATCTATCTTAAGCTGCGGTACCTCCATCCAACGCTTGCCTTAGCTCTAATTACGCGAAAGACCTAGAGACGACAAGTCAGCAACAATCTCTGCGACACGTCGACAGCATTCAAGCAGAGTTTTGGCCTGCCATCACAGCATGGACAAGACACTGCGCCAGCAACATCCAATAAGTCCATTCCAGTCGACAACCATGACACCACTCAGCAGAACCATTATAAGCACCGACGACAGGACCACGATGTGTATCCTGGCATACCTCTTCCGGCTCTTCCTAATATACCGGTTCGAAATGTTCTCATCATCTGGAGGACGGCGTGGACTGGAATGGACATTTTCCTTGGGCTGCAAGATAGGATGGGTTTGAGGAATTGAACTGAAGCATACCTTTTAGAACGTCAGTAGTGGTACATCCAGGCGAATGCAAGCATCAATGCATTTAGTGACTTGGTGACAGGTGAAGTGAAGAAGTTGCACACTTGAGAAAATAATAAAACGGGAGGAATTTCTTTTCGGCTGGCGGGGAAAACAGCGGCCCGAGTGCTTAGTCATGTATTAGTCATCGCCCCTTATACACTCCTAGATTGGACTCAGTAAAGGCTCCTTTGAATATTCTCTCTAGAAAGAGTCTAGATAAATATTGGCGAAAGAAGTTCAGAATGAATTTGTATATTGGGCTTAAAGTCTGTTTTAGTGTGTGAATTTAGTCTGGAAGAGGGAAGTTGTTTGAGCATGTTCAGTAGTATATATATATTTCCGCATGAATTACAATCAAGTTGGAATCAATATTGAAGCAAAGCTCTTAGATCATATTTAGTACTACTACATATATCTATTGAACCATCTAACGCTAGCCTCGTAATCATAAATCATGATTCATGAGCAGTTATGAGCTCGGCTTCATCTTCCCACAACTTGAGCAAGTCCACCATTCTGCCTCCATGAAGGCGCCACACCAATCACACAGCCAGCCAAGCGGGCGTTTGGCAGCGTTCCTTTCCAGGGCCGCCAGACTCTCAACCGCACGGGTGCGATTCTGGAAGGAACTCTGCGAGGCCGTCTGGCTGAGCGGGCGCTTGTTCTTATTTCGCGTCTCCGTAGCTCCAGGATGTGTGGTCGTTGGTCCTGATACGGTCCGCGTGGTCTTTGGCCGTGGTCGTTCGGATGCGCAGGCGTCGCAGCATAGGAAGTTGGGTGGGTTCTCCAATGTACACACAGCGCATGCCCATGGCTGTTCGTACAGACTGTCGTCGGATGTAAGATCAGCAGGCTCCGGTGGTTGTGACGGGAGGGTCGGCCGAGTGGACGGCGGCGGGACGGGCGGAGGAGATAGCGTCGATCGAGGCCCAGCTGGGTTCTCGTGACTGGGTGGGATGTAGGAAGGACCGTATCTCTCGCGCTCCTCCTGCTCGATCAGGTCGATGTACGCCTGCATGATCGCCTGTTCGTTGGCGTCCTCCTCCTCGGCCTTTGTTCGGAACCCATTCCGCGACGCCTCCTCCGCAAGTTCCACACTGTTGTCTGTGCCTGAAGCGCAGCCATTCGTGACCTCTATACGTCGCTGGGTAGCATCAGCGATGACTCTGCGCATGTCCGTGCCCCGCAGGATAGGCGCTCCCCCGAGCCGTTGCCCAGAGCCTGCAGGCAACGTTCGTCTCCGCTCGGCCGCTGCGCGAGCCTGCCGCCGAGCTTCGTCGATAGGTATTCTGCGGCCGCCGAGCTTTCTCCCTTCAGACAGGAAGCCTTCGCCGGTGTATCCTCTCATGACCAGCTCCTCATGTTCATCGCGGAGTTGGTTCCAGAGCGCGTGGAATTGCTGATTGTGCGGTCCATGCACGATATGACAGAGTCTGTAGGGTCAGCAAAATCCACCATCAGAAGGAAATAGACCGCGCTTACTCGTGGAGCATGGTGTCAACGACTTGTTCGATAGGTATGAACTGACGCTGGTCGGAGGCATAGCGAAGCCGGAGGCAGATCTTCTGACCCGCGTTGATGTTGAGGCCCAGAAGGTTGGACTGCTGAGGGTAGAATTCACACAGTGTGCCAACCTTCCAGTCTCGACGACGCATGATCGGTTTGACGAGGGAGGCTACCTTTCGAAGGATCAGGAGGGCCTCGGACTCCCTGGGGCGATGTCTGTCATGCTCATACTCAAAGACCAACGGGTCGATTTCACGCATCGTGGCGGTTTAAAAGCCACAATAGGGCTGGAAATAAGGAATTTTCCAAAAGAAATCCACAACGTTGATAGTCTAATCCCTCGCAAAAAGATCGTGGTTTATAGGATGGATTTGATGCGGCCGTAGGACCACTCCTGGAGTTGAAATCTGTCAAGTGAGGCGAGTCGAAAGTCACAATGAGCATAGACCAAGCATGCTGAAGTCGACCGCTCAGGATGGCCCAGGCAGACAGCAATGAGGAGGCCGCGTCATGGAGTGCGGTGGCACTGAGGAAGCTGGCGTTATTCACGGGGCACTGATTGATAATCCACGTAAGGCATTCAAAGCGTCACGTGATGGGAATTATGGGAGACAGTCTCACACATGGAATAAAGTGAGCATTCGACTGTTTAGTGGTTGTTGAAGTCTCACGTTGTATGGAGAGTGAGAAAGAACTGGTGGAGAAAAGCGTGGCGGTAGTGCTGTCGATAAAAAAAGGATACTCCCAAGTACCAGTCTACTATCAGACCACAAGGTACATGTCACCAGACGACATGAGTGTAAATAAGTCTTGGTCAATTTAGAATAAAAGAATAGAAGGATTCTCATAGTTCATCTTGGATTAAAAGTTATATCATCTCTCAGAGTCTGGATATCAGTCAGTGAACCAACCCACGTGACCGCTTATCGATTAGCTCTTTTCATTCTTTCGTCTCCGATATTCTCCATCTTTCTTCCATCGTCTTCCTCTGCATCTCTCTTATCCCCCTTCACCATGACGAGTGACGATCAGTTCTTTTTCGACTACGTAAGTCTTACAAACAGCCAGATCTTTACGCCCCCGACACTGACTCTTCTGCCACCGGGCTAGCTGGCCTCCATCCCTCATGACGTAAGGCGATACTCGCTGGAAGTCGCCAACTCGATTGACCGACATGTCGACCATGCTGCTCGAGTAATCCGCGACACCCTTTCCGATCAATCATGGCTCCCAGCTACCGTGCGGCCGCTGCCGCCGCCCCGACCGAGTCTTCGTTCTTCGCAGTCTCTCACGGATCGTGTGCAGGACTGGATGGCCCGCAACCGCGCGTGGACGGCGGCCATCCTCGCATTCGTTGGAACCGGTTCCTTCCTCTACCTCAGCAATAAGAAACTTGGTGGGAAACGAAGAAGAGCAAGAAGAGCGGGGAACGGAGCTCGAAAGGAAATAGTGGGTATGTACTGAAGTCGCTGAACGTCCAGCGCATCGGATCGCTGGTGGACAGATCCTATCTAACCGTCGCGATAGTCGTTGCTGGATCGCCACACGAACCCATGACCAAGGCCGTCGCTACGGATCTCGAGCGTCGGGGGTATATCGTATACATCACCGTCTCATCGGCAGAGGAGGAGCATATCGTCCAGTCGGAGAACCGGATGGACTTGCGGCCCCTCTGGGTTGACCTGACAGCGGTATGTCGCACAACATCCTGCGACAGAACCAGACCGACTGACCAATGTGGACAGACCCCTTCAACGCCGTCGGAGATACACCCGTCTCTGACCGAGATCCATTCCTTGATCACCCAACCACAGTGGCCGATGCCCGGCGTGCCACCACACACCTGCCAGCTGAGCGGCGTGATCCTGGTCCCTTCACCGAATTACGTGACCGGTCCTGTCGCTACCATCCCTTCCTCGTCCTGGGCCGATACCGTCAACACTCGACTACTGTCCCCGATCCTGACTACGCAACTACTCCTGCCCCTCCTCACGCTCCGCAACACCAGCAGCACCGTCGTCTTTATGTACCCGTCAATCTCGTCCTCTCTCTCCGCCCCATTCGCCAGTCCCGAGGTCACCACGGCGCGCGCGCTCTCCGGGTTCGCCACGTCGCTGCGACGGGAGCTCCACCTGCTGCAGCAGAGCAACATTGACGTGGTCGAATTGCGACTAGGCAATATTGATCTGGGGCCGCAGTACCGCCACGCGCAGAGCCACATCACGGGAACGGAGGTGCTGGCGTGGAGCGCACAGCAGCGGACGCTGTACGGACCGCAGTACCTGTCCAGCATTGAGCAGCGGCCGGTTGCGTCCGCGGGTCCGAGTACGATCCGTGGATCGCCGGCGCGGACGCTCCATTTTGCAGTAATGGATGCGCTGGAGCCAGCGTCGAGGGACCTGTTTGGTCGAAGACGGGCCAAGTCGCCGGTGGTGTACGTCGGACGAGGGGCGCGCACCTACAGTGTGATCGGGCAGTGGGTTCCCGCTGGACTGGTAGGATGGATGTTGGGGATGCGCAGTGGGCCGACGACGATGGAGAGCGCAAGTGGGAGCAGCAGCGAGACGAGTTGGGAAAAGGTTTAAGAATATATGGCATCTATTTTCTTTTGTGGGATTGTTTGGTGGACGGAGTATGGGGAAAGGGTATTTTTTCGTTATTACTCTCATCTCTTAATTCATAATCCATTGTCCTTGGGACGTGGCCGCACCAAATCTGTGCCACCGGCGGAATCGTATGCAGGTTCAGTTACACGCCCAGTTGGGCCATTTCGGCAGTGGGTTCCCGATCACGCGCGGAACGCTTGACGGTGCCGTGGGTGAAACGTTGGCGCAACCAGATGACAAGCCAGGTGAGGACGAAGATGACAATAATAGCGGCGAGGATGATGAAGCAGTAAGCGGCGACCTTGCCGCTGTGTTCACCGTTAGGCCCGGGGTCGAGGAAGGAGTAGGTGTAGAAGCCTTGGGTGTAGTGGGTCAGATAGGCGAGGGAGACATAGAGCAGGAGGATGAGCACGAGGAAGGGGAAGGTCAGCAAGGGATGGGGGTTGGTCGTGGGGAGGACGATCTCGAGAAGGGCCCAGAGGGAGTTGAGGCCATGTTGGGAGATCTATAGTTACAAGTAGCCATTAGTCATTGCAGCCTCTTTCTCTTGTTCCCCCATCAACAACCTACATTGGACCAGGCGCTGAAGGTGCGCGTAAACCAGCCAGAATAGAGGATAGCCCAGAAGACGATGGTGACCAGAAAGGGAAAGGTGGTGACGGTGGTGTAGAAGAGACTGTGGAGGGCGCGAAGGGCACGCGGCCAGCGATCGAACAGCGCCGAACGACCGGTCGAGGCGTAGGCGGCGGTGTGGATGGTCGCGAACAGGTAGTAGAAGCCCAGTCCCCAGTAGGTCAGCCAGGTGAAGTAGCTAAAGGTCGGGCCGATTTGATCGCGTTCGCCGTGGGTGCCCTCCCAACCCCAGATGAAGAAGATGGTCACGAAGATGTAGAGGGCGACGAGACCGCGCAGACCGGCCAACAGCCAGGGGGGTAGCAGCCAGGAGGTTTCAAAGGGATGGAGATGGTCGCAGGCGGGGTCTGCGCCCAGCAGGCTGGCAAAGGAGCGTTTGATCATGATGCGGACATGCTGCGCGCAAGGGACGGATGGTAAAGCCGGGAGATTATATGGAGGTTTTGTGGATGGAGGGCCTAACGTATGGTTAGGGTAGGCATACGTAACGTAGGGTAGTATTTGCAGGGGGTGGAGAGTGCCCGAGCCTCTCGGGGCTTTTCCTTTTTCTTGCAAGTGAGATGGAGAGAGTGAGTGAGGCTTAGTGCTGATATGGTGAGCCTTGACAGGCACGAGTCAGATATTGTTGACGCTGTACGGAGTATAGGAGGTTGATATGTACCCCAGATTGGAGTGCAGGGCCAAGATTAGAGCTTTGTTTGTTTGTTTGTTCAATAACAGGACGGGATATACTGATCTACTGTGTAGATATACTCCGGAGTGGTACAAGCGTTATGATAATAATAAATAATATGAGTACAATAGAGAACTGCACTACAGAATCAGAATCAGTAACTAAAGATGAATGAATTAGCTAATAATAACCAGTACTAGACTAGGAATAGAATGGCTCGACCGAACGGAAGGAGAAAATGGACCGACGGGATGATCGTTATTACTGCCAGGCGAGAGGAGATTTCTCGGTCGATCGCATGTCTTGGATCTGTGTTGCTGTCGATATGTTGTTTATTATGATCATTCTAGATCTACTCCGTACGGAGTAACTAGTAGATAATATGCTGAATTAATGATCTACAGGGTAATATTATTATGATAACTTATTGTCGATTCAATTGATTGTTATGGGCTATTGTCCTCTTCAGGGGCCATGGAACCACAACATATAAATAGACGCCTGCTCCACCCGCCCAACTGGATGAACCACCCGAGCCTTTCTAGAATTCGCATCGAAAAAGTCAGGTTGACAGAGATCTCATCGAGTTAAGTGACCGACAGAATCTACTGGTGTCTGAGTCGAGTACAAAGGTTACCAGGCAATGCGATCAATAAGATACATAGTAGTTACTAGTAGTGATTGAGTCCCTAGGACTATGCATGTAGTTCTCGTCTTGCGGCAGATGGGAGAACTTCCCCTGAGTCTTGAAGGTATGGTTCTGGAATAACTGTGGGTAACATACGTACTGTCATCTATGTACCAGTTATACCTGCCAATCATAAGTGAGGGGGAATATAATACAATATATGACCATACTATACCTGGTACACACAGTAAATACCCGTCCAGACCATACCAAAACTGGCAGCTCCGCGTGGAGACTGTCACCCCTCGTTTGTTTGGGGATCGTCAGGGCGGGAAACACTCAACGGCCATTCCCTTTCCTCTCTCTCTCTCTCTTCTCTCTCTTCCTCTTCTTCTTTCATCTCTCCATGAGTCCACGATGATCCTTCATCGTCTCGCCCTCCTCCCACTCGCATCCGTCCTCTGATCTCGCCTTGTCGCTCTTTACCCCGACCTCCCTCTTGCTCCTCTGCCTGGTTTGCTGCCGAGAGCTGTCCAATCGCTTTCCGACTGCCTGTCATTCCTTCTTGCTCGTCCTCACACCACCACCCGCCCACTGTATGCGTCCCCCCGGCGCGACCTGCATGCATTCCATCCGTACACCCACAAACTAACCATTTCAAACCGTTATCCCAGTTTCCTTCTTCCATACGTCCACTCATCAACCCTCCGACAAACGAATGGAGTCGACGTGAGCACTGAACCCTGTATACTTCCACCAAACGACCCTCCCCATCATGGAGCCCCCGCGCCCTCCCTTTGGCGAGTATCGCTCCGCCTCCCACGATACTCTCCGCAGTGGCGCCCCGTCGCCCCGCATCGAACACTTCGATGGGGAAGTTCCTCCCGCCCTCTCGCCGCTTGACGCCTTCGCCGCTCAGGGCCGCTTGTTGGCCCGTCAACTCGAGGAGTCCGCGCGACGCAACCGCCGCCTCAGCCGACTGCCCCCGTCCAGCGTGGCCCGATCCCTATCGCAACCACGCCCAGGCTACTTCCGTTCCCCCTCCTCTGCCGAATCGTCCCATAGTGGGCGCGGCGGTGGTCTTTCCCGGCAACCGACCCAGCGGATAAACCTCGAGCTGGAGGAACCTAAATTCCGTCCCCAGTCTGAACACCCACGCCTGAGTGCCGTCTCCCACCTGGCCAGCGACGATGGCCAGTCCGGCGATGAGAATGCGACGCCCCGAAATGAGCCCACCACCATGTACCATGCCGAACGGAATCCCTACGACTTTCCCCGTGCCGAGTCGCCGGAATCGCTGCGGGAGGCCCCTGACACCCCTCGGCGGTTCTATGCCGCGGGGCTGCCCTCCCCGCCTCCGGTGGGTGTCAACGTGATGGGCCCGTCACGAAACTCCTCGACGGACTCCGCCTCGCGTCTGAATGTCGCCCGCAGTCTGGCACCACCCCCGGCATCTCCCTACTCGAGACCCTCTACGAGCTCGCGCGGTACGCAGCCTGAGAGCTCCGATGACGACTACAGCAGCTCAAATGCTGGGTCGACCTTCTCGAAGCCGCGGAAACTCTCCGCTGGCAGCGCCGTCTCCATGCCCTACTCCCCCATGTCGACCGTGGTACGTTCGCAACCGCGATCGCCATCCCTGAGCTCCGAGACATCCAACACCGGCGGAAACCACCTGGCCCGTCCGTCGTACAACTTCTCACGTCCTCTGAGCCGCTCCAGTACCAGCCTGTCGGCCCCCATGCCGACCACCACCACCTCCGACGCGCAGCCCCAGCTGCCGGGGGGCATGACGCGCGCACGCAAGCCGAGTCCCATTATGGTGCCGCCGGACGGGGAATTGGCGAAACATGCGGGCGAGGACCCCAACTCCGCCCTGTCTTCGTACATCTACGCCAAGTACTCGCTCCCGCGCGGACGGATGGTGTCTCGGGACTCGGTGGTGTTCTCTGGCCTGCAAACCCCCAACTTTGAATGGCGCGAACCGATCTTCAAAAATCACGATGGGCTCGAGGCGTCAGAGCCCGCCCGATCCGCTCGCACCCCGTCGCCCTGTCCATCCCAGGCGGAGTCGGTGGCCTCGCACAAGGCCCGCTCGCTGCACGAGTCACCCGTGTCGGAACGCCAAACCCTAGCCCCCAATGTACCCCCACCGTCCCAGCGACGGTCGCCGTCTCCTGAGCCCGCTCCCGCCCCTGCTTCCGCTCCCGCTCCCGCTCCCTCGGATACGGTGGCCCCCGAAGGGCGGTCGGCGTCTGTCGCGAGCCAGGGCGAGGACCAGTCCGAGACCACTTCGTCCGCCGATTCTGCGTCGACGCTCCGGCCGCAGACTGCGCGGGCTACCACTCCGTCGACAGTGGTCACTGCCGACGAGCATGTGAGTAAAGGAATCGAATGTCATGAGAAAGGGTCTCTCCAGGAATCGACCTATCATCTACGCATTGCGGCCAAGCAGAACCACCCGACGGGCATGCTCCTCTACGCCCTGGCGTGTCGCCATGGCTGGGGGATGCGGCCGAACCAGCGGGAAGGGGTGCAGTGGCTGCGGAAGGCGGTGGACTCGGTAGGAGTGGAGTTGATGGACGATACGCAGCCGCAACTGCCGGCGCGCGTGCGGGAGATGCAGAAGGCGTATCGGGCGCAGTTCGCGTTGAGCGTGTACGAGCTTGGGGTCAGCCACCTCAACGGATGGGGCATTGAGCAGGACAAGTCGCTGGCGCTGCGGTGTTTCGAGATCGCGGGCCAATGGGGCGATGCGGATGCGCTGGCTGAGGCCGGGTTTTGCTACGCGGAGGGGGTGGGGTGTAAGAAGGACCTGAAGAAGGCGGCCAAGTACTACCGACGAGCCGAGGCGAAGGGGATGAATATCGTGGGTAACAGCTGGTATGTTTTGGTCTCAGTGTTTGCTGGACAGAAGGCTAACGGCAGCAGGATTTACAAAGACAAATACATGTCGGACGATGAATCGAAGGCGACTTCGCGGGGGCGCGGCCACCAGGCCGGGACGCCGGAGAAGAAGCGCAGTAAATCTCGGCATCGCAGTCTGTTCCAGCGGAAAAAATCTGCGACGGAGGCTTGATGAGATGCATTATCTGATATACACCTATACACATGGACGCTTTGCGTTGCTTTTCTTTTGCCCGGGAGGGATACCCGGGTACCTTTATTCTATCAGTTGAGCATTCAGGCTCCTGATTTCGCTTCTTTCGCTCGTTGACATATGATTCTGTTTTGACCTTGTTTCTTTTCGAACTTGTGCATTCGGGATCCCTGCGATGGGCAAGGGATGGACGGGTGTTTGTTTTGCTGGCATGGAGGGCCTGCTCGGGGGCATTTACCGAGTACTTCACTTCTTGGATACCCCTCATAATTTCTAATCACTGTGTGATGTCCGTTTCTTCTCTTCTGTCACTATTGATTTTCTTTTCTTTGACTCCTCTTGATTCCCTGTCTCTGCATCTCATTCGTGTCATTATTCTTCTTGGTTGACTGACCCTCGTTGACTCTCCTTCCGTCCTGGTTTTAGCTGCAGAGGCCTTGCTTGATGAACTCATGACGGCCACCTATGGAATACTCTTTGTCTGTGTAGTACTGATGTGCTGATGTAGTTTATGACGCTGTGTAAGGGATGACTGGAGATAAAATCCTTCGCCACCGGACTGTCTCGTGAGCGGTGTTTATGTTCAGGTTTAAACGAGATGAGGGCTTGTCCAGCCAGTGAAGGATCTGGCTAGACGTCGGAGGTGTGGCCTAAAAGAGACGGAGCGACGCCACCACCCATCTTCTTAGCGAAGCGTATTAATATTGGGATGGACACGCAGGAAGAAACCCTGGGGCGCTAGAGGAGCGGTCCTCGGATCTAGCCCGGATTTGCTTTGGGGGGGTCGCTTCCAGGCCAATGACACCCCCCGATTAACAAAATGGGGCCGCCGCGCGAGGGCCCATGGGGAAAAGCCGGAGAGACCTGGGGTTGCATTGCAGGCTTAGTCGACCAACACTAGGAAGGGGTCCCTAGTACATAGTTAGCCCGTCTCACTTTTCATCCTCCATTGACCGGTTCCCTTACTTCTGGGGTGATACCTCGGTAGCGTGTGATGTTGACAAGACCGAAGGATTCCCTCCTGAATGCTGATAGGAAACTCTGAAACCAACCCCGGATTCGATCGTCGCCGAGGACCTATGTAGTATAGAATGTATGTACACATGTATGCCATATCCTAGGTATCTATGTATTCGGGCTTAACTCCCGAGTCCGGCTGACGCCGTCGCTGCCCTAGTATAGTACTACCTCCGATCCAGCAATGGCCCCTGATACGATCCACTGAGCCAAGTTCCGCGGTGCTTGCTGTCCGCTGGTCTGGGTTGCTCCTTCCCCTCCCCCAGAAGTTCCAGTTCCAGTTCCTTCCCATGTGATGGCAAAGTCCTTCTCAACGGGGGAATTTCCTCTTATATTATGGCAGCACCATTCCAGACGGGCCTGATTTGGAGGAATTCCTTCCCCTCCGAACCTTGATTTGCGTCTTGACTTCTCTCCTCTCCGCATCATCATCATCCTCCTCCTCTTCATCATCATCCACAGTCTCCACCACCACATCTCAGTCGCTCTTTAATAGTCTGTGCTTCTGTCACTCGTTTGAACCCTTGAAGAAAGGAGAAAGGTGCGTGCATCCCTCCTCCGGATCTGTACCCTTGTACACCTGTCCACTGTCCACCTGTCCACCTGTACACTTGTACACTTGTACTCCTGTACATCCGTACATCCGTACACCGGTACATCTGTACCATTAGCTACCCTGGTGGACTCATCTCATCTCATCCGCTCTTGCAGACCCTGTCCCTGTCCCTCACATCGAGGCACGCCACGCAGTGCATTGCTTCCACAACCACTTCCCTCTGTGTGACGCCATCCTCGAACCCTAAGCATGGGTAGTGCTACTAAGCCCGACGTCTCCGAAATGGAGGGCGTCGCTCCTCCCCCCACCACCAACCTTGGCTGGAAGGGCCGGGCTCGCGCCCACTTCAGGCGCTGGTGGTGGGTGCATGTCATCGTCTTTATCGCCGTCGTCTTGATCATCGCTCTGCCGGTGTAAGTTCAAGCGTCACTCCCCCCCCACCCCTCTCTCTCTCTCTCTGCCCTCGCGACCTACTCACTCACCCCCCAGCGTCTATGTCGGCTATCCCAACATCGCCCAGGGCGACATCGATGATTCCACCCTCACCGTCAAGTCCATGGTCATCTCCGATCCCACCCCCGACTCCTTCCAGCTGGATCAAACCCAGGTCATCGGCACCCATAGTAAATTCCACCCCAAAATCTTCGCCTTCAATGCCGCCGTCAGCTTGCTCGGCGCCGCCAGCTCCTTCGCCACCGTCCTGGTGCCCCAGATCAAGTCGCATGATGGCGTCGAGGTGCATGTCCAGCAGCGCGTCAACCTGAGTGATGCCGGTGCCTTTGGAGATTTCTCCAAGGCCGTCATGCTCAACGAGGAGGTCCCCCTGAATGTCTATGGAAAGCCCCAGCTGAAGCAAGGTGCTCTGCCCACCATCACCGTGACCTACAACAAGACCGCCACCATGAAAGGTACGTCGTCCGTCATTTTATTTCGGTCAGTTTCTGGGCATGAGTGCTCACCCTTCCAGGTCTCAACAAACTCAGCGGCTTCAAGTTGCTCAACATGAGTCTCACCAAGGCGCAGTCCGACGGCACCAACTCCGAGGGCAGAGTCCTGATTCCGAACCCCTCGGTCATTACGATTTCCATGGTACGTAAGATCATCGGTTGTCCCAACAATTGACTGACTTTCTAGGGTAACGTCACGCTGGATCTTGCGGTGGACGGAACCTCGATTGGACAATCCTTCCTCAACGACCTTGTGTTGAAGCCGGGCGACAATGAGCTCCCGATGAAGGCCAAGGTGGATCAGGAGGCCCTCGCCCCGATGCTCGTCAAGTACAAGGACCAGAACTATATGGTTCCCGTGCAGATCACCGGCAACTCTTCCGTGTATAATGGCCAGCATCTCCCCTACTTTGAGACCGCCTTGGCCGCTAACCAGCTCCACGTGGACCTGAACGTCCTGCAGATCATCGGAAGCTCGGGCTAAACGGTGGTGTCAGGGTCTTTCTTCTGTTTTTCTCTTCTCTTCTTCCTTCCTATCCTGTAGTCCGATATATCAATTGTGGTTCTCTTCGTCTTTCTGTTCGACATGCATGCATGCTTGTATGGTCATAATGACTGGTTGTCGCGATTACTGTTTCGATAGTCTATAGGTAATGAATGATACACGGCCGGTCACTCCCGTCCCGTTGAGACATGACGGACGACGTCCGACTTCGCGATCCTTTACGTGAGATAAGGCCTTGGCGATCCACTGGGTGAAGATAGCGGCAGTGCCTGCCAAGCCGTGTTGGAGACGACTCCAACGATTAGCCTGACGATGAACTTTGATCTCGATCTCATTACGATATCGAATGCGCGATTATACGGAATCGTGGTGGATGATAAGCGCATAGCCACTGTCGGAGTAGGTATGATGTGCGATAAGGTGCGGCTATAAAGGGGATGAGAGAGGCACGATAGAGGATGGTAGAGGACGCTGGAAGCACCATAGACACGAACGATATCATCCCCTGACCATGGGTTTCAACATCAAAGCTCTCACCGTCGCCGCCCTGGCGGCGCTGGGCCATGCCTCGCCGCTCTATTCCCGGGCCGATGCCAATGTCACATACGTCTTTACCAATGCTCACGGCCTCAACTTCACGCAGATGAACACCACCCTGCCGAATGTTACCATCCTGGCAACCGGCGGCACCATTGCCGGCTCCAGTGCCGACAACACGGCCACGACGGGCTACAAGGCGGGTGCGATTGGGATCCAACAGCTGATCGATGCGGTGCCGGAGATGCTGAACGTGGCCAACGTGGCCGGCGTGCAGGTCACCAACGTGGGCAGCCCGGACGTGACGTCGCACATCCTGTTAGACATGGTGCGCATGCTGGACGAGCTGGTGTGCCAGGACGAGACCATGGCCGGCGCGGTGATCACGCACGGCACCGACACGCTCGAGGAGACGGCTTTCTTCCTCGACGCCACGATGCCCTGCCGCAAGCCCGTCGTCGTCGTCGGCGCCATGCGCCCCTCGACCGCCATCTCCGCCGACGGGCCCTTCAACCTGCTGCAGTCGGTGACGGTGGCGGCAACGCCGGCCGCGCGCGATCGCGGCGCCCTCGTCGTGCTCAACGACCGTGTCCTGTCGGCCTTCTACACCTCCAAGACCAACGCCAACACCATGGACACCTTCAAGGCGATCGAGATGGGCGCCCTCGCCGCCATCGTCTCCAACAAGCCGTATTTCTATTACCCGCCGGTGCGGCCGACGGGGCATGAGTTCTTTGACGTCCGCAACGTCTCCGCCCTGCCCCGGGTTGACATCCTGTACTCGTATCAGGACATGCAGAATGACACGCTGTATGATGCGGCGAAGAATGGCGCCAAGGGCATAGTCGTACGTTTTCTGGCCCTTTGATAATGAATAATTGCTAACGATATGGCTGTAGATCGCCGGCTCCGGCGCCGGGTCCGTCTCGTCTGGCTTTAGCGCGGCCATCGAGGATGTCATGGATACTTACCACATCCCCGTCGTGGCGAGCACGCGCACCGGCAACGGCGAGGTGCCTCCGTCGGACGATGGAGCGATCGGAAGTGGGTTCTTGAATCCGCAAAAGTCGCGCATTTGGTTGGAGCTGTTGCTGATGCAGAAGAAGACGGTGGCGGAGGTCCGGGAGATGTTTGCCAAGGTGGCTGTCGCTTAGATTGTGTATAGATAGATAGAGGGATAGAGCAATAGAGGGATATACCTAGTTAGATATAGGCATACGGATCTGACGTGTCGGCTGCATGGATGGCGACATCTTATCGGCCAAACAGAAGCGCGTCGCTTATCATCAGATTCATTCAACATAAAGCAGCCTGCCTCCCATTTTCCTTACTCCGTACATTCATTCATTCATTCATTCCTTTCCTTTTGCCTCTTCGTCCATCACTCCATATCGTGTAACGTGTTGTACCCCGTTTCGATCAAACTGCGCGGCCCTCGCGCATCCCCTCCAATATGCCAATAAAACAGCCCCCCGAGCCTCGACTTGGTCACAAACCGCGCCTTCTGCTGCACCGTGCGCGGCGTGTCGTACGTGACGAACCCGCCGTCTCCGCCCGCGCAGTACGCCGCTCCCAGCTTCTCATCGTGATGCTCCTTCGCCCCGGGCCGCGGCAGCTCGCTATAATCAAAGACCCCGTCCTCCCCGCCGCACCCGGTATACCGCTGCCCGACCCCGCTGCTCCCCAGAAACGACCGCCCGTACACCGGCACGCCCAGCAGGAGCTTCTTGGGCTCGACGCCCTGCGATAGCAGGTAGGTTACGGTGGACTGGCACGACACGGCGGCCGGGTTGCGCGAGGGACTGTGCAGCTGCGCCTGGTGGCCCGTTTCGGTCGTCCACGGGCCCGAGAAATCATACGTCATCACGTTGATCAGGTCGAGGTGCCGCTGCGCCTGCGCCAGGTCGATGTTCTGCAGCGCCCACTGGCCCGCCGGCAGACACGTCGCCAGCACGTACCGCGGCGTCGGGAAGCCGTCGCCCTCGCGCAGCCGCGCCAGCAGCCGCACGTAGTCCCAGCCTTGTTGCGGGTCCGCTGGATGTTCCCAGTCAACTACGGAGTACCTGCGCGTTAGCCTTTCACTACTACCCAGAAGCGAAGGGGGGAGGGCGTACTATCCACCCCGTCCAGGCCGAACTGATCGACCAGCGCCCGGGCCGTCCGCACAAACGTCTCCACGCGCGCCGGGCTCCGCGCGACAGCGGCAAAATTCTCGCTGCCCTTGCCGCCGCCGCCGATCGAGAGGATCAGCTTCATCTTCGAGTACTGCGGTTTCAGCTGCGCGAACGCGCGCAGGCAGCCCTGCGTGCCGTCCACGGGCATCTGGGCGTCGGCCCATTCGTCGCTCAACTATTTCTCAATCTCGTTAGTGTTGCCTACTATATGGGATGAGGGGAGAGGCGGTATACATAGACGGTGCCGTCTTCTTTGACCCTGTTTCGCTATTGTTAGCATGGTGCAGGTGGGGAGAGAGGGGGAGGGGCGCGGGGGGGGAGGGTACCAGGCAAAGGCGTAGAAGATGTGCGATATAAAGCCCAGACGCAGCGACGACGGCGGCTGTTTGCGGTAGATGCGCCAATTCGGGTAGTAGGCGGCGTTCAGGAAGAAGGGCACCTCGTACGAGCTGCTGCTGGAGCGTTCGGCGGCTTTGCGGCGCCAGTGCGGGAAGAGGGTGCCGGAGAACATAGTCACTGCCACTGTCTTACTCCAGTAGTATCAGATGGGGTGAGTGACCCAGATTTATTCTGGGATCATAGATGTACAGGGAGAGGGGCAGAGAGTCGTTAGGTATAGAGGTGAGGTAGAAGATGGCAGTACTAAGTACAGTAGTGTAGAGTCGTGTGGGAAGGGTCACGTGTGGATCGGTCGTTGGATAATTTCTTTTTTTTTTTCACCAATATCCAGCACAGATGACTTCTTTCTATCTGAATAAGACTCTGCAGTGTTATATACTCCGTAGAGACCAGAGCTGACAGAACGGCATGGCATGGCATGGCCTCAGGACGTACGAACCACCGCCAACGGACAAGGCAACCGATCCCAACTCTCGAGGATTATTGTATTATTAAACAGAAACCAGATTGCGTACCAATCCGGATCCACTACGTCTGACTTGTCCTGGCATTCGCAGATGTCCAGACAGTGGATGGTTCTGGTTCATGGCTCATGCGGGGACCTCCATCTGTCAACCCATCAAGCCGCCGTTCTATTCTAATCCACACAACAAAGGAAAGCCCAGAGACATGATCAGCCGCCCAGACAGGGTCCATGCTTCACCCCCGCTGGGAGGCATCATTGGATGCCCCGAAAGCTTCTTCGTGGCGATGAAACGGCGTCGCGTGCGGTTGGACTGTGGACTGTGGACTGTGATGCCTCTCGGTGAGAAGGAGTGGCGAGACCCGGGTTCAGAAGTACCATGTCAATAGGAAGTGTTGGTCGAACCATCCACCATCCAGAGGTACTAGCACTGACTCTTAATCGACACATAAACTTCCAGTGTGGGGGCTGACGAGTGATTTCCACCCCGCAGGATGATGCACATCCAGCTGGCATGACTGGCCCTCGGCGAGGGGCGGATCGCCAGGAGCCCAACAAAAGAAACGAGTCCTGGGGTGCGTCGTTACTGATGGAGGCTGATTGTCGCGCTAGGATCGTCTGTGACCATCACCAAACGAGGCAAGACGCCATCCACAGACACAGATCTCGACCGGTCGTTCAGACTGAGAAAAGAAAGCGAGAAAATCCGGGTGATCCCATGACTCGCGAGGGATTTTCTCGTATGCAGGGGCAACGGCACCGTCTGAGTAGTAGTGTGGTCTCAGGCGCCGATGACCGGAGAAGTCTGGTGCCTACTCCATAGGATCTGGATGCAGCCATGCTCTGCTCATCGCTCGTTAGCTCATCGAGTCAGTCGCAGCTAGATAGTATAGACGAGTCCGATAGATTGACATGTTATCACCAGGGAGGACAAAGTACGCAGGCAAATCACTTGGAGGATGTTGAGTGTCACGAGATGTCAACAAACAGGTCATATTTCGTTGTGCAGCCCTGACTAATTATGCTCTGACTAATGTTTGCCACCGCCTACCACATCAGGACGCTCTTGTTTCTTCTCGACGATTCGGAATAATGCACCAGATAAAGACGTCCAGCACCCTATCTTCTTCGAACACACCTTGACCTTACTACACCGTCGAGCTAGGGCGTCTTATAGCTCGTTTAATACTTCCTATCTCTTAATCCTGTCAATCTACGTCCATTGAAGCTGGTCTTCAGTCCCACAGTCCTCTACCACCGTCGAGATGACCGGCGACGTAAGTCACGCCGCGGCGCAAATCCTCTCTGCCGACAGCTCGCGCGATCCCAGCTACGACGACTTCTCCTTCACCCCCTTCATCCGCAAGAGCTTCGGGTTCGGCCTCGCCAGCGATGTCCCTGTCTGCAAAGCCTACAGCGAGGGCCATTGTCCATTAGGACCGGCCTGTCCAGATCGCCATCCCACCCCCTCGCGCGTGACAACCTCGACGACGACCGCGTCCGGGCTGGCGCCCTCCACGACGCACGGCTCGCTGGTGTGCAAGCACTTTCTCAAAGGCCTCTGTAAGAAGGGGCTCAAATGCGAATACCTCCATGAATACAACCTGCGACGGATGCCGGAATGCCAGTCGTTCTCGCGGTCGGGATACTGCCCCAACGGAGACGACTGTCTCTACCAACACGTGCGGGAGCAGGCCCGTCTCCCGCCGTGCGAACACTACGACCGCGGATTCTGCCCGCTGGGCCCGCTCTGCGCCAAACGCCATGTCCGCCGCCGGCTCTGTCCGTTCTATCTGGCTGGGTTTTGTCCCGAGGGGAAGAACTGCGCCGACGCCCATCCGCGCTGGTCGGAGAACCTGCCGCGTCCGACCCTGCGCGTGGAGAAGACCGAGGAGGAGCTGGAGCGGGAACGCACGTTGATCCGCGAGGAGCAAGAACGGGAGAAAGAGCGCGAGCGCGAGTGGAGGAGTGAACGGGGACGAGGGGGAGGGTTTGTTCGCGGCCGATACCGGGGCCGCGGACGTGGATAGTCGTCGAGAGACGATGCGATTACTGTGTAATAGATACCCAATGGATTGTATACGGCGTATGTATGAGATAAGAAGGATTGGAGATACGGGTTGTTAGCTACTGAGTGTACTTCGTACAAAGTTATGTAGACCGTTGAATGACATCATGACCAAGTCAGCATAAGATAGTCGCGTCGATCGGGACAATCGTTTCCTAGCACTCGACTCAAAAATCTCCTTATCGTAATGATAGACCTGCGTATACAGTAGCTAGAATATTCCGTCTGGTCTTCGTACGATAACAGACGGAGTCCATCCGTACTCCGTAAATCCTGTATAAGAATTTGTCAACGATCGGTCAGAATCCGCTAAGCCGCTAGCTCGCCCGCTCATTGGCGCATCGGCTCAGTCATCGATTAGCTCATCCACGTTGTCTCTGCCCGTGCTTCTTATTGATGATTACTGCATCATCCCAATCCAGCACCGCCATGAGCCTTCGACGAGGTTGCAGGCCCCATCAGGGTCTAGCTGCTTCTGCTCCCGTCCTGCCAGTCTAGCTGCCCCTCCGAAATGCTGTCATATATAAACCCCCACCCAATCCCCCCTCCTCTCCCCTTCTCTTCCTCAATCAATTCCTCATAGACTGCTTTGTCCATTAATCCTAATTCCCATCTTCTTTTGACTCAATTGCTGTCATCATGGCTCCCAAGGTCGCTATCGTCTTCTACTCCATGTACGGCCACATCCTCAAGCTGGCCGAGGCTGAGAAGGAGGGTATCGAGGCCGCCGGCGGTAAGGCCGACCTCTACCAGTACGTCTCTCCAATGCCCCTCCCAGTGTCCCAAAAATCACTCCCTAACACTCAATCCAAGGATTGAGGAGACTCTTCCTCAGGAGGTCCTCGACAAGATGCACGCCCCCGCCAAGTCCAGCTACCCCGTCGCCCAGGCCGACACCCTGAAGGACTACGATGCCGTGCTCTTCGGTATCCCCACTCGCTACGGTAACTTCCCCGCCCAGTGGAAGGCCTTCTGGGACCGCACCGGTGGCATCTGGGCCTCTGGTGGCTACTGGGGCAAGTACGCCGGTCTCTTCGTCTCCACCGGCACTCTCGGTGGTGGCCAGGAGTCCACCGCCATTGCTGCCATGAGCACCCTCGCCCACCACGGCTTCATCTACGTGCCTCTCGGCTACAAGACCGTCTTCCCTCTCCTTGCCAACCTGGAGGAGATCCACGGTGGCAGCGCCTGGGGTGCTGGTACCTTTGCTGTGCGTTTCCCTTGTACCCTCTGTCTATGGACGTGACCGTACTAACCTCCCTAGGGTGCCGACGGCTCCCGTCAGCCCACGAAGCTCGAGCTTGAGATCGCCAAGGAGCAGGGCAAGGCCTTCTACGAGCACGTTTCCAAGGTCAGCTTCGCTTGACTACATGGCAGCGACCAAACCAAGTCCGAAACGCCTGCTGCTGGCGCCGCATCGAAACAACCCGAAAACCAACAGAAAACCGAAACCTCCCAGCCCGCGCAGACACAACAGACCACGTCGCAGCAAGCATCAGGTTCCAAGGCCGAGAAGAGCGAGGGCCCTTGCGGTCTGCCCAAGAAGTGCAACATTCTTTAATTGGCGTGACCCTTGATACCCTGGCTCTGTCGTTAACTTGACTTGTTCGCTTGTTTTGTTCGTATCGGAGGCGTTCTGTGGTGGAGATTTATGATATGATGCCTAATAATGAGACTTGGTTATACCTACTAGTGTCTTTGTAGCTTGAAACCACGTAGAGCTGTGTTTAACACCGGTGGAGAGTTCTATGACCTTACTATCAGTATGCACATAGCTACAGCACAGCGATACTCATGGAGCTATGCAGGTAGATGTATATGTTAGTCAGCCGCTTACTAACCCTATGACGATAAGCTACCGCTTTCGTTCCTCCGCTTTCCATCACAGCTTCTCCTCACCTTGAACTTCATCTCTCCCTCCTAACCTAGTTCACCCTTCTTTGGCGTCTTCTCTCGGACTCATACGACCCTTCGTTCCTCGTCATGATTCATTTTCTAGCTTAACTTACATCATCCAACCGACCTACCGTTACGGGCCGCACCTCCCACGTCATCCGCACCTCACTCGTCCACTACCATGGCGTCCCGACCGATTGTGCTGAGATTCGAAAGTCGAAACGGACAGTTTCGGCTGTCCGTAAGCCCACAGGAGCTATTTCCCACCCTCCAACAAAAGGTACGTTCTTCAGCGGTGAGCTAGGATGCACTTACGTCCTAACCACTTGCAGATTGTAGAACACCTCCCCCAAGATATCGAGCCATCCTCGATCACTCTGTCCAACAAACCGATTGGCACGGGTGGCGACGAACGCGCTCTAGCTGGTCTCGGCGGTATCTCTGTTGAGAAAGCTGGTCTAAGGTTGGTTTGGCGCTGGTTAGATTCACTTTGGACTTACTAACCCTTACCAGTCACGGCGACAAGCTCTACATAGGCTATAAAAACAAACAGGACCTACAGGATGGGGCGTCTAACGGCCACGTTACGAACGAATCATCCCGCCGCCTGAACGGAGCCCCGGTACCACAGAAAGAGACGGTCGCGATCCGCCCGCAACCCTCCTCCCCGTCCGCGACGATCAAAAATCCCTGGGACGTCGTCCAGCAATCACCACTCGATGACGCGCTGGACAAGAAGGATGGCAAGATCAAGCGGGCGCTGGACGCCAAAATGTGCAAGCATGGCCCCAAAGGCATGTGCGACTACTGCATGCCACTGGAGCCCTACGACCCGAAATACCTTGCCGAAAAGAAGATCAAACACCTGTCGTTCCATTCGTATCTCCGGAAGATCAACGCTGCCACCAATAAAGCGGAGCTGAAGAGTTCCTTCATGGCCCCCCTCAGTGAACCATACTACCGCGTACGGCGCGACTGCCCCTCTGGACATCCCCCGTGGCCCGAGGGCATTTGTACCAAGTGCCAACCCAGTGCGATCAGCCTGCAGCCTCAGGAATTCCGCATGGTGGACCACGTAGAATTCGCCTCGCCTGCCCTGATCAACTCGTTACTGGACTTCTGGCGGAAGTCTGGCGCGCAGCGGATGGGCTTTCTCTATGGTACATACGAGGAGTACACGGAAGTACCACTGGGGATCAAGGCGGTGGTCCAGGCGATCTACGAACCACCGCAGGTGGATGAGGTGGACGGGATCACTCTTCACGAATGGCCGAACGAGCGAGAAGTGGATGAGGTTGCTCGGCTTTGCGGCCTGGAGAAAGTCGGAGTGATTTTCACCGACCTCTTAGATGCGGGTCAGGGCGACGGGTCTGTCGTCTGCAAGCGCCATATCGATTCGTACTACCTCTCCTCATTAGAGGTCGCTTTCGCGTCGAGGCTGCAGGCGCAGTATCCGAAAGCCACCAAATGGAGCCGCAACGGCCGATTCGGGTCCAACTTTGTCACCTGTGTTCTGAGCGGTGACGAGGAAGGGGCCATCACGGTCAGTGCGTATCAGGCCTCAGTGGCCGCCGTCGAGATGGTCCGCGCAGATATCGTCGAGCCGTCTGCCGAACCCTCCGTCATGCTTGTGCAGTCCGAAGAGGACGACACAGACAACAAATCCCGATATATCCCCGAGGTCTTCTACCGCAAGATCAACGAGTACGGCGTGAGCGCCCAAGAGAACGCGAAGCCCGCATTCCCTGTTGAATATCTCTTCGTCACATTAACCCACGGCTTCCCCACGGAATCATCGCCCCTATTCACCGACAGCAGTTTCCCCATCGAAAACCGCGAAGTCATCGGCGAGAGCCAGGAGCTTCGCCATGTCGCAAAGAAGCTGGTGTCTCATGGCGACCCCGACAAGGCGATCCAAGCGGTGTCCGATTTCCACCTCCTTTGCTTCCTCCACTCGCTGTCGACGTTCAACAAGGTGAGATGATTTCCGCTACCTGTCCATTTGAGCCGTCAGCTAACCCCTCATAGGATGAGGAATCTCTTCTCTGTCGCGTGGCGACGTCCCGAAAACCCGCGGATGGAATGCAGCTGATCAACACCGCCGGGTGGGCGACCTTGGTGACGATTCTTCAGGAAAGTGGTGAGCGCCCCCCTAAGCGCCCCTGGCTCAACTCGGCCGAACTCTCGCGTCCGATGGCCCCGCCCGGAAAGCGGTTCTTCTCATCAAGGCCTGAGTCTCCCAAGTCCGAAAGTGAGCAGCTTGCTAAGAGGTTCAAGGGAGCTAGTCTAGAGTGACTGGTATGCGATTCCCGATTATACCCCCCACCGTGGTCATTCGCTCGACATTCGACCCTTGTCGTCGATTCGATTGATGGAGTGGCGTGTCTGGGGTCATCAGCTGTCTTATTCGTCTTTGGGCCGGCGCCTATCGATCTGGTTGATGCATATACGTGGAACCATGAATTACGTACGTTCAGCATGCGAACCGGCTTCATCACAGTATAGTTAGACGGCGCGGAAAATGTATTCAGGATTATCGCTTCTATGGGTACTTGGGTAGACTCAGGTAGTCTTTTCTGAATTGACACGACAAAATTCAATGAGCTGAAAATACAACTAATATACAAACGCCCATCGTTTACCTCCTTTGGGCAGATCATTCTCCCTTGACTAGCTGTCTCAATCGTTTTTCCAAAAGCTGCCTTCCGTCAACCGTGCGCCACACTTCGTGCGGTGCGCCCTTGACCACATCCCACTCCTGCAGATTTCTCGTGACCTTGGTGAGATCCTGCTGGGCTTTGGCCCAGCGCTGGCTCTTGCGGACCTCCACGCCCGAACTAACGACCATCAGCGGGGTGTCAGCCTCCTGGACATGACGGGCTGTCTGAATCTCCGAGGCGGTCATCGTGGCGGCGACCAGGTTCTCCTGCAACTTGGCCTTGATGACCTTGCCGGTCTGGTAGGCACTCCGCCCGTAGACGCGGTCCTCGCGGGTGCGGCCCTTGAAGATGGCGCCGGCAACGCGGTCAAACCCCAGCGGGGAGATGACGCCGCGCAGCCAGAGCAGGAAGCCGCGGCCCGGCGAGGCAATCTTCCCCAGGTAATCCTCGTGCAGGCTGTCGATGAGCATGATGCCGTCGATCTCGAGCACATGGCGGCTGGCGAAGATGCGGCTGTAGATGCTGCCCACGCCAGCCGACACCAGCACCCACGGCCCCTCCTCGCCGGCCAGGGCCAGCGCCTCCGACAGCGCGTCGGCGGCCATGCCGGCCGAGTACGGCGACGGCGCGTTGTCGGACCAGCCGAAGCCGGGGCGGTCCCAGTAGCAGTAGCGGGGAATGGCGCCGCTGCGGTAGACGTCATCGATGAAGGGCTGCAGGGTGTGTTCGGCGGGGTTTTCGCCGGCCTCGAGAAGGACCGTGGGCGTGGTGTTGTTCTTGTTGTTGGTGTCTTTGGGGTCGCCCACACAGGCGAGATGCACCTGGAAGCTGTCGCCGTTGACGTAGTAGCGCGAGCCCGGGGGACGGAGGGAGGCGTCGCGGGCGCGCAGGACGAGGGTGGCGGTGAAGAGGATGGCGACGATGGCGAGGATGGCCATGGCGACAGACTCGAACAGCACGGCGAGCCACTCGCGCAGCGGGCGCCGGGTCTCCTCGCGGCCGGTCAGGCGCTCCTCCTCCTCGCGCTTGCCCCAGGCGACGGAGCGGATCTGCAGGACGTTGTAGAGCGCGATGAGGGTGGCCCAGACGACGGAGGCGATGCCGACCCAGCCCTCCTCGAGACGCAGGCGCGGCACGCTCACGATGATGCACATGTCGACGAGGAGGAGGACGAGCAGCAGGATGCCCGAGACCACCATGGGGCGGGAGGGCACGGAGAAGAAGAGCAGGCTGATGACGAGGTAGGCGACGGTCAGGGTGGTGTAGGCGAAGCAGAAGAAGCCGGAGCCGCGCGTGTGCATGGTCGGTGGGCTAACGAAGACGGACACCAGCAGGAAGGTCCACCAGATGAAGGAGATGGCTAGACAGAGCGACGAGAGGCCGCGAAGGGCGCGAATGCTCCAGAGATTGTATGGGGATACCTGGTGAGGTCAGTGCGATAGAATCGAGGTATAGACTGGAAGCAATCAACGTACTGCAGGGTCATCTGGGCTCAGATATCCGGGATTCTCGCGCGGCAGCAGTCTCGTCCGCTCATCGGGTTCGTCCTGGTGTCGCGTACTCGTAGAGCGGCGATCTTCATGGGACTGTTGCCCCTGGTCGGACGGTGGCTGACCGTCGGAGCCATCGTTTCGGCGCCATAAAGGAGACATTGTGGTGGTGATGGTGGTAGCTGTATCAGTGAGGATATACTCGGTAGATCAGCAGCTGGGATGAGAGGTGAAGAACAGTGACGTCATTCGACGCAGGGTAGCTCGCACGGAGAACAGGATCAGGACATGAAGAGAGGACAGCCGGGTAGTTATGTATTTCCGCAGAGTCTATCGAGAGAAACGAAGAGTGGGAAGGTGACGAGAGAAGATTGGATGGAAATGCAAGTATGCGATGAGGTCATCGATATCGCATTCCTGCCTCAGGCAGCACAGCATGCCACCATTAGTCACCCCCCACCAGCAACAACACCACCTCGACAAGCATCTACATGCCAGAAACAGTTATCTCCACACCCTCACTCTTTGTACATTCGCCTGTCTGACTGCGTATCATGAACGCCCGCAACAGCTTCCAGTGCGTCAATCTGTGATTTCTCTCCGTGGGCGACATCGCCGCGGTACTCTATATTCATACAGCATCACCCCGCGTATACACCTACACCAGTCCATAGTACATACCTACTCTCCATGAGCGAGCTGCAAAAATCATTCGCCAAAGCAAAGCTGGCCAAGCTCCCCGTCGAGCCGCCCATGTCCGCCATGGATGCCCTAGAAGAGGAGGATTCCTCCGGCTCGTCCACCGGGACGGTGACTCCGTCCCCGAGTAAACGGTTGTTTGCCCGACCCGATCGAGAGTACGTGCGCGCAGTCTAGGTACCGCCCTGCCGTGTGACACGCGTGGTGCATGCAGCCTTACCACACCCGGCACTCCCACCTCAAACACACACAGCTCATCATCGCTAACGCCCCCCCGCCAGATCCGCCTCCTCCACCCTGAGCTGGACCGACTTCTTCGCGCAGGAGCTCTTCCTCCGCGAAGACGTCGCCAACACCCAGATCACCCACCATGTATACCTGACACCGCCCACGGGCTCCGGCCCTCTCTTCGTCATGCACCACGGCGCCGGCTCCTCGGGCCTCTCCTTCGCCACTTGCGCAGAGGAAATCCGCAAGCTCCTCCCCACCGCCGGCGTGCTGTCCCTCGACGCCCGCGACCACGGCCAGACCACCGTCACCGCCGCGGACGGCCACTCGCCCGTCGCGCTGGACCTCAGTCTGGACACGCTGAACCGCGACCTCGTCTTCGTGGTCCGCGCGACGCAGTCGCACATGGCCTGGGACAGTCTGCCCGATCTCGTCCTCGTGGGCCACAGCCTCGGCGGCGCGGTCATCACCGACGTCGCGAGGAAGGGCGAGCTGGGGCCGAAGGTGCTGGCGTATGCCGTGCTGGATGTGGTGGAGGGTGCGTTGCGTTTTCTCCCTTGCCATGCGTCGACCGTCCACTGATGAATGACAGGCTCGGCAATGGACGCCCTCCAAAGCATGGAGCAGTACCTCTCCACGCGACCCTCGCGCTTCCCCTCGCTGACCTCCGGGATCGAATGGCAGTAGGTATCCCCGGCTTGGACCCGAACGAGACTAAATGTATGCAGCACACGCTCGCGCACGCTTCGAAACCGCACCTCCGCGCGGGTGTCTGTCCCCTCCCTACTCTACGAGGAGGAAGCTTCCTCCGACCCGTCCAAACCATGGGTGTGGCGCACGAATCTCGCCGAGACCAAGCCCTTCTGGGAGAACTGGTTCATCGGGCTGAGCAGGAAGTTCCTCGAAGCGCGCGGCGGCAAATTGCTTCTTCTCGCCGGCACGGATCGACTCGATAAGGAGTTGATGATTGGGCAGATGCAGGGTATGTTTTCCATGCTTATATATGCTTTACGATCGATGCTCACAACCCAGGCAAATACCAATTACAAGTCCTGCCTGAAGCGGGCCACTTCATCCAGGAAGACCAGCCGGCCAAGACGGCGCAGATCCTCGTGGATTTTTACAAACGCAACGACCGCAGTGCGTTGGTGCTGCCGCCCAAGGTGGCGGATATGCAGGCTTCCGCTGCGATGAAGAAGGGAGGCAGTATGGGCAATCCCCTGGGACGACCGCAGGATCACAAGTAGATACGTAGACGAGATTAACGAACCATTAATTCGATTCAACTTTATCATACTGTCATCCATTTTGTACTACCTAGCTAATGATGGAGTGGACCAAATCTAAAAATCACCGCCAACACCAGCCATCCTCCGGACGCCGCCTTGTATGTATTGAGCCAGTCATTACCCTGCGACGGCCACCTTTCCAAAACGCGTCAACAAGAACATAGGAATGGGATATGCAGAATAAATGAAGAAGGAGACTCGGGTATCACGCCACTGCGAAAAGATCACGGAAGATAAGCACCTCCGGCAATGATCAAGTTCATATTGGTGAACTTGACCTTGTACACCGGACTCTTTTTCGTCGGAAAGGCGCTGATCTGGTCCGGCGTCACCACAACGTCTTTGCCCTTCTTCTTCGGAGCCACGGAGCTGGAAGCTTGCGCGCCAGTGGCAGGTGCACTACCCGCGTCCACCTTCGACCCTGCACCGCCCTCGCCAACGACTCGTCCTTGCGAAGGGTCCTGCGCGGGCCCGGCGACATCCCAGACGCGAACGGTTCCGTCTGCGCCGCCCGACACGAGGACGGTTGATTCAACGCTCCAGCTCAAGGACCAGATACCGCCTTTGCCGTGGCCACGCATGCGCTTCAGCAGTCGGCCGGGAGCCAAATCCCACAGCAAAATCGAGCCGTGATCGTCAGCAGATGCCAGAAGCTTGCCGTCCCGGCTGCACGCTAGTGCGGTGATGTTGCCCGTATGTCCCGTAAACATACGGACGGCATTCCCGGTCGTCACGGCCCACATGCGCACGGTGTGATCTGAGCTACCGGTGAAGACGTACGCAGAGTTTGGATGGAAGCACACGCAGTCGACGTCTTGGTCGTGGCCCACAAAGATGCGCTGCTGCCGGATATGGTCGGTCACCCACAAGCGCGCGGTCTTGTCGTGGCCGCCCGAAACGAAGTAGTGGCCAAAAGGTCCCCACTGGAGATCCCACACCGGTTGATCATGTCCCTTGTACACGACCATACATTGCCACAGATCCAGAGACCAAAGTCGGATGGTTTTGTCGGCGGATGACGAGAGCAACCAACGGGCGTTGGTGGGGGTTGTCGCCGTCTCCGAGCGGGTGGTAGACGGGGCAAAGGCCACGGCGTACACGGGACCAGAATGTCCGATCAGACGGCGCGAGTTAGATGGAGGCGCATCATCAACACTGTCGTAGGTTGACGGAATCTTCTTTCCGTCCATGCTCCAGACACGGATATATGACTCTTGCATACCAGCTGCGACGAGCATATTGTCATCCGAGAAGTCTAGGCAGTTGATCCTAGTCGTAGTCAGCACATTACAGCAAATGAAGCAGCTCTCGACTTACCCATCATATGTATTATGGAATGTGAACATGCAGACGCTAACGGCGGGACCGACGCCACCGGTGCGGCCTTCAATCCTGAACCTGTCGCGGTTCTCCTTGACCTTTTGGATCTCCATTTCCACATCGCGTGCCGTCGACGGCGGGTAGGGAATGTCAGCGCGGGTTGGCGCCTCCTCGTCTTCCTCCTTTTTGATCATCAGGTCGAACTCCTGGACAAGTGTGTTTTGGCCAGCCGTTGGCGGGTGCTTCGCATCCTCATCGGCGAGTTCACCGCGCACGTCAGTCTCCAGTGTCTGTTCCATGGGGAGTTTGCCGAGCCTCAATCGCGGCAGCGTTCCCGCCATGGCAGGGTTGTCGCCTGTGTAAGCAGATCCGGGGTGATGGCCGGGGATACCTTCGTCTTCAGCGGGGAAAGAATGCCCCATTCCAGCCTGGCCCAGCATAGCCGCAAAGCTGAATCGGTCATCCACGGCGCGCTCCTTTGTAATGATAGTGCAGTAGCTGCTGAGAATAGCGGACATGACGGAGCCGCCTTCTTTCGGCTTGCTCTCCAGGAACTGCATGAGGTTTGAAAAAGCCGGGTTACTGAGCACCAAGCGGTACTTGTTGTTGCGATACAACTTGGCAGTCGAATTGTCCTGCACATGTTCAGGGAGGCTGATTGGCTCCAGAGCACGGACATCTTCGGTGTGCTCCGGCAAGAACAGGTTCTTATTGATATCAAAGAATTGCTTTGCCTCCTGCGGATAGAAAGAGGTAACCATGTTGAGGAAAGAATAGACAAAGAGCGGCCAGAGCACACGTCTGAGTTCGGGCTGTAGGGGATTAGCTCGGTTCATAAACTTCGATGGGAAGGTTTACCTTGTACAGGTCCAGGTTATCTTCCACCCAAACCTTGAGTAAATCTAGAGGGTAGGTTAGCCATCATATTCAGTAGCATATGGCCATCACCATAAAGTCTATTATTATGCAGAAACTTACCAAAGCCCATACGGTACTTTGGACGAGCATCCTCGCCTAGAGGGGGCAATGGGCGGCCGTCAATTTCTTGATTGGCCGACTCCATCCGAAGCATAGCTTCGGTACGGCTATAGCCTTTTTTGGCCAGGTAGTCGATGACCTAGCATGGCATTAGCAGTTGGCTCAAAACTGAAATGGAGAGTCGCATGTGGTGGTGCACGATATGTAGTCTACTGGAAGCTCCCTTCGGGAACCAACAGATGACCAAACACCCCACAGTCAATCAATACAACACCTCAGAAGCAATTCACTTACTATTTGATTCAAATTCTGCTGTGACATGGCGCCACTGGGTGGAGGAGCCGGTGGACCGGGGGTGACTGGGGTGCTGGCGGACATTGATTGCTGGTGAGGAGGCATGGACATTCCTCCACCACCGGGCCCCATACTTCCGCTCCGGGGTGCAGGGCTGGGGGCCCCGCCTGGCGCAGACATGGCGCGGAATGAGTCGATGCGACAGGAGCTTCTGACTCGGATGAGAGGAGGGAGGGAGCGAGATGCGCGATGGTGAGAAGAGGATGGAAGTAGAAGACGCGGAGGATTTGCGGCTTTCGTCCTTTCGGATATGCCGCTAGGCCGCGTTGGGACTAGCCGTGTTCCTCCCTGCTGAGGTAATCAGAGAGTTCCCCAGAAAGCGCACGTGACGGGGTACAGCTCCATCTTGAGCTCCCTCACTCTGCCTCAGTCCGTCTGCTAGCGACACTGCTCCTCACATCATGGCCGACACCAGAGAACCCGGCAAGCCCGATCAGATCTTTACGTCTGCGGATCGCATCCGCCAATTGAACGAAGTCGACAAGGTGGGCGAGAAGGCGACTGTCTAGCGTGCCGACGACACGACGAACTTGGCTGACACCATCGCGACAACAGGATGTGGCTAAACTGATTCACTCCGCGGGTCTGGCAATTCAAGCCCTGACCAATGCCCGGTCCGGCGAGTCCTCCGACACCTCACTCGAATCTCACAAATCCCGATTCAAAGAAGCGACCTCGCAGTACTTTGCGCTGCTCTCGTCTATCGATGTACGGCTTCGCCGCCAGGTCTACGCTCTCGAGGAGGCCTCCATCCTTGCACCGGAGGCGACGTCTCGAGCGGGTGATGCTCCAGGCGCTGGTGTTGGCGGACCAGCTGCCGCCAACCCGCTCGATGTCAGTTGGCTGAATAGCAGAAAGGACACCGTCGGCAAGGACAAGGAAGCTGAGCTCTGGGCTGCGGCAAGGGGCTTCGTCGAGCAGATTAGCCAGTCGTCGACGGATCCATCGGAGCCAAAGTCTAGCGATGGCCACGAAAAGATGGAGACAGATTGAACAGGCTGTGTCCAGGACGGATAGGCGAATGTTGTTATCAGCGCGTTGTGATACCCATAGTCATAATATGACTTATTTTATACATCTATCTTGGAGGACGCCTTGTATAATTGCAAGCTATGGAAAATAATCGAAAGTTCGGATCACCAGGAACCTTAACTCAAACTACGTACAGGTGGAATTGCGACGGTTGACATGGAGATGACAAGCCATCATACTCCTGACAGAGCAACGTCTACACAGACTACCGCTGCATAGACCGGATCATCTCCAGATGGGTCGCCTTGTCTTTACTCGTCTCAGACAAGGAGGCAAGGCCTACGGCAGTTAGCATACCTCTGAGTAGCATCATCACTTGAGGACTTACTCCGGAGTTCACCCACGACATCCTTCGCCTTTCCAAAGTAGACCTCCTCTGTAGACGAGTTAGACTGCAACTCGATTGCAGTATATCATGACGACTTACGCAGCAGGTTCCTCATCTTCAACTCCATGTCCTCGACGAGCCGACCAACGTTAGCCACATGGCTGGCGTCCGACTCAACCGGAAGGTCGACCTCCACTTGACGGGTCATGTTTCCACTCAGGTCCATCGATCCCAGAGCCTCAGTCTCATTCGCCAAGTGCAGAATGACGGTGCTGGTCAGCTTGTAGTGCGACATGCGGGCCCGATCAGTCGCTTCGAAGACGTGGATGCTGTCCCATTCGCCCGAGCTCTTCGCGCCTGGCGTCACGCCTGCAACGAAGTCAGCCGTCAACATCCACTACCGCACCAGCTGAACCAAAGGAAACGATTATGAGGAATCACGTACCCTTCTTCAGGAGGATCACACCCGCAAACCCATCATCCAAATCCCAGAAGTAGACGCTGCCGACACCACCGTCGTAGTACAGCTCGCGGTACACGTCGAACGCCTCGTTGGCCGCGACTTCGAGCTTTCTCACCCGTTCACTGGGTACCGTGCCGTCGTCCAACGGAGGGTCGAACTCGTTGCTCCAGGGCGAGCGGTAGCTGTCCCCATCCCGGTTGTAGTCGCACAGGAGGTAGTCGCGGTTGGTCTTCTGACAGCGGCGAATCTCGAGGGGCTGGTCAACGGAGGACAGGAGGTCTTCGGTCAGATCCGGGACAATGCTGGTAATGGCCTGCAGGTTCTGCTTGGTGTCGCGGGGGTTGAGGCGGCGGAGGAGGTCCCTGGAGACAGGTCAGCGGGAGGTCGGAGGTGGGGTAATGCATTGTATGCGCTCATGTTGGAGGAATCTGGAGAGGGAACTGGGAAGGGAAACTGTTAGACGAGAGGGCTTACAGCGCACTGTCAAACTGAATGTCGGCCATGGTTGGGAATTGTGAGGGGGAAGAGACGGTTGGAGTTGCTGTTTACCTCCGTGCTTCAGGCGGACCTCCAGATGGTCGGAGGTGCGTGGGCCCGTTTCACAAGCGCGTGGCAGTTGTCCCGCCCTCATATACCGCCATTCGTACTCGGACTTCTCGAGACAGAGGATGTCAATTACGGGTGATTATAGTACTTTATTTCTTGATGGGTCTATATGCAAGGTATCATCCAATCCACAACTCGTCGTTGTCGTCCAAGAGTCATCCCATCTGCGCTCAACGCCGTCCCAAAAGCGTATCCAGATCAGGGGCTTCAAAGTCGGCATCCAGTTCAAGATTCTCGCTCCTCGGAGACGAACTAAAGGGCTTAGGACCTTGTCGGTCCGTAAAAGAAGACAGCAGCTGTTCTGGAGAGATTGGCTGTGAGCCATCTAAATCTTCATCTTTCTCTTCATGGACCCTGCTGGGCGGCAGCCTAGGCTCCGGTTGGCCAGACCTGCCCTTTCGCAGGCGCTTTTTGTTACCTGGGCGAGATATTGACTGATGTATCAAAGACTCCTCCGCCGGTCGCCGGGATTCTAGAGCCAAGACTTCCTTGAAGCGTCCCTCGCAGTCGGAGCTCGTTTTGTCCATCTTCTGCAGCGCATCAATCATGCGCCTGGTCAACGATCCATGCTTCACAACTTTCGTGGGTCTGGAGACCAGTTGAAGACGAGGAAAGGCATCAGTACGAGGAGTCCGGATAACCTCCGGACTCGTGTCTCCAATTGTGCAGTAACGATGTTCTAGCTCCCGTTGCTGCTCCGCGGTCAGTATAACGTCTTCAAGAGCCGGGATGTCCACAGGCTCGGGGGTCGGTGTCCGAGCTTTCCTTTTGTCTTGGGCAGTGCGCTTACTGCCCCCGGCCAGCGAAGACGCCTTGGTGAACCCAGTGATCACATTATCGGGCATGTGGAACTTTTTCGGAGGCTTCTTGGGGACCCGTCCTCGTCGTTTCGGCTCGGGCAACGCCTGTTCCTCGTTCTCCTCGGGAATGTCAATATGCCGCTTGTCCACGATAGGCTTCACACCAGGGGGGAGAATGCGCGGAGATTTGTCGTCGTGAAAGGTGAAACGGGTGCCACTGGCAATCATCTGCTGCATCTTCTCGTAGTTGTCTTTCGCTTTAATGTACGATTCTTCCTCCTTGCCCTCCATGAGAAGGAGGACGATATTTCCGGCGCGTTTACGTCCTGTTCGTCCCATCCGCTGGAGCATTCGAATAGGTGATGCGGAGGAATCATAACACACAATCAGGTCCACCTCACCGATATCCAAACCCTCCTCACCAATAGAAGTAGCAACAATGGTGTTGTATGTTCCCTGTTTGAACTTCTGTACTACACCGAGCTGAGTCTTCTGATTCATGCCATCGGAGCCTTTTGCGCTAGCCTGGCCAACAAAGACTTGCGGGCGAATCATCGGTTCGTATCTTTTCAGCACCCTGGCCACTTCCTCGGCGCTGTCGCGAAAGTGCACGAAAATCATCACGCGGGTGGTGGATTGGGAGGCGCCTTCGGCTCCAGCTGAGCCTTCGCCCGCATCCATGAAATGATTGAGGACCACTTGCTTCAGATACTCGAGTTTGGGATGGCCGATGAATTCTGGGTTCTTGGTCCACGGGGAGAGGTGATTCATGAGCTTCTTGAAGTGTTCATCCTGAACAATCTGGCGTTGGTACTTGCCGCCTTTTTGACCATCCGTATTTCCCTGGAAGTGTAGCAAATGACGGTAGAACGGCGTGATACCATGGTACTTAAGTAAGTCGATGCCATGGGCTAGACTGGCAAGAACGGTGAAGATCGCATTGACCTTGCCCTTCAGCCCAAAACTGGAATTGCGGCCCGCATCAGACAACATCCACTGCTGTCGCGATTTGGTGAGACCGTATGCCGTCAGAGCCATGGGATCTCTGCCCCAATAAGCATTGAGCGTCCGAAGCTGGTCGACCAAAGGCTGCAGCGTTTTGGACAGCAGGTCCATACACAAGACCATTTCTTCTGAGTTTTTGAAAGTCTGAACTTCGGTATTCCTCGCATGCACATATTCTCGGATATCAAGGGATTGCTCCGTTCGAATTTCGACCTTGGAGATCTCCAGACCATCGATGACGGCTTGAACGGATTCCACGGTGGAACCGGGCGTTGCTGTCAGGGCGAGCACACGAAAGCTCTGGTTGTATCGGCGCAGGAACTTCACTACTTCGACGTAGGCATAGCCGCCAGTTGCGCGGTGGGCTTCATCGACCACCAGCAAGACGATGCGCTTTGGATCAGCGATGCCGGATTTAAGGTCATTAATGAGCGTCTGCGGAGTCATGAAGAACACACGCTTGTCTTGCCATTCTTGCGCGCGGATTCCAGGGGCTGCTTCTCCGGTGAGCATGGTGGTTTGGGACCGGGGGATTCCGGCTACGCCGAAGCATGCGGAAACTTGCTGCGCAACTAGGGGTTTCGTGGGGGCTACGAAGACAATCTGGGCATCTCTGGTCCATCGAAACCAGTTTAGCATGATCGTCGCGGCAATGAAGGTCTTTCCCAGACCCGTAGGCAGCGCGACAAGGAGATTATGGAACAAGCCCTTTTGGGTGATATTGAATTGATAGTCTCTGGTCTTGCCCAAGTTGGTCGGATATACCCATGTAGAGATGGCCTCTTGGTTGAGTTTGTGTTGCGTCGGGGCTTCGACTTTCTCGGGCGGAGCAAAGACCTGCTCGCCTTGCGGGGGTTGCGGAGCTTGGTTCCGCGTGGCCATATTAAACAGTGTCGTTTGGCGTACGCCCAGAGGTCGGTTGGAGGACTGCATAAAGGAGGACGGGCGCGACGAATTGCTGGGAGGAGCTGGAGGTGGGGGCGTGAGAGACAGGTCGGAGTCGAAAGCGTCGTCGGGGATATCGTCCAGGAAGTCGAACGATTCAGTCTGCGCGGTGTTCGTTGGCGCATTGTCGCTGGCGACAGGGGCTGGAGGGGAATTTTGTGCGGTTGAGAAAGACAATCGCGAGTTCTCTTCCTCAAAGGAAGCGAGTGATGCTGCGATGGCAGCATCTAAGTCCTCGTCGTCTCCATAGTCCTCGTGGCCGGGTCCTCGAGTCGTCTTGGGTGTTGGCTTTGTGGGTGCAGGCGGAGGTGGAGGGGGAGGGTCTGGCTTTTTCCAGCGCGGTCCTCGAATCATCTCCGGGGGCGATGGGGGTTGCGTCAACTGCGTGACGAAGATGTTCTCTTGCGGGTTATTGCGTTTGGGGACAAAGATCTTATACTTGGAGGAGGCTTCGTTCTCAGGGTGATCGGCGAAGTGGTAGGATGCTTGAGAGGGAGAAGGCAGCTCGTCCGTTTTGCTGGCATCGTCGTCGTCCACGACAAAAGAGTCCGAGTCGGATGCTACGCTATTGTCCTCGTTTCTGCGCGAGGTGGTGTTGCGCGTCTGGTTGCGCGCCTGGAGGCGACGGCGCTTGGGCGGAGGAGGGGAGGAGGCGACATCGGCAAAATCATCAAAGGCTTGGTCATCAGGATCGTCCTGGAGGTAGTCGTCGGAATCGGACATGTCGAGGCGAGAGTGAGTTGAAGTTGTGAAGTTGGATACCTCGTACTAGGTAGTGAGTTGAACGCGACGCGGTGTCGCGATATCATGTGATGTTTGGGTTGTTTGCATGTCAGGGACTTTCTCCCGATCAGGAAATATGAGGACAGGAGTGATGGAGAGTGCCGTAGAACCACTAGCCCTGGAGGATATGGGACTACTCTAGTATCACACATCACTACAAACATGAATGTTACCTGCATTACCTCTGTGACCGCTGGTATAGGGACAATTGCAAAGGATACATAGATACACCATTCTATAGACCCGTCGCTTCGTCTGTAGTAGGATTATCGTCAAGCACTGCATCGCTTCTTGATTCCACTATTTAAAGTCTTGACTCCCAATGCGGTGAAAGCTACTAGTAGGTACTAGAGGACATGATTCCTACAACAACGCACCATTTGCAGCAGTAAAAGACTCCTTGGCAGGAATCGCGGACTCTACCCCTATTGACGGAAAGGATAATGTGTGCCATGGAAACCAAAGCCCACTGCTACACCACAATCAGCGCGCCCTACTTCCGTCATGTCAGATGCATTGAGGCACAAGATGTAACTTGTGCCCGTGTCACCATTAAGAACAATGCTGAGCAGGTACCCGGCATCTTCAGCGGTATTCGTACCGTCCGGCACAAAGATAGCTTCGCCAGGAGTATGGTGATCATGGCTCCAGATTAGAACATTTTGCGTTTCCAGATCAACTTTGGCGATGCCATCAAAAAACGATGACTGGAAAGATCCGATGCTTAGCTCTTAATGCAATAGCCCATCAAGCAATAGAGTAGCTCACCTTTCCCTGGTTGACGACGTTGTACACATACCGCGCCTTCTTGCTGGCAAAAGAGGGGTTGATTGTGGGCAGGTCTCCAATACCTTCGCCATCAATTTTCAGCAGTATCTCTGCTTCGGGTATATTTGTATCGCTGGTAGGTAACTCGACCCGGGAGTCCTTGGGCACGTTGGGCAGGCGATAGCGGACCAAACTGGGACGCGATGCTTCACTGCCAAAGTATTTCTCCACGGCACTACCGGTGGAAACCATGGATTCATAGTATCCTCGCCGTATCATCTCGTCCGTCGGATATTGAATGATATCACACATGATATCCACCGTCCCGTCGTCGTTGTCGGTCTGCCATGCATTGATAGTATGGAAGCTGAAAAAGGCTTGACTCAAAAACGCGGCCACTACCCCTTTGTTTTGTTTTCGGTCCACGACATACCAGCGCGTCTGAATGTTGGAGTCGAATCGCATAGCATCCACCATGTTTCTCTCCCACAGGATTTTAACTCCCGCTGCCGCAAAGATACACGGCCAGATGCACAGAATCACATAGTCGGCGCTGAGAAAGAAGGAGTGGAGGTAAGCCGGTTTGACGGATGGCCCCGAGATAGTTGCAAGGATGTCCGTCTTGCCGGTGGCAGCCGACGTTCGGAAAACTCTGTATGTTGCGTATCTACCCAGATCGAGGTTATAGTTGAACAAATCCCCAGTTGTAGGGTCGATGGCGGCATGAGCACATGAAAGGGGACCTCGCAACTTGGGGTGCAGAACGTCCTGGCGAGTGACCCCTATGGGCTCCAGTGTCTCGGGGTCGACCTGTTAAATTGAGAACGCCCGTCCCATCAGTAAATTGATCAGGCGCTGCGAAGTGGTAGTTTTACATGTTTGAGTATGTTGGCATCTGTCAGAGTGGTCAGACTGCGGAATTGCCGCTCCCCTGCCAATGGATCGGAGCTCTTAGGATGAGGAGTTCCTCCAGGTATCTAGCTTGTTAGGACCAGACTGCATTATCCCAAACGTGGCTGTAATAGAGTCTTGGTTGGATGGGACACGAGACGGATTAAGATCTCAAACGTACATTCGCATGGACGGTGACCCCGACATTGGCGAGCTCCGGGTCTTTAGTATTAAACGACGGACGAAAGAAGCTTTTGACCTTCTGGAAAATACTCGCACATGGATCTCGTTTCTGGCCAAAGGTGATGCCCTCGAGAGTCCCCGACTTGCGTGCTTCTTCGACCAATCTATCAACTTGCCGTCGCGAGCTATACAACACCCTGCAGGTACCAGTAGGCTGCGTCACCAGTTGAAAGCGATGAAGATGAGTGAAGCCATCAAACCAATGGCTGAGCTGAAACTTGCTCCCTGCCACTTTGTATGTTCCGGGGCCTACTCGGTAGAGTGTTCCCGCGACCTGCCAGGGGATTGAGCCAGTGACCGGTAATTCAACAGGCTCGCGACACTCGGCAGTGGCCTCGAACTGTGTAAGATGAAGGAAGTTCAGCTTTCAGACTGGTCAACATCACGGGTCGAACCTACGCCTGCATCATTAGGCCAATTCATGAAAGGAGACCGGTGATCAGGGGTGGAGGCCATGGTGAACGCCAAGGGAGCGTATTCGACAAGGGTTATGGCGAAGACAAGGCGATTTTCAGATACGTTACGAGGAGAGCAGGAACGGCCCGCAAGCGACAGTCGGGGACCGTCTTATATGACCTTGCCACGTTCCACGACTATAGTTTGCCTAAAGACCATGAGAGATGGGACATAAAATGGCCGTAAACACAGTATAATTGGGCGACTAGCAAGGGTCTAGTCCATGATGTAACGGTGTAGCCTCGCACGGTCAAGAGCATTCCCATCAGTCCATATTGCACGGCCAATCCTGTGGCTTGGGTAGCGAGCTTACACCGTAACTTCGTGTACTTGGCTCCAATAATAAGCACTATTTAGCGGGGCTGGTAAAGAAGATGGGCTGTTGGGGTTCTGAACATGTGAGACGCCGACTCGAGGTGGATACTGATATGTTAGAATTCCAAAGCCAGGTCCTGAAGCGATATGCGATATGTCTGCCTGCTAGCTGAGGTTATCGAAAGTGGGACACTCGCAACCGCACCGGCTCGATGAATAAGGATGACAGACCTTAGCTCCGCTTCCGAGTAGTCATCATCCTCCCGTCTTATTGAACCTCGGTTTCGTTTGGCCTGTGAGGAATGCCATGTCCGCAAGATTCGCTGTGAGCCGTCGCTCACCGGATCTGGGAGCAGTTGCAAAGCATGCCGGGTCAATCAGCGGCGCTGTCTCTTTTCTTCCGGGGTATGACCCCGCAAATAGGCGTCAACCACCACCAAGACCGCGGTGCACAATACCACTGGTATGCCTGTTTCTGATTGGTGTCCACGGAGTATGGCAGTCTTGCAGACGCTGGCGCTATCGGACGAGATACAACAAGACTGGTCCCAGAGCCAGTCAAATGCACGTCGGCGTGTCCCAGTGGAAGCAAATCAATGGGGAAGTATCGCATGGCACCCGATTTCAGAAGACCTGACGATGGACCCGGTTGGGGATGTATCTGCAGTGTACAATTTCGAAGGAACAGCGGAATTTGGTATTGAGAGCGAGCGCTTTGGGCAGTTGACGAAGCACAATTCTGTTAGTGCTCAGATGGAACTCTTCTCATAAGATTTCGCACACGCTACAGAGTCACTTCAGATGGAAGCGTTCATAACGGAGAATTGGTATGTCGCAAGCGACGTCAGTGAAAGTTCCAAAACCGACAGCGAGCAAGCTTTAACAACATTCTCAAGCTATACAGAGAATTCTACAATCGTCGCAAGACTACACCTCTCAGCATACTCGCTGATAGTGACCACGATGAGCTCTCTTCGGTTTTTCCGATCTTGGACAAGCTCAACCAAACAACTTCCGTCCTCCAACACAATCCATCATCACAGCTGCGGCGAACAGACCGATCCAAGCGATGATGGAAGAGGTTGAAATGTGTATCGGTGTCATTGAATTCAAGTTTCAGCTTCATAAGCACCTTGGGGCCGCAGATCATGGCGATGCTCCGCAGAGGAATTCTCTCCAGGCATCTCTAGCTCCGGCAATTTGGTAGCATGCAATGGTCCCAACCCTATGAACGAGCACCGTCTTGGATTTAGCTGAGGGCCCTTGAGTTCCTCATCCATCTGGACCACTCGCTCGCTCGATCCACTAAATTCCTGCCTCAGGCACCTGACGTTGGGCTTTCTTCCGTCGCGTGGACCGGATGCAACGATCTGGTACGCTGGAGCCCATTGATCGAGCTGGCTCAGTAGGTTTGTAAGTACTCTTTGCCTCTTCGCGGTAGGTACATTGATAGAAGTGGCATCTAGTATGTAGTAGTAGTATGTAGTAGACTAGACGGACGACGATGCCAAACGGCAGCATGCGCTTTCCCCTAATGGGCCTAGCAGAATGTGATGGTAATTCCCCCTTACGAGGTGGCGGAATATTGAATTCTATTTGCTTGTGTTTAATTTGATTGTCTTTGATGTTATCTCCTACGGCGCACATCATATCCCCTAATTCTAATTCTCCCTGGATAGCCCTAGCACTGTCTGTCGGGGATGTCTCCCACTCAGACAAGGGGATCTCCAGGATCCGGCTAGGGATACACTAGGGGATTAGGGCCTTCGGGGACTAGACTGGGACTGGGCGGACAAGTGACCGTGCACTGGGCACGACGCGAAGGCGAGAGAGCTGGGCAACGCCACCGGACGGGGTCAGGCAACAAGTACTAGTTAGCAGACGACTGGTCTGACAGAAGGTTCTCCGTGCTAGTGGAATGTGATGGTTCTTTTGTTCTATCGCTCCCCCTATGATATGGGCTTTATGATATTCTCCTACATACCATTCTACATAATAATTATTCTAATTATCTATAATACTTATCTATATATTTTATAAATTCTATAATATTATCTCTAATTCTAAGCCACTACTCCGTATGTTTAAGAGGAAAAACCTGGAGAAGCAGGCTATAATTAGCGGCAGACCCTGTGAAACCCCGCTAACGAGCGCCATCAATCTAAGCCAATTATTCCAAGACACTTCCCTGTTTTGATTCTTCTTATTTCTTCTCTCTCTCTCTCCTCTTCTTCTCTTCTCTTCTTCTCTTCTCTTCTTCCTTCTCTTCTCTCCATCCTACTTCTTCTCCATCTCCTCCACATCCATCGTCTGTCGCTTCCGCAGTCGTTCGCTATCTCGTCTCTCGTTCACCGCATCGCATCGCATCGCACCGCATCTACACACATCATGAAGCTCAATCTCCTCGCTGTCTCTACTCTCCTGGCCCTGGCTGCCGCCCAGGATGCCTCGTCCACCTCCACTGGCGCGTCTTCCGCCACCACCAGCCTGTCTCCCGAGGCCTCTTGCGCCGTGAAGTGTAAGTCCCTAATCTCGCGTCTTGCCCTCCAGAGTTTGTAGGATTGTACTCACCAAACCAGGCGCCGACACCGACCGCTGCTGCATCGCCGCCTGCTACAAGGTCCCGTGTCCCAGCGACTCCATGGCCAACGCCACCAACACCTGCGTGGCCGCCTGTCCCCAGGGCAGTGGCACTCCCGCCGACACCGATGCCTACAGCCAGTGCCAGGCCCGCTGCTTCAGCAGCCACTTCTTCCCCGCCTCGGCCACCAACGCTGGCAGCCAGGCCACCGGTGGTTCCAGCGGTTCCAGCGACGCGACTGCTACCCAGTCCGGTAGCTCCTCCAGCAGTACGTTCTTCATCCCCCTTACCTTTCTTCATTTCCATCGCTAATTCGCGACAGAAACCGGCTCGTCGTCTGAGAGCGGCTCCGGCTCCAGCTCTGGCACCGCCTCTAGCACCGGCGCCTCCGCCTCCTCCACCGAGAATGCTGCCGCTATCGCCCAGCTCAAGGTCGGTGTGTCGGCCGCTGGCGTCCTCGGCGTCGCTCTGGGCATCTGGGCTCTGTAATGGATTGATTGATGGATGGATGGATCTGATGGTGCCATGGGTTTATCGTAGCATACTCTAATTCGTGATAATAATTGATGCATTGTATCTATTTCATTTGGTCGGGTCGGAATGTACCTAGGTCCCTACTCTGTACACTTTGTAGCGACAACAATTGACACCGCCGATCAGACGATCTCCTCCACTCTCCCCGCACAAACAACAACAAACACCATCTCCATCTCCAACCCTCCACTCTTCACCTCACACCCGCGAATACAAAAATGTCCCTCTTCGACCAGCTCGCCCCCCTCGTCGCCCAATGCATGGCCGCCCACGACCCATCGCATAATCCCGCCCACGTCCACCGCGTCGTCGCCCTCGCCCGCACCATCCTCGCCGCAGAATCCACCTCCTCGTCAACGGCACACGATCCCACCGTCGTCGATCTGGCCGCCCTGCTCCACGACATCGCCGATCGCAAGTACCTCTCCACCGTGACCGCAACCATCTCCACCTTCGCATCAGCGTCGACAACCGCCCTCCCCGCCGCCGACGCCCTCACACCGCACAATCTCGTGCGCGAGATCCTCCGCGCCCACGGCGCCGACATCGCCCTTGCCGACCGCGTCCAAACCATCGTTTCGCACGTGTCATACTCGACCGAACGCGCCGATCCGGCCGCTGTCCGCGCCCTCATCGAGAACGGATACCCCGAGCTTGCTATCGTGCAGGACGCGGATCGGCTGGACGCTATCGGCGCCGTCGGGATTGGGCGCTGCTTTACCTTTCTCGGGGCCAAGGGGAGGGACTTCCTGCCGGCGGGCGCTGCCTGGGAGATGGATAATGCCCTCGAGCATTTTTCTGACAAGCTCGAGAAGCTCGAGGGGATGATGAAGACGTCTACTGGGCGGCGCATGGCCCGCGAACGTACCCGGCGTCTCGGCGAGTTTAGGCGCTGGTGGGATGAGGAGATTCAGATGCTCACTTAGTTTCAGCCCGGTCTGGATGGAGTACTCGTAGAGGGAAGTTGAATAGACTTGCATCATATAGATACCGAAACACTATCTATCATTGGGGTATGTGACAGGATAGATCATATCGTGGTTCCGCAATACACAAGGAATGAATCAGGTCAATCTCCAATTAACGATATCGAGCCAGCCAACGCCAAATCCAATGTACCGTCTAGTCCCAGTCATCCTGTTCCAGTGTCAACCCATTCAAGTCAACCCGGGCTAAACCCGATCCTGTGCAAAATCCAGCACCTCACAGTCGTCTTCGAAGAACCCGTCGTCCACGCCCAAGCTAGCCGACGCATACGACGAAGACCGCTTCTTCTTCCGCCGCGTCGTGATGACAACCTCCTCGCCATGGCTGGTGTTGCTCCCCAGACTGATCAAGTTCTCCATCTCTCCGCCATAACCGCCATGGGGCTCGTGCACAACGTCGTCCTCTTCCTCCCCACCCGCGCTAAATGGCCGTACGTGGAGCTTGGACATCGCCATACCATCGCCAAAGACCCACTGGCCCGTGGGCACGTCTCCAGCGGGTGCTCCGTCACTCGGTTCCGTATAAATGAACAAGTTTACGCGTTGGTCCGTGTGGAAAGGCTGGTAAGGCGCATTGGTCTCAATCTCCGCCTGCGATAGAGGCTGGCATTTGAGCTGAGTCCCAGGCGACGGGCGCACGGTCGAAGAAGGTAGAGCCAACGTCGCATTCGTTGTCGACTCGGCCGTGAAGGCTCCCATTGCCATGGCCCCGCACGGCGACTGCAGGTGTGGAGGCAGTCGGAACTCCACCTCCTTGCCTCCGACAATCGACTGGAGCTGTCGGTTCTTGTGCGCCGAAAGCGAGCGTCGGATTCGGTACAGACGGAAAAACCCGCTGTCCACCACACCTAAAAATGGCTGCCCCTTATGAGTAACCCATGTCACTCGTGCCGCTGTCGGATCACGGGCTAAGCCACTTAGGTGAAGACGATTCTCGCCCACGTGTCGAAGCGTGTTGACTGTGCCAGTGGCTGCCCCCATGGATTTGCTCAACCCTGCCGCGACCACCTTGCCGCTCCTCACGCTGGCCGCAGACGGGATGGCGAACCCACCAACCGGAGGGAAAGCGGCTGCGGCAGAGGGCGTGCGGCCTCGAACAGCTGCAAAGATGGGCTGCGTCTTATCTCCCACTAGCTTGAATGCTGTCGAGAAGGGGTTGGTAGCCGCCGGTTTATCGATAAAGTCATCAGCTGATACTTCAGGCGCGGGAGGCTTGTTCGATGCCGGTCGAGCGCGACGGAAAGGAGGCCACTGGAAAGCAGTCCGCGGCAGATCAAACACATGTACCGTTCCTTTACGGGTGATGATGGCAAGCCGATCGCCCGACGGAGGACACCAAATCACATCCACAATATGCGACGTCGTCAACCGCGCGAAGCGTGCTACCTGTCGCACATTTGCACACGGGGCGGTCGCACTATCGGAAAGGAATGCCGCGGCGCGACAATATTTGGCCTGGAACAGGTCCCAGACGTATTGCACATCGCCCTTCTTGCTTGCGGTCAGCAGCATCAGTCCGTTTGGTGAGAATGACAGAAAACTGCATCCATTAGGGACCTGGAACGTAGCAACGGGATTGAACAACGCGTTCTTCATCTCGCCACCCTCCTCCAGCCTCTTCAAATCAATTATTGACACCAAGTCAGGCTCAGCCGGCGCGGAAGTTTGCGTATCCTGCGCATGCGTTGGAGGGAACATGTAGCCTGCCGGTGGGAAATCCACCATACTTCGCCGGGGTGTCGAATTCTGAGGCTGATCCTTGTTCCAGTAGTTGTTCCACGCTTGCAGTCCTTGATCTCCTACCCAGCGGGCGCCTCGCACAAGCTCTTGTGTGACACCGCGGGCAACCTTGTCAAATAAACTCTCTCCATCGCCGACGTCTGTCGCGCAATTCACCGCGGGTCGAGCTGGAGGGCTGCGGGTTTCGATTCCAAAAACCTTCCCAAGAATCAAAGATTGCGGCACCGATCCACGAAGAGATGTCCGGTAGCCAGACGAGGGAGGTACAATGGCGAGCCAGCGGCCTTTCAGCGCGAGAATCGGGCCATCACCATTGACCATCCCATGAGGCGAGTCGTTACGGGACCCATCTGGATCAGTCGAGCTCGAGGAAGTTGAATACCGTCGAGCTTCTCTTGTGTGGATGTTGGTCCATGTCTTTCCGAGGCACTGATAACTCTTCATGCTATAAATATATACCTCCCCGCTCACCCCCGAACCCAGAACAATAAAGTTGCTACTGGTGAACAGCTTCAAGTTCCCCGAAGGGGCTGGGGCAAACATGGGCAACCCAGGGATGTTATCCAAACACGGGGAGGGTCTGGCGGTAAAGAGTGTGGTGACATGCTCCCCGCTTCGGAGGGAATACACCTCTACTCGAGTCTGATAGAAGCGCGTATCATCTCTGGAGGACCTTTTGTCGGCCGACGAATGTTGTCCACTAGGGGCAGCTGGGATCTCGTTGCTCTCTGAGCCGGCAGAGGACGTATGACCCTCATCGTCCGAAACACTGGGTCCATGGAGGACGACGGCCACATGGGGCCTCGACGACGATAACGAGTCATCGGGCGAGCCACCTGGGAGGACCTTGGCATCGATCACGCGTCCGTTCAGCCCTGTCAGTTTTCCAACCAAGCGGGACTTCCGTTCTTCGATAGCGTGGATCTCAAGGCCGCCATCCATTCCGACCAAAAGGACAGTGCCACCCATTCTGGAGGCTTTAAACGATGGACTGGGAAGAGTGTCAAATGCACAAAAGGAATAATTTCCGTCCGCTGATGAACGATTGTTATTCCCATACACCGGGAGATCGATATCGGGGGCGCCATAAAAGTGAGCCTGCGGCATATGGGGAGGCGGAATATGATGATTGAACGGGCTACTGAGAGATTGGCTCTTCTGCCGGTCTACTGACTGCTGTCTGGAAACGGTGCTGCTCGCGTATCCATTTCCGTAGCTAAATGGTCTCGTTCGAGGCGGCGGTGATGCGGAAGACGGATGGCTAAAGCCTCCTTTCTCAGGGGTTGCGAGGTAACCAAAAGGAGATCCACTCGGCAGATCCCCTTCACCGACATCTTTGGGTGGGCTCTTCCCAAAGGGGACCGATTTGGCCCAGCTATCGGTTCGATAGGTGAGATCGTTCTCTGGAGCCTCGCCGAGGGCACCGAGAGCATCCAAAACCGGCGATACGATAGTCGGGGGTGGTTGTGACTCCAAGGGCGGGTCGGGACACGAAGATGGCTCGACTTGTGGAGGGGACGAGGTGTCAATCCTGTGGTATGTCTGTTAGCGACGGAGCGTCCTAGCAAGAGACGTGATACGTACAGATCCTCTGGTGGTGACTTTGCGGCGGCTTTCGCAGCTTTGGCCTTCGCCTTCGATCCGCTTTTACTCTTTTTCTTGGTCTTTCCACCGAGGTCATTCTCTGTCGAGATCTTGTTCGGATCGTCCGGGAGGGGGAGGTTGTCACCAAGGTACCGGCTTTGCTGGCGCGTCAAGTCGTCCGAAGCTGCCGGGGGCATTCAAATGAGTAGCCTCAACGGAGGCCCGATAGTCTCAGCGGAGGGATAACCGCTCTCAGAACCCTTGGGTAGGGCTGAGAACGGAGCGGATGGGTCGACGATGACGAAAGAGCACGTTATTCGCGGGATTCAATCAGTCCGTGAACTAGATCAACGCATCCAGTCAGTATGACTCAGCTTGCAGAAGGGCGACAGGCAGACCGTCGATAGATTCAAGATGTTGAGAGGGCGACAGAAGAAGAGTGATTTGACACGAGTGCGACAGGGCACGACAGAAGGCAAAGAATAGCGTATCGAGAGTCAGTCGAGACTCGAACGATACGCCAGTTGGAGGACCAGCCGGAAGCACTGCTCGACCGGGGTGTCCTCGTCAGTGGTTGTTGATAAGGTCCCAAGGTACGTTTGTGGCGGTGAGTCGATATACACCACCTAGAGATCGATACGATCGTAGAAGCCAGATATGAAACAGCACAGCACTGTGAGAGTTGGTCAAGAAGAAGTTCCAAAGAAGCAGAGAGGGGATGAGGGGGGGAATGAATGCAGGAGAGGGGGATGACATCGCCCCCAGTCACCCTCCGCTTATCTCCTATCAGCTGGAGGTACCTTACAGCCGGCCGCCAATCACTGCCTGGTACCCTACCGGTAATCAGCTTACTGCGGTAATACACTCTTTACCGGATGAGGCAGTCACGGGACCCGCATGCTACTTTCGCCTTCTCTGATTAGGCCCCCTGCTCGTACCATACCGTCATCGGTTTCAGCAAGGCACCAGCACCCGACCCCCACATCCGTCACGGGGCGGTAATACACGCTCTGGTTCCACGACTCACATCCATCTGCCTTCCTCGGATACTTCTACACCTCAACCAGGTACGCGCCTCCTGACGACACTCAACAGACATAACAGTCCAACATGCCTCCACGTGATCCTGTCCAGGTGACTCTCCCGGGTCTAGCCGCCACGAGAACAGGACATTAGAAGGGCCAAATGCAGCTGAATCCCGCCAAACAAAGTCACCCTTCGCCACATACCAGCCATCGTCCAGCTGCCATGACGCTGATGATTCGATCAGGAGTTGGGATCCAAGAAATCGTTGTCTGTTTATGCTTCTATTCGGAATGACCCGGTTTCCCTCTGCCGCCACATTATTAGTCTTGCCAAGGTCCTAGATCAGTAGTAGTGACGAAAATACTCGCTGAACAAGAATTCCAGAGCGAAAAGAAGCAAACTATTGATACACAAGCTTCATTAAAGGTCCACGGGTGACCTTGGTATATGGGAGGCCCCGTCCCAAGTCCTCGGTGTCGCGCAACATTCCCTCGACAGCCCTCACAATCGCACTCCGTCAAGTCTTCTTCTTCGCCGCCGCAGCCTTGGCCTTGGCTGCCTTCTTTTTGTTGCTGTTGATCATCACAATACCGATAAACGTGCCCACCACAGCCGAACCCAACAGAGTGAGGATGACGGGAATGCGAATCGCCCAGACGCGCGGAGGGAACAGATCATGGAGAGGGTGGCCGGGGTCAACAAATGGCTAATAATGAGTCAGTATATGCCTTATATTGACGGGAACACGCGTCAGACGCACCATGAGCAGAGTCCATGCCGTGTAGTAGAGAAAGATCGCGGTAGCGGCCAAGAGCATGGCGGATCCGACGAGTTGGCCCAGCTAAACCGTCAGTACAACCTGAGCTGTAGTTTTGTTCCACAGAAAGAGCCTACCATAGTGAGAGTCAATTGTCGTCAGAAGAGTCGAAGCTGGGAGGTTCGCAGAATGGATTGCGAGTTTGTTGATTGAAGGTGGCCTCTCCCTAGTCCCACGTAGTAACCCATGCGGAGACACTAAGACCGACTCCCCGTCCTGTCACGTGCCGCGCTAACTTTCTTTCCTTCGCCGCCTCACGTTTTGTTCCCGCCAGCTTCAGCTTCATCGCATCTCGCCGTTGGAGGCAACCGATGGATCTTTCTTGACTCCTCGGTATTTTTTTCCCTCCCCATTCGATAGTCACAATGACCGATTCCGCTGTACTGCAGTCTGCAGTGCGCGTGCCCACCCCTCCCCCGGGCGCTTCGTACTCTCCCCAGCCGTCGGGTTCTCGAAAACGCTCGCCGCCCTCTCGTTCACCTTCTCCAAATCGTCGACGGTCCCCTCCCGGTGATTCGTACAAGGAAGATGGCGACGTTCCTCGTATCGACCCCGATCGTGCGATCGAGAGAGAGCGTCAACTCGCCGAGCGCGTGCGTGAGCATGAGAAACAAGAGGCCGCGCGCAAACCCATGACCGAGGAGGAGAAACAGGCTGCCGCGAAGGCCGAATACGAAAAGCTCCTGAACATGCGATCGGGCGGTACTTACATCCCGCCCGCTCGTCTGCGTGCTTTGCAGGCTCAGATCACCGACAAGTCAAGCAAGGAGTACCAGCGCATGGCCTGGGAAGCGTTGAAGAAGTCGATTAACGGTCTGATTAACAAGGTTAACGTGTCGAACATCAAGTACATCGTTCCAGAGCTTTTCGGGGAGAACTTGGTCCGAGGACGTGGTCTCTTTTGTCGAAGCATCATGAAGGCGCAGGCCGCGAGTTTACCGTTCACGCCTATCTACGCAGCCATGGCGGCCATCGTCAACACGAAACTGCCCCAGGTGGGCGAGCTGCTCCTCAGCAGACTCATCGTCCAGTTCCGCAAGGCATTCAAACGAAACGACAAGGCGGTTTGCATCTCGTCCACGACATTCATTGCGCACCTGTGTAATCAGCAAGTGGTGCACGAAATGCTCGCCGCGCAGATCCTCCTGCTTCTGCTACACAAGCCCACCGACGATAGTGTCGAAATCGCCGTCGGCCTCACGAGGGAGGTCGGACAGCACCTGGAGGAGATGAGCGGTCCCATCGCACTGGCAGTGTTCGACCAGTTCCGGAACATTCTCCACGAAGCCGATATCGACAAGCGAGTTCAGTACATGATCGAGGTCTTGTTCCAGGTCCGCAAGGATCGGTACAAAGATAACCCGGCTATCAAGGACGAGCTGGATCTGGTGGAAGAGGAAGACCAGATCACTCACCGTATCGGCCTGGACGACGAAATCGAGACGCAGGACAGTCTGAATATCTTCAAATACGACCCGCAGTGGGAAGAACACGAGGAGGCATACAAGCGACTGAAGGCAGAGATCCTCGGGGAAGGGAGCGACGATGAAGAAGATGAGGACGAGTCGGACGTGAGCTCGGACGAGGAATCCGACGAAGAGAAGAAGATGGACATCAAGGATCAGACCAACACGGACCTCGTCAACTTGCGCCGGACGATCTACCTGACCATCATGTCTAGTATCGACTTTGAAGAATGCTGTCACAAGCTGATGAAGATCTCATTGCCGGCCGGCCTGGAGCCTGAACTGCCGTCCATGATCATCGAATGTTGCTCGCAAGAGCGCACCTACTCGAAGTTCTACGGTCTGATCGGAGAACGATTCGCCAAGATCAACCGACTCTGGTCTGATCTATTTGAAGCTGCATTTGCCAAATACTACGACACAATCCATCGCTATGAGACCAACCGTCTGCGCAACATTGCTCGCTTCTTTGGCCACATGCTCAGCACTGATGCAATCGGCTGGCATGTCCTGTCCATCATCCATCTGAACGAGGAAGAGACGACTTCCAGCAGTCGTATCTTTATCAAGATTCTTTTCCAGGATCTAGGCGAACACCTGGGTCTGCCGAAACTGCACGAACAGATGAAGGACGAGATCCTCCGCCCAAGCTTCGACGGTCTCTTCCCGACGGACAACCCCCGCAATACCCGCTTTGCGATCAACTATTTCACGAGCATCGGCTTTGGTATCCTCACCGAGGAGATGCGCGAGCATCTGAAGAACCTCCCCAAACCTACAGTTCCCGCGTTGCCCGCCCGTGCCGCGAGTCCGGCGTCGTCCGTATCCAGCAGATCGCATTCCACTTGTTCTACATGCTCACCTCGCTCCCGCTCGCGGTCTCACTCTTATTCGTACTCTCGCTCTCCCTCGCGGAGCCGCGGCCACGCGCGTTCTGTCAGTCGGGGCCGGTCGTATTCGCGGTCCATCTCTGGATCCTCGCGCAGCTACAGCTACACGCCCTCGCGGTCGAGATCTCCGGTATCGAAGAGCCGTCGTCGCTCCGTGTCTTACAGTCGATCACCGAGGAGATCGCTGTCTCGGACGCCCCCTCGACGCACTCGCGCCAGATCGTACGATTCGCGGTCTCGCAGCGTGACCCGATCGCCCTCGCGCTCCGTCACGCCTCCCCGGAAACGGCCCGATAAGAGCGGCCGGGGTCGCAGCTATTCCCGAAGCCCGTCCCGCTCGGTGTCGCGGTCAGTTACCCCGCCGCGCAAGGGACGGACTCGTCGCTATTCCTCCGAGAGTCGGTCGCCTCCGCGTCGGCGCGCCGAACGAAGCATTTCTGCTTCTCGCTCGCCATCCCGGACTCCTCCACGGTACAGCCGACGTAGAGACTCTGACTCGCGATCACCGTCGCGCTCACCGCCGCGTCGCGCGGAGCGACGCAGATCGCCGTCTCGGACTCCGCCCCGGCGAGGCCGTGACTAGACATATTGATGGTATGGCGGACGGCAAGGCATGTATCTACAGGGTCTAATACAGGATATTGGTTACGGCGGGGGTATAGGTAGTTATCAGCACGCAATAAGACCCTCCGAATCATGGAATATAAACATGGAGAATTCTAGTCTATATGCATCTATACAATGTAGCTGTAGCTCTATCGAACCCCGGGTATCAAAAGCAACCTACTCATCCGCCTCCCACACACACCGATCACACAAACACAACCCACCCAATGCACCACGCGCCCACTCCCTCCGCTCCTTCACATCCAACCCCACATCGCAATAGTGATTGAGGATCTCCTCGTCGGCCTTGATACCCTCGCCGGTTCGTCGCGACGCAGGAACCTGCCCCTCCGCCTGTGAGCCCGCCAGTTTCCGCTTCGTCCACGCCGGCCGCTCAGCCGCGCTGCGCGCCCGGAACGTAATCTCGCCACCCCACTCCCAGCGCACATTCGGGTCGCACGAGTGGTTCGCTAGACACCACAGCGGATGCACGGCGCAGAGCTCGGGCCCGCCGTCCCAGGTCGAGAGACGGCCGGACGCGGTGCCGCGGAACTTGGCGTACAGCGTGTTGAGCACCCAGGTGTCGTAGCGCGGGAGGCACGCGTACGGGTCCAGCTCCATCTCCTCGAGGAAGCGCATGGGCTGCAGCACGTTCAGCTGGAAGGAGAACGGCAGCGCCGCCTCGGGCGGAGTCGGAGCCGTCTCGTCCCCGGCCGGGGAGTACTCGTGGAAATCGCCCCAGATGTACTTGATCTCGGGCAGGTCGAGCGGGTGCACGTCCTGCGTGGCGGCCATGGCCAGCGCGCGCGCCAGCAGCAGCAGGTAGAGGTAGTCGGCCTTGTCCTTGGGGTCGGGGACGTCCTTGCCGATGGACTCGAGGTTCTCGACGAGGCCGCACACGGCGCCGTGGTAGACGGTCTGGGCGGTGTCGTGGCAGGCCTGGCTGCAGAAGATGGTGTCGGCGCAGTCGGCGCAGGCGACGGGCGGGTGGTCGGAGGCTAGGTCCGGGAGGGGCGCGTTGCAGGCGTCGCAGAGGTCGTCGTGGAGGCGGTTCGTCGCGGTGAGGAGGGAGGTTTCGCGGAGGATGATCTCGCCGGGGGCGATGTCTTCTTTGGCGAAGAGGCCGAGCTGGATCGAGACGTCGGGGCTGTTGGCGTCTGTCGAGCCGTGGAGGGCGGGCAGCGCGACGGCGCGCACCTCGCATTTAGGCGCGACGTCTTTCAGGCGTTCGTTCAGGAGCTGCAGGGTCGCGGGGGCCTTGCGGTCTGGTTCGTGCTCGTTCCACGGGTAGAGCACGCGGCGAGCGAAGCCCTGGGCTTCCAGGGCGCTTGGGTCGATGCGCACGTCGTCGGTGGTGTTCTTTTGCGGGCGTTTGGCGACGTACGCCTGTTTGATGAGTTCCATTTGCGTTTGGAGGGTCTTCTTCGCCATATCGACGTTTCCAGATGCATCATCAAGCAAGTCTAACCCGCGTACACAGAACTCGAACGCATCTCGGAAGCAGCCACAGGTGACCAAGCTTCGTACCAACAGGGCGTATACGTCCCCGACAATGGCGTCGTATTCCTCTTGGGTGATGGGAATGTACGCTTCATCCTCGTCTTCCTCCTCGACATTGTCCCCCTTCCCTGCGGTATGCTCCTCGGATATGCGCCGTCTAGCATGGAACTCGCATCCATCGGGGTCCACCACAGACTCTAGTAGTGAAAGGGAGCGATACGCATCGGCCGAGGCGAGATCGGCGAACCCGAGTTGCTCGTGGATGAGACCTCGCTCGAGGTAGCGATGGGGGTTGTGGGGGTCAGCATACAGCTGGGCTGTTGCTTCTGCTCGTTTCTGAAGGAGATCGCTCATGGCGTATGGCGTGGAGTTTGAGGTCAATGGACAGTCATAGAAGATCTATAGATCGCAGGACAAGTTTATCGTGAGGTGGACGCGGAATTGGGTGTGTGGTAGGCAATTGAGTCAGAGTAAGCCCTTCTATGAGCAGAACCAGGATGACTTCCACTCTCTCAAATAAGATATAATTGCCGTGTAGTTATAGCTGTATCTCGTTGCCACGGAGAAATCTTCATTTTTCGATGCGGGGGACATCTCTATCAACACGTGATGATAAGGCTCCATGCCTTACAACACAGGCAGCGAGATCCGGAAACTACGAGGCTACACTACACAACAATTCTCAATCAGAATAAGCAATTATTCCATTCTCAATATACTAAACTGGCCTTAGACAGCTTCCAGTGCTATGGTATCCTGTCGTCAGTCGCCTTCGCCAATATGTCGGCCGTCTAAGGCCAAGAATCACAAGAATAATGATAGTAATAGTAATATATACACGAATCCATGTTGACAAAGTCTATAGCGAGAGTAGAAAGACATTCGGCCCTTCTTTGGCAGACCAGAATGCAGTGGTGACCGCTCACATCATCTGCAAGAGTCAGCGCAGCTGGTTAAGAATGTCAAAACCCAGACTTACATGGCAATTGGTATCGTTAAGCACCAAGGTGGTAGGGGCATCGCCATCTTCTCCCGTTGCTGGTCGATTTCTGGCAGATTCGGCAATCTGGGCCAGGAATGCTCTCTGTGGGCGCGTTAGATTGTAACTTTTCCATAGATCAGCCAGACTTACAGTAAGAGCTGCATCACTCATGCCGCCTCGTCGGTCCACATCGTTCTGGCTCAAGATCTGGTAGCTGTCGTGCATACGCTTGCGGCTCTTCAGACCACCAACTGCGTGAACCCTTGGTCCCAGAGTATTGCACGGGTTGTCGGGATCGAGGATGTTGATGCCGCGGCGAGCAGCTTCCTGCGCGTGTCGATCGGCGGAGAAGATTTTGATTGTGCTGTCAATCCCAGAAACGGCCATAGTTGGTTCGTATGGATGTCCTACAGCCCGCTGTAAGTCTCTCATCGCCCGAGGTATCACAGATAGGAACTCACCTTGCACAACATTAACCACTTCGCTGTCTCCCGCGAGAATATTCAACAATTTGCCGGTCTTGCGGTCCCAGATGAACAGGTTCCCATCGTCGCTGCCGCTCACCACATACTCATCATTCAACCCGAAGTAATTCACGTCTTTCACCGTTTTGATATTGCAGTGCCCACGGTAGACTCTGGTGTGGGAGGAGCATGGAACGTCAAGTTCGACGTCCTCGCGGCGTGGTCGTCGCAAACCATTCAATCTGAACATGGCCTCTTCGGGATCAGAGTCATCATCATCGTCATCCTCGGACGAATCGCCGATGCTCATCGCAAAATCATCCTCGCTGTCATACTGGTCACCGTCCTCTTCGTCCTCTGCCTCTTCAGCGGCCATGTCTGACTCGCTATCATCGTTCTCAGCAGAACTATCGCCGTGTGAAGTAGCTGTCGCTGACCGCCCATCTGCTCCATCCAAGAAGTCTTCTAACGGCAGGTCAGAGGGCGACCGATTCCTGGAGGAAGCTGCTGCTAGTAACTGAACAATCGGTTCGTCCTCCATATTGATATCAATATCTTCCTGGGACCTTTCGGGGGCCGCCTCCGTTTCTGAGTCTTCTTCGACAATCGCATGCAAGCCACCGAAAGCCCTGTTGACAAATTCGTAGTTCACGCCCGTGCCAACATCCATCAGAATTCCACGCCCAACCTTCAGGGCCCAAAAACGCGTCGCTGCTGATCGGTCGAGAGCTTGGATTTGAGTATCGGAGGTATCGTTTCCTCCAACTCTAGCGGCCGAGTTGTCTAGGTTTTCTAGGGGCAGTCTCACCGCATTTCCAAAGGCCGTGACTGCTGCATGCTGCGTGGGGAAGAGGATACGACTGCTGTCATGTTCGAACCGAGATGCGTCGACATTGACGACAGGGGAGTCGCTAGACAAATCCTGGAGATAAGGAATCAAGATCGATTCGATGGCGCTATCATCCGCAGTGGCAGACAAGGGGTACCGTGCCTGATTGCGTCGATGGACACAATCACGACGGAAGCCTGCCAGCAGAGCCTCTCTGCCTCCCTCGACAAAAAGCAGTATAGCTTTAAGGAAGTCGTATCCAAACTGCGATCTGCGGTCGAGAGTGTTATTTTCATTGGGGGCCGGAGTGATCTGCTGGAAGGACTCCATGTCAATATCTACATCCTCTGGCGTGTCTCGTATCTGACCCCCTAAGACTCGTGCTAAGACTCCCGAGGCTTGAACAAACCTCCAGGCCGATTGTCGGTTACGACGGAGGGTTTGCTGGAGGCGCACCGTCTCAGGCGTAGGGTTCATAGGATACCTCCAGGCCTGCATCACTTCATTCAATTGGGATAGGTACGTTGCCGCATAGGTCAACGCAGTCGAGAACGATTCGGTATATGGAGTCAGGTCGGATTGATTCGAGTCCTCGCCCGTCTCTCTCAGGGAAGCTTCCAGCGAAAATAGCGATTTTCGGAGCTTAGCAAGGCCCTTGGCGATGCGCATGCTCAGCCTCTGGGCGTCGTTTAACATGGAATACTGCGTTTGTTCCAAGATTTGGTGGGCTGACGCGTTGGTGCCCTGGAAGGGGACATCCTCGGACTCACCATTTCCGTAACGAACCCGGACGGCTATATCAGAGTCCCTCTGTCTGGACGAGCGATGACGAGATGGTCGCCGTGTGCTACTAGAGCTCGATGACATTGATGCTCCATTCTGGCGCTTACGCTTGCGGTCGTGGCCGTTGGCTTTACCAGGCTCGGGAGATGATTTCTCGGCCTCCATCGCATCGGGGCTGCGGATTAGATCAAAACTGTATATGTGGTCCCCGGACCAGCTCACGACCATCTCGTTCGGGTTGGCATCGCTAATTTTACAAGCCGTGATATGACCATTGTCCCGCGGCTTCATTCGTCGCTTTCCGTGAGGAGCGAATCTCCGAACGCATCGGGTCGCCTTTCCCATCAGTTCATCGTCGCGACTCCCATTGATTCCAGGCGAGCCACCCGGGTCTCCCCGTTCTGCGAGAAGGTCACGGCCTAACATACGCCGGTCATGAAGGAAGCAGTGAAGATGCGCTCCGCCCAGGGCGATATAATGTGGCTGCGTCGGCGAACATGATATCGTGTTGAGGTCCAAGTGATGCTTTTTGTACGAGATCAGAGGCGGTGGGGTATTCGAAGAATCATGCTCCACTCCGGGCCGATACGCAAACATGCCCTGGCCACCCCTCGGTTTCGGATAGGCCGAGGATGGCTGGCGCAAATCCCACTGACGGACTTCCCCATCTTCGGAACATGTCAGGAACAGATAGGGAGACGATTCGGTGACGATGCGCTTCACGCGATCCGCATGACTGCGGTAAACCCGGGTATTGGTGTTCGCCTCCGTGAGATAACGCGTATTGGTGAAGAAGTTGTTGAATCGCTGACTCCGCGCCGAGGCGGTGAAGCAAGAGGTAGACTCGACATTGCGATTGCTGCTGGAGTGTTCAATATCGAAAACTCGCACCTGGTGATCGCCCGCGCAGGTGACCACCGTTCTATCGTCGGAATGCGGCATAAATTTGACAGAGAAGATGTTCGCGCGGTGGCCGGTGGAAACGGTGGTGTTCAAGGAGAATGGGGCCGTGGAAGATTCGGGCTGGTAGGAGTAGATATTCAGGTGTAAGTCGTCGGATCCCGAAGCCAGCAGTCGACCAGAGCGAGACCAGCTAGCTTGGTGTTAGAGACCGATCCAAACACGTCGCAACCAGTACGTAGATCTAAGGATGCAGGGCCAACATACCTTAACGCATTGACGCAGCCCGTGTGACCCCCCAGCTCATTCACGATGTCCAGATCGTCCACCCATTCCTTGGATCCATAGATGCCCCGGATACTGGTGTATTGCGAGAGGTCTCCGGACTCCCGGCGCCAGATCCGATCGTACAGTTGGTTCTTCATGGTGCGGTCGATCGATGGGTGGGAGTCATGGGTGTCAGTGATGAGAGATCATCGCGCGCGCGAGTTGTCGAGGATGACGTCAGTTTCTGGCGGGCGCAGAACGACGCAGAAGCGGTGATGCTGATAAAGTGGTCAAGGGTGATGGAGAGGCGAAAGAGATCGGACGAGAAGTGAAGTCAGAAAAAGGTTCTAATGAGCGTGAAGGGTGAGGCGAGAAAGAGAGAGAGTGATGTGAGTGGAGGGAAGAGAAAGGAACCGGAGGGAAGAGGAACGGCGGGATGGAGCTCCGGCTATCGACTGTGGTTCTAGGCGCGATCGGCTCATGGAGGAAAGACAACAGCAAACCAAACAGGGAAACTTGGGACGATCTAAGCTGGTTAGTCAGGACTAACACAGGGATCGTGTTGTTTGCTGCAGGGTGGAAGAGCTACCCGTACCCGGGGGCAGTGGAAGAGGGCGTCAAGAGTAGGCAGGCCGCAGACCGAAAGGAACAGAAAGGATGACGAACCGAAGATCAAGCAAGAGAGAGGGGCGCTGGAGATGCTCCACCAGAACCAGTCAGTCAAGTAATCTTTTTGTCTGGTTCGCCGTTGAAAGGTTTGCGACGTCTGCTCCGACCGCAGCAATGATGATTAATTCGGCCGGGCCTCGAGTAGTCCGTGTATCGGGTAGACCAGATGGAGGAGCAGTCGCAGTCCATTGACGCGCCAAGGCTGGACGATTCTTTGGATGGAGGACCGGACCGGCGGAAGGAACAGGTCAAACAGTCATGAGTTGAAGTGGAGAAGTTGGATCATACCTCAGAATGATGAGGATAGCAGCGGTTGATCGTGTTGGTGGTGGTGGTGATGGTGGGTGGGAGAAGAGGACGGTGAGAGGAACTGTCAAACTCTACTGCGGAGTACCACGTTACATACACCTCCGATCCCCGTCGTCGCCTCATGACGCAACACACATATATATTTCAAACTGTTTGTACATATGGAGTACTCGGAATTATGTATCTCGTCTTGGACGACCTATGACATTGATAATATCTACCATCATGGGGGTAACCACCAACAATAGATCCTCGATATGCGCGCATGCTACCCGAGGATATATAACTACGGAGTATTCTCAACACCATCGGATACATCAAGGACTCGATTTGTAACTTCGCTCTAAAATGCCGATCATGCATTCGTTTTATCGTACTACTCGTCAAGACATCTGCATCCTCATCGCGAATATACCAGGTCAGACATATAGACTAGCCCGCCTCCGCACTTCACCATAGGCGGCGGAAGTTGACCGCCATCGACAGAGCCAGGACCTGTGCTGGATGTATCAGGACGCATCCCGGGTAGATATGTTATACGAGCCAGGGCCCAGGATGGTGCGGAAATCCCTCGGTCTGGATCCATCCACCCGATCTGTCATGTAACTTGAAATCAAGAAACCTGTCCGAGCTAAGTCGATAGTCCCGGTCAATCAGGTTTCCGAGATAACGAGAAACCAGTTTGCGTAGGACGTCCCCTGCCCGTTCCGAAACCACCGCAGTCGATGCGGATGGCCCCTGAGGGTGTTCCCTGGTACTTCGCCTCGTCTTCGCTGGTTCGCTCCACGTCGTGCGCTCATTGCGCTAGAAGCCGTCTTCCCGTTCGAATGCCATCGATAGATGACTGGGAAAGGACTCGAAGAATGCTTCAGGGCCTATGAGATCAACGACAGTTGTCTCCACATTCCAACTCGCGGTGTGCTGTCATGCAATGGCTTCGGTGTAGGCAGCTGGCCAGCAAGCTGACTAACCCATTGTCGCTCAGACCTTACGATGTCGGCTTCTATTTTACGGATGGCATTGAGTTCCTCCACCATCGAATTGGCCATCTCCTCTAAGCCCTTGGCAACTCGCAGAAGGGTAGAGCTTTCAAGCCGCTCCACCTCCCCGTAGCCAAGGATGTCCAGACTCTGAAGCTGTCTTGAGCAAAGTTCAAGCTTCATTGTCGTCAAGTAGACTTCTTCTTTCCACGCAGCGTTCAGCGGATCGATGAAGACGACGGGGCCGAGAGCCTCCTCCGTGTAGTGACGGAGGTTCCGAATTTCATCGGCCTGCTGGAGCCAGGATTCAAATTCCTGCAGGAGAGTCGTATACCTGCCTCCGGGGGTTTCCGTCAGATCGCATACCTCCTGCAGCACCTGTGAAAGAACCTGGATCTGCTCCGCAAATCCCTGGCGACCGTTATACTCGCGACAATTCTTGAACCAGTGATGCAATGCCTGTCCGTTGAGTTGCCGCTGAAGTTCCCTCTCCTCTTTCAGGACTCCACGATAGTCTGTTGCAACCGAATCATACAGATCCCGAATCTCCGACTCCGCAGTGGCCTCCCATTCCGTGTTCTGTCGCAGGAAAGTAGAATGCAAAAGACTCAGCTGCAGCAGCTCAGTTTGCAACGCGGCAATTTCAGGCCAGGACGAAGGTATTAAGGAGGGATCCAAGTCTGCAGGTGCTCTGACCGAAGGTGTCGTAGCTTGGGGTGTTGCCGACTTTTTAGGTGAGTAATGCTGTTGAAAGGTTGTAAACTGGGTCCTTGACCGTGGAGTGGCCGTCACGGGCGACGGAGGCTCGATCTTCTTCGTGGCAGCTTGGACAGATGCGGGAGTCACTACCTGGCTGCGGTGGCGCGTATGGCCCCGGGTGGTTGAAGAGGTCCCGGGGCTAGACCTGGCAGGTTGTCGGAGGGAGGCAGATCGAACCGGTCGTGGGGGTGGGGGCATGTCTGTCTTCTTCGGGGACGTGGGGCGACCATTTTGCTTGGTGGTGAGGCTGGGTTTCACAGGAGAAGGCGGTCCCCGCGCGGCGGTGGTCGGAGTTGTAGAAGGGGCTGTAAGCTTCGTAGCTGTGGTTGATTTCAACGGGCTGGGACGAACTAAGCTTTGTCGTCGAGCTGCAATTGTTGAAGCGGATGAAGGTGGCTGCTCTGACGGGAGAGAGATCTTCTGAGGTGGTCGAATACCTCGCAGCGGTAGTCGAGTGTCCTGCGGTTTGGGGGGTCGAGAGGAAGTTGTGGAGCGCGCATCCCGTACGGGCAACTGGCTTTTGTCGCGAGACGCGGTGCTTTCGTTGATAGTCGCCGGGTTCAGAGACGGAGCTTGGGCGGTTGTATTCGTTGCGGGAGCACTTTTCAGGGTGGTTGTACGCGCTCCATCGACTGAGAGCTGTGATGGTGGCGTCAGTCAGCTGGCCATGCGAGGAGAGGTCCACCCTGACTCCATGGGTAAACAAAGCAAGGGACGGTCAATACTCACTTGTTTACGCGGCTCTCGAAGGGAAGGAGTCCGCGTAGGAATGGGCATAGTTAATAGCTAGAGCATTTATCATGTGTCTATCAGACAAGCAAAAGCCACGGCTGTGGGAAATAGACGGTCGTTGGAGGTTGATTAATTGGTGACGGGGGTAGTTCGGGGTGGAAGCTCCACCGCAGTTGTCCCGACTCCCCAGGCACGTGGTTCTCCAAACCCTGATTCAATTGCATATACGGAGCACGCATGACAAGACCGAGTTGTGACCTCTTGGTAAATATCCTCTCCATATGTATCCTATTGACCAGCCATATAGGTACATAATCATGGTTACAGAAAAACGTTAAACATACTCAAAACGAACAGATATGAGAGTCCGACAACTATAGCACTCAACCAGCCGTATATAAGGCCCATTTCTGTCCAGAAAAAGACGATTTTTTGCCATATAGTTATCCAAATACCTGATATTATGCGTATGTGGCCTGCACGGTGTTAGTGACCAGATGCTCATTTCATTCACCAGAGCCAACTTACCACTGGACACTTGCTCCTGGGTCTCATGATACTGAAGCATCTCTTTGGCAAAGGCAGCGGCGGCGGCGGCAGCATAAGGCTGCCAAATATCATTCTTGTGAGAATCGGCGTAATCCGAGATTCCCCGAATTACAATGCATTCAAAGTCATCCACCATCATCACACCGGCTGCCTCCATTTCAAAGCAGATCACCCCTCCTAAGCTAAGGCTTAGTCTGTCCCGTTCAATACCGTCCTTCATCACCCGGTTTCCTGAGGCGATCAGGCCGTAGTGCACCTGTGAGAAGCCTCGCCGAGGTCGTCTCACAACCCCTGATAAATCGCAAGATCCGCAAGTAGTTGTATTGGGTTTGTGCACGCAATCGGGGGAATACAAAACGTCCATCACGCGCGGGCGTTGATAGCACACGCCTAGCTCAGGGGACTGCAGGACTATTTGTTCGACGAGATCTTCAATCCTAATTCGCCGAAATTGGTGTTCTAATCGTAGGGCATTCAATCCCGAGAGTCATTTCTGTGGTGGCCTCTGGACGATCTCCCTCCGCATAAACCCTGTAGGTGTTTGTTTCCCCATGTCATATTCCACCACCCCGGGGTGAGTATCAGCTGGGAAGCTCACAGCCACATCACCAAGGCGGATGTCTTGCGTGTCGCTTGGGACGCCGCCTCCTATCCCGACCATCAAGCCCAGTGAGATCGCGGGGAAAGTCCTCGCAACATGAGTAGAAACACTAGCGGCAGAGACTTTACCCCGGTATCCTCCGGGTAGAGAAGCAATAACGACATTGTGTCCGCTCAGCTGGCCAAGGACGTACTGGTTCGGGTCCCCTCTTGGGGGGCAAAATTGGTTGTGCTCCTCATCCAGCATACACCGGACAGCATTTACTTCCACTTCCAACGCACATACCAAAGCAATCGTGTATGCCTCACAGGGCAAAGCTTTTGGCCTTGAGAAGCAGGTCATCCTTGTTGGTGGGAGTTGGTTTCTCGTGGAAGGAAGATCAACGAGGTTAGGACTGTTGGTTTCATGAATTGACGAAATGAGCTCGGGGGGAAAAGTCTTTTGGCGTCGTTGCCCTAGCCGCCGTCGCTATTCTACCAGCCAATGACTGGTAGATGATGAGTGTTCTCGCTGAGAGCGCTGATGGCCGAATCCTGGCGCTTAGATTGCCTCGAGAGATGTATGAGGGGCTATTAATCGCCAACAATGTGGAATAGACACTCTGTCTTTCTCCAAGCTCAGTATATCCTACCTAAGACTAACATGTAACCATTCGGATGCATTCTGCTAGTATCACAAAGGAACTATAGATGAGTCCACTCCTGCCGGGATAGCCAATAATTACAACTACAGGGTCTTCGGCACAAAGCCTATCAGATGCTTAATGTCTACTGAAGCATCCTCATGTTCTGCTGACTATCCGAGGCAATTCGATTTTGGCTTCATTGTGATAGAACACAGCCCTATACAATCTCGCCCTCACCCCCAGGAGAGGTTACATCGCCTGCAGCCACCAGCATAGCATCCTCCTGACGAAGTACTTGGCACCAGTTCCTCACGAGGCCCATATTAACGATCGCTACTATTCCCCCAGAAGGCTAGATACTCGTCATCTCTATTCTCGTTGATTCGTGGACGCGCAGCAGCCACCCCCGCAAAACAGATTACCCCAAACATGGATTCTTCAGGAAACCATGCATAAACTGACCGTCCGAGAGTCTGCCTGATTCTTCCGGTGGTTCGCGTGGCTTCGTTTGTATAGCTGTGTTCTGTACTCCTCGCAGTCAAGAGGCACGTTCTCATGTAAGTAAAGATGCAGCTAGTATGAGGTACTAGGCATACTGCGCGGCTCTTGATATACTAAGGGATCATCCAGAACACCTCCACGAGTGCAAAAGCATTTGACGAGATACTACCGTCTCCCGCAGAAACCTCTGCATGAATCACCGGGTGATTGAAGTTTGCGGGGAAGAGCAACGGACTCTGGACCATTCAGCTCCAGCCAGACCTGCATCGCATCATCCTGGCTGATGGAATGCGAGGGGTCTCGCCGCATATGGCCGTTCTAGCCTCAGAGGACATTGTATAGACCGCGGTAGCATGTGTCCTTCACAAAGGAAAGGACATAAATAGAGCGTGGAATCCGGTCCATCTGGTGAGAACAGCAGCAGCATCAACATCATCAGTTTCCACAAATCAACCATCTCTTCTTCTTTTCCAATCTACTCAACTCACCATGAAGTTCCTGAGCACAATCTTCACCCTCGGCCTCGTGGCCACCAGCTTCGCAGAGCCTATTCCCCAGGCCAAGCGCGCTCTCGCGGATTACAAGGCCGTCATCCAAAGCGTCAGCAACCAGGTCGCGGTGGTCGACACGACCGTGACCAACTACGTCGCGGGCTCGGTAGCCGGGACGGCCGTACAGGACGCCTCCGACAAGCTGGTGACGGTGATCAACACGGGCACGACGACGGTCAGCGGCCTTGCGGCTCTCAACACGATCGACGCGCTCGGCCTCGTGTCGCCGATCCAGAACCTGGCGAGTGACGTCGGCACTCTGGTCGACAATGTTATCGCCGCGAAACCCAACTTTGTTGCCGACGGGCTGGCCGGCGATGTGCTGGCTTCGCTGCAGGAGCAGAAGACGGCCTCGCAGGCGTTGGCGGCTGCCATCACGGCCAAGGTTCCTTCGTCGCTGCAGAATACTGCGAACCAGCTGTCTTCGCAGATTACTGCGCATATTCAGCGGGGTATCGATGCTTACTCTTGAGTCTTGGGTTGTTAGGGTTGTGGGATGTGGTTGAGTGTCAAGGAGCAGGATCGTGAATGGGGCGTAGGAGGATGTTATGGGCTTCAGTATGTCCAATTGGTATCCGCGGTGCACTCGGATCAAATTACTTTAGTCTTATATTACTGTTGTTTGGTCAATCTCACGTCAGTCCTTACTCGCTGCACGTATCATTGTTACAAAGCATTTCGAATTGAATCAAGGCAGAGACAACACGCAATTTGAAAGTAAAGTCCAAGATCATACAAATACCCTAGACTCAGCGTATCCGTGAAGGAACTCCGTCGCCTTTCTTACTAGAATCAACTTAACCTATATTAGTCCGTCCGGAAACTCCAGGGATAAATCAATCTAAAGCCCTTTTTTTATTCCTTTTTAACACGCAACTAACTCGAATCGATTCGTAATCCTTCGTAACGGGTTCTGCTCACCGGTTACAGGCTTCCGCGGCGAGGGAAGGCAACGCCATCGACAGCGGCGTGATCGGTGAACCAGCTCACCTTCTCGCCAGCGCCCTGGTTGACAAGGGCCGAGGGGAGACTGTGGCCCTCCTCCAAGTCGAAAATCTGCTTCATGATGTCCTTCTTTCCGGCGCCGGTGGCGACGAACGCGATGTGCTGGGCGTGGGTGACGACAGGCAGGGTCAGGGTGATGCGCTTGGGCGGGGGCTTGGGCGACTGGCTCTCGGCGGCCACCCAGGCGTCCTTCTCGCGCAGGAGCTCGTGGCCGGGGAAGAGACTGCAGGTGTGGCCGTCGGGGCCGCAGCCGAGCAGGATGAGGTCGAACACGGGCAGCTTGACGCTGTCCTTGGCGGCGAAGATCTTCATCAGCTCCTCCTGGTACAGGTCGGCGAGCTCCTGGGGGTCCTCGTCGTTGACGTGGTTGGCATCGATGGGGTGGACGCGGGGTTGGCCCAGGTCTTCGGGGAGCTTGCTGAGCAGCTCCTCCTTGAGGAGACGGTAGTTGCTGTCTTCGTGGTCGAGCGGCACGGCGCGCTCATCGGCAAAGAAGATCTCCCATTTCGAGAACTGCGGCGTGTCCTCGGGAGTCCCGTTTCCTGGGGCCAGCAGAGCCTTGGCCAACACGGCCGGCAGCGAGCCTCCAGAGACGGCGACGCGGAAGCTATTGTGACGGGTCAGGGCGGCATTTTGGCATCGCAGGACGTATGGCCGCAATTGTTGGGCGAGGGTGTCCGTGTTAGGGAAGCTGTAGAGGTTGGGAGATGGACCAGCCATGGTGATAGGGACGATAAGGGGGTTGATGATGAACGGATTATGGGAAGAGAGTTGCAGGAGAGGGAGAGAAGGAGGTGGAAGAAGGCGGTCGGTCAACAAAAGCAGCAGCTTTTAGAGCGGGGTGGCGGGGCAGATACGCTGACGATGATGGATTTACCCGCGACTCCCGACAGCAACATTCCCGTCAATCAGCTCAGAAGGACCTCCGTGATAAGACCGGTGGACTACAGGAAGCGATTAGAAGAGGCTGGAAGATGCGATCGTGGCCGATTAGCCCGTGGAGGGTCGATTTCAGCAGAGCGTCGCATTACTTCATTTGTCGTGAATGACGTCGTTCTTGTTCCATTCCCGCTTGATGTCGCAAGGGGAAATCCACCCTCTTACGCCCTTGGATCATTTCGGCGCCCGCTGCTATCCTTTATGTTTGGGTCATGGTCGCATGCGATCAGAGAGAAGAACGGATCTATATACGCCCGTCCATCCACCGAGCGACCAGCATCGCCATGGAAACAGCCACGCCCCTGCGTCCTCAACGAGGGGCACCGTCCAGAGCCCTCTCGCATGTGAAATGATGTCAGAAGGACATAGTGTCACCCCCTACCTCACTCGCGATGCTGAACGATTGGCCGGCCGGGTTTCGCAATCACCCTGGACCTCCTGCACCGTTTGGTTCTCCTGCATTACCGCCAACGAGGAGCGGACCGCCGACTCGCGCAAGATTACAGCATCCTGCAGACGCCAGACGCGACTCTTGCTCCTTTGGGCATAAGTTCGGACGACGGACCGGCCGCCTCGCACCAAAGATCCCGACCCATGCGCGAAGGATGAGATCGATCCCACCACTACTGCAGGTTAGATGTGCGGAGTACACTTGCGTCGGGAGTCCTCCGCAGCTGCGAGATAGGATAGGACGTCCGTGTGTCGACCCCGCGATCAGGTCGGACCGACGCGATGATGTCAAGGATCTCTGTTCCAGCAATCAGAGGGCAGACGGAAATCTATTGACTCGTGGCCTCTGAGAGGCCCAGGAACAGCACATGTCGGAAGATCAGGTGATGTAGCGTCTTGTACGGAGTATGTGGAAGACGAGCATTGGACAACGCCAACGGGGGTGATTGAGCGAATCATTGAGTAAAGAAAGTATCCTCGATTCACATGAATACCTAGTAGTATGGAGGACCTGCTCCGAGTACACTTCTACCTGGTGCGACCAGTCTGATCATCTGCGACAAAGGAGGAATTGGACATACGGGAGCACTGATGCAACATGCATCCGGCAAGGGATTTGGTGGGCTTAGCATTCAGGGGGAAAGAAAAAGAAACAACATCCGCTCTCTCCGTCAGGAAGTTGCTGAAAATGCCTCAATCTCGTCGGTCCCAATGGGAATGTCCCGATCGGGGTGATATATCTGCGCTATGCCAAGTGGATTGGTCATGGCCCTGCAGAGCTCCGTATATCCGTGGGGAAGGCTGCAGCTAAGTCTTAGGATACAGACGACGAGAGGAGAAAATGGCGCCAACGCAAGACCACAGGCTCAGCACATTGCCCACGGGACATAGACTCCAGCCGGTCAACTTTGTGATAGTTGGCGGTCCAACCTGGGGTGCAGCACCATCCCCTATGTTGTACGGCACACCGTGGTCGTACCGCTAGCTACGATCTATCTATGGATGTACATGAAGTACTCTGTACAGAGGGAGACCGGGGGATCCGTGCCCGACTGCGGACTGCGGTCTTCCGTTGGGATCGCCAGCTGGGTTTCAGGCTGTCGATCCGGGTATGTTTGGACAGTTGCGACAATGGACAGCCCCTGAGGGATGGACGGGTAAAGGACATGGGACATGGGATGGATGCCAGTTGAAAGGGCAGGGGAGAAGAACGGTACTGTACGGAGTACTCCGTAGTGGAGGAGCTTTATCAGGGGGCGGCAACAACGATAGGAATCTTCAAGGTCGCACAGTGGAATGATGGGCAGTCAGAGAGCACTTCTGAAACGCCCGGGGTGGAGACGCAGCGGGATCCTGCACCGCCGCAGTTCTGCCCCAATACCGTCAGTAATTGGTATGATACCTACTTTCAGTGGCTTCGAAGGGATCGTCTCACGAGACTCGACGGGATTTTCATGGCGAAGTCGAGACTCAAGTAGTTCCACGGATGGATGGATCTATAAGCTTGCATTTCCCCATCATCCCACTCGATCGTGTCAGAGTCATGGAATTATTGATAGACCGCTGTCACCGGTCATGGTATGGAAAGCATCTGGTGCAACAGCCACTCACCGTTCGCGAGGCGCCACATGCTCCGCCAGCTATCATGAAGAGTGGATGAGGTTCATGATTGGAATCCAATAGTCTGGGAATCCGTCCACTAGACTAACGAACCCGAGCTGACACGAGCTGATTTTTTTTTCCTTCTCGTCTTTTTTTCCCTTTCTTGTGTCTCACGCAAGACAACGCATCCACTAGGAGCATTGCCCCGCGCATGTGCCCGAGGAGGTGAATCCTGAGGAGGGAAGGCGAAAGACATCCATCCCTTTGCATAATCGGATCTAAGCCGTCGTGAAGGCAGCCAGCCGATCAGTCGATCCAACTCCCCCGGTCGCAAACGAACGGATGACGACACGACGTCTGTAACGGGCAGGACAACGAACACGGTTGGCTGGAGACTGCGCCGGCGGAGTGGCGGTAGGGATTCAGACCGTAGTTGCATCTATTCTTCTATTCTTAACATGGGGATGGATCTTGGGTGCATTTGTCGACAGGGATGTCGCGGGTGGTCAGACACTAACAAGGCGTAGTCCAGAGGATGTACGTATTGTACGTACTCCGTAGAGGGGGACGGAGTATCTGGTTAGAGGGTAGGTGTCCTCCGTAAGCCGGTAAGCAAGTATAAGAACAGCCACCCTGACTCACTCCCACGGAGACTGTTGAATATCATGACCCGAGTCTAATTCCCTCCATGGCGGATCGACCTCTCCCCCAGGGTTGGACGGACATCCTGGGACGCACTCTGAAACTGCCATAGCCTGATACTCCGTACATTCCTTACCAACCGGGGGGAAGTATTGGGATCCTCGGCTGGGATCATTCTTGTTTTAGCGGTTGGTTGTACTTGGAGAATGATCTCCTGATCAAGTCTCAGCAGTATCCAGCCCTAACAGCCGAAAAGAGGGAAAGACAAGACAGAAGAAAAATAATAATAAATAATAGAGCCATCCTTAATTATTATTACCCTCGTTATTTGAAAACAAAAGGGCCGAAAGAAAAAAAAAGAAAAAAAAAAAAAAAAAAAAAAAAGTGGATCGATCAGGTCCCCCTTGGCGGAGGAACGACGGAGCCTACTGACTGACGGACTGACTGGTCATTGACTACTATTAAATTCATCTTTGACTCTTTCTTCATATTTACACTCTCCTACTATCCTCCTCTCCTCCTCTCCTCCTCCTCCTCCCACTACTACTACGGAGTCTACCTCGGTCTACCTCTGTCCATAGCTACACCTCCCCTACCGACCAATCCCGACCGGTTCCTCCCCCAGGAAAAAGATCCTGACACCAGCGAAACAAAACCAGGCGCAGGCGAACAGGGGAAAATCAAATCAGTAATTCTGCCATCAATCATTTTACTGCGTCCGACCGACCAGATGGCGGTCCAAGCAGCCGAACGACCGAGCGCATTTATTCTCTGTCCTTGGAAAACGATTAGTATTCAATAGTCAAACCGCCCGTCCCCGATCTACTTCTCCCCTTCGGATTCTCTTAAACAAGACTCGCTCCCCGCGGTGGCATCGGTCGCATCCTCCCCCCACGCTCTCCATTCAACCACCACCCACCCACCAACCCACCACCCGATCGCTTTCTCTCCATCCTGACCTCCGACGTGATCTCCGCCTGTTCTCCGATCCGACGCGATCGAGGCAGCGTCCATCTATCACCATGAGCTCTCCCTCTGTCCAGGTCCAGCCCCAACCCTCCGGCGGCACCAAGGATGTCTCCAACCACTCGGCCACCGAGTCGGTGCCTGCGTCCATGACCTTTGACATTGTCCGCTGCTCGCGGTGTCAGCGCTCCATGAGCCTCGAAAACGACTCCTCCCCCGGCGTGGTGCGCTTCGGCATGAACTCCTACTACTGCAGTCGCTGCGCCTCCATGGTCGGCTTCATCCGCTGATGCGCCGACGCCCGACAACCCTCCACCGAACTATGAAAAGAACGACGTTTCACGCTGAACATCGTCTTCGTCATCGCCTGCCTTTTCGTTCTGCCCAACGTTCCCCACGGTTTTGACGTCTCCGTTCCGCAGTGTTATTGTGCTCTTCTTTTCGGTCATTCGCTCCGACAACCATCCCCTTTTCGACCACCTCCGCGGCTGTGCAGGCACAGTCCACGGGACCGACCCCTTCACTTCGCTCCTCGAATAATCGCGAAGCCCGACCATCCCGCTCCCCCCGTGCTCGACCATGACAGTCTCTCGTCAAGTCACCAGGGGTTTGCGCACGACGCAATGGAATGGCGGAATGGAGTAGCTGACAGGAATCTGTCCGTCAGCGAGGTAGATTGGTGGACATGGGCGGACGGAGAAAGCGCCTCCGTCCGACGCCCAGTGCACAGCCTCCATACTCCTTCGGCTTCCGGCGGCCCCGATTTGTTTTGAACAACTCGCTACTAGATACCCTGCATGTTTCGCTCGCTTCGTTTTGCATATGGAAATCCACGGATCCATCCATTCGTCGTGTTTTGATCATCAGCCCCTCGCATCGCATGTAGGATCCTCATAGAGCGTTCCGGATCTTATTGGTTATTACGTCTTTTTTCTTTTCTTTTCTGTTTTCTTGAACTGCTCAATACCCTCCAAAGTGAATTCTGAACTCTGTATCTAATAGCCTGCTTCCAACAATCGCTTGGTTGAATTGAATTGATTCGATAGAGAATTAAGATTGGCAACTATTCTTCCCCACCACCCGTGCCTATCTCGCATGCCAGTCCATGCCCTCCCTGCCTATCGTAATCAAAGCCACTGGTTCCCCCGAGATGATCGACCATCCGAGCGTCTTGGCTGGGGGGGGAAAGCACCGAACGCTTTGGAGACGGCAATCATGCTCACATTTCTGCACCAGCATGCCGGTCATCCTGGCCCATGCGAATACCGACTTCGGAGTACTCCGTATTGTACACTGCCCGTCGATCAAACAAAACCTTTCCCCTGACACTTCACATGCTTGACATGTCTCCTGTCAGCATAGTCTCCTGAATTCCAGCTTATCCTCCCCTCCATATCTTTGTCCAATAAAGAAACAGACCTCTCGCCACCAGCCATAGTTCATCACTAGACCCTAACAGGGAGATATCGACCACCCTAGCCACAGGCATTGGCTCTAACCCGCAACTAATGCCGACTAAGGGCCGACAACCCAAAGATTGAGGCACACCGGCGCGGAGGGATGGACACCGCTAGGCCGCAGTAGGGCAAACGGCATCCACCGTCTCGGATCTGTGGCGATCCTGTATTCCGTGGCGGTGTGTTGTACGGCGTACGAAGTACGAAGTACTCCTATGGACGGTATGGCAGTCGCTAGGTACTAGGAGTACAGAGTAGCGTACAACCTCGGTGCCTTCTGCAAGATCCATTTTGACATACCGAGTAAAGTCTCTCCCCTTGCAGGTGGCATTCCGGCAGATAGTGGTGACCTGCATATGCATACCATCGGCGCGTGGCGTGTCCTATCCTATCACGCATCTCGTTCTCTTCTCCCAAGGCAAACCCAAACCCCCTTTTGGAGCGGATTGGGTTTGTGGGGTTGTCGTGGCTGATCAGTGGGTCGGCTGCTCCTCTGTTCATTTCGGGCGGATGGTTGGTTGCACGCTGTTGTGTCTGTTTCATCGCTCCTGGATCCACTGCGCCATAACTAGTGACTTCCCTACGGAGTAGTTAGTGTTGGGTTACGGAGTACTCCCGGTGGGAGCGACAATCGAATCTTCGAATATTCTCCGGCCGACACGTGGGAGGTTAGTCATACCGTTACATAAGAATCAGGTCTACCTAAACAACTACCTAAGTACATAGAAAACTACAACGCATTTACCTTCATACCGGCTCATATACGGCTCCAATATCACAGAAATCCTGACAGCCCACATAGATCCCAACAAGCCTTGACTCACTTGGTAGATCGTATACGCTGCCGCCCCCTGCGAGAGAGTGATAATCCGCTGACGACCCATCTCTGCGCCATACGTCTCGCCAGTCATATCCATCGTAAGGATCTCCATCAGCGGGCGACGTGGTGGGAAGTCCAAGCGTCTTGTACCGTGGCTCGTCCTGTCCAACTTCGAACCCGATTTCCATCAAACTGTGGTCCAAGGCCCCAGCTGACATGCCAACGATCCTCTCATGCCTCTCGAACTGAATCCGTTGATGCGTGTCCGTCTCAAGCTCACCTATGCCCGTTCTGGCGCCCGACGCATAGGTGAATACAAGTCCGACGATCGCCTCGTCGCGAATGTATGCCTCGGCTGTGACGATGCCCTCTCTACTGCCGTTCGTATTCCGCCTCTCAAAGTAAAGCTTCCGAACCTGGTCAAAGGGAGCTCCTCTTTCTGGGATCAACAACTGGATTTTTCCGTTTTCGTCTGGAGACGTGACGGCTCGGACACACTCATAAGACTCATCCATGATCCATGATATAGCTGTAAGTTTCTCGTCAGCATCACTCTGAAATTGATGTTGCAGAGTCCTGGCTGGCAGAGTGTGAAAGTCCGGAGAGCGAAATGTTACACTGCGAGAGTGCGTTGTCTCAATGCGTATGGCAATGACCTGACCCAGTTCCCTCCCCGGAGTCTGTCTAGAGAATCCCATTGATGTCAACCAGATAGTCAACGAGCGGACCTCCTCATCCGGGGAGAGTTCAAAACCATCCTCGTCAAGCTCATTCATCCATTGTCCCACAGTTCCGGGGCTTGGGTGGTTGTAATACTGGAACTTCAACCCGCATATGCGGTTCGAAGATCTGGATCGGCCTTGCATGCCCGTTGAAGCCTGAATCATTCGGACGTTCTTGAGCGATGCATAGGTCTGGTAGCTACCGGAACTAGAGCTGTCTATCAAATGAGAGAACTTCTCATCATATCGTATCTGGTCATCAGGCACCTGATGACATTCATAGTCCAGTATCTCCGGTTCTATCAGTTGTTCATCACAGGGTTGAGACTGAATACCAACTTTGTCAAAGCGGTTCTGGCATTTCTGAGTTTGCTCAGCAGCTGTCTGGTATGCTCAAGGTTTCATTACCTACCGGTCAACAGCAATAAGTCCCGTGATGGTGTTTTCGGCTGGCACAATCGGTATTGGGCCAACGGTTGCATTGAGCCGACAGCAAAGGGGAGCGAAAGTGGCAGTTCGTCCGTAATTGGTTGAAACCTGCGTCAAAGTTAGCATTGCGTGCGAGTACTCGGGAAACAGGCAGGAAAGACCTGCAAACCACCAAGGCTCCTTGATGCGTAGTATTCTCGATTGTCTTCTAGGATGCTAACGGTGTTGATACGCTCCCCCGCGGGGCCGTTAACAAAGAACGAGAGGACACAGCCACCCTCAGACCCGAAAAGTACAGATCTACCGTCGAAGAATATCTCTATTCCGATGATTGGGCACAGACAGGATACCATGTGGAGCGCCAGCCTTGATAAAGAACCGAGAAGCAGACCTCTTGGACCGCCGAAGTCAATATTGGTCAACGGCTCAAAGGCCCGAGGAGATTGAGCGGGTAAAAGGGGACTGATTGTCAGTTCCTCGTGACTTGGAGGATGTGGTGTCCACAAATGAGATTGCACCCGAGACCAATCTTGAGAAGGAGTCTTTAGAGAAGCTCCAGGGTGGTCGACCAATTCACCAAGGCCGAGTGAAACGACCTTGAAACGATCTAAACCTGCCAGCAGGAAAGCCGCGTTCAACTTTTCCGAAATGTCAAGGGTGCCGGTAGCGATTCCTGGGCCACAATTATCACCAACCCACCTTGAAGGGTCTGACTGCGTGAATAAAAACCTGACTCCCACAAGCCCTTCCGCACGGAAAGCCACACAAAGACCCTTTACTTGGGAGGTGGACGGTGTCTCTATCCACTGCTCAGATGCTGGACTGTGATACCCAACCCAACGACCGGCGATACTGCAATCACCTGGCGACAATAGGCTAATTCCCGATATAAAGCTTCGTGAGCCAATTCTGACGAATGAGATGCCTATTCGCTGTCGATTCTGCCAGCGCCGGAGGCTGAAAGACTGTGTCCTGTAGTAAAGCACACGACATCCCTGCCTCAAGGCGGTATCTGTACCAGTGGAGGTTCGACCGGAAAAAGAGCCCGTTACTTGTATAAGACGAGGGAGGTTTTTGCCACCGATTAGTTGAAAACAGCCACCTTGGCTTTCCGCGGGTTGAGCAGCAGATCCGGACGGGCCTTTCTGAAAATGGGTCCTTATCTCTACAAGAACAGCGATGGGCTCCAGCAGCCGCCGAATTCTCCTTCGATTGATTAATGGCAGGAGTCCATCTCGTAAAGCTGCCCTGGTCCCGCGGTAGAGGCCAGACCAGTCTCGCGTAGTTGTGAGATTCGGGAAAAGAAAGTCAGTCTCCTGGCCGAGGAGGAACCTACTCCGCCAGTACGACTGTGGGAGCATATCAGGGGCCGTAAATAGAGCAAGATCTCTGCATACGAGTCTGATGTTAAGAAGCTCAGCAAAGGATAGATATGACAATATCTCGTATTGCAACTCGGGCGAGAGTCCATCGAAGATATGCGGCGTTTCGAGCGTCCCCCGAATCTCTCTCCTCGTACCACAAGGTAATGGCACTGCAGGCCGGTCATCATCAGTTCCAGCGGAACTAGACGCACATGCGGACGACTCTTTGCGGTAATTTTCCAACTCGTCCATGGAAGGAATTGCACACGGGTCGGCGCAAAAACGTGACCCTGAAGCCACGGTCTTTGGTTGTCCGAAACGTTTATGTGTTTGCGCAGCACCCCCATAGTTGTGACCGAACTGGAAACTGGAGCCGTAGAGGGAAGGCGTGCAATAAAGTAGGTGGAAGACGGACTCCGCAATGACCGTCTCATCTGGGAAGTGGCCGGCCTGGTCACAGCCAAGCCGGAGGAGAAGCAGCTTCCAGCACGAGGCATGGAAGGCAAAGCACCCACAGTTTTCAAGAGGCTTGTAAAGTTCCCATTCCTTCAGCGCTTCGACCCCTATGTCAACATAAGATAGATCACGGTCCAGGGGTGCGCAGAGCCTCCGACTGCGCACTATCCCTAAGCCTGTCATAGCAATACAGTCAACCGTAGCAATATCTGAGTAGATGCCCCTTACTTCTGCGTACCAAGGGCGGACACGCGTCCCTGATGACGCTGATAGATCATCGTCACTATATGGATCGGACCGCAAGATGACGCCGCAGAAAGGGCAAAAAAAGTTATAAGGCATAGAGTCAACGCGCGACACCTCGTCCTCAATAGGAGGACAACTGAGAAACGAGCATATGGCGGATTTAGAATGTGCAATTGTATGTGAGCCAGTCCAAGGTTGATGGTGGGTGAAATGCAAGTCAGCTTACTCCCCCCCTCCTTGGATGATGCCTCACGGTTGGCGCTTGTACCTACTAACTAGGTATATCCCAGCCAACTAAAGCTGTCAACTTCACTACGCCCCAACTAAGTTAACGCTTAAGATCAGACAGTTGCACGCTATGTGGACAATGTGCTACTCTAGGGATAGATCGTGCGAACTATTTCACCTACAGAAGCCAGCCAGCCGATCATTTGTCTACCTGATAGTACTTCGAGCCTCTGGGTAAGTGGGCGCCTAGCCAACAATCCAGTACGATATGGATTGGGTTGGATCTCACCCAGCTCGTCGTTTACTTTCTCCTGTCTACCCCACAACCTCATCATCATCATCATAGTCGTCGTCGTCATGGCCCCGTCACTGCAGGGCCATATTGGCTTCATCAACACCTTGGAGTTGGTGGAGCCCAATAGTCTTGAGACAGTCCAACTCGTCTGGCAGGAGATAGTGACAGAGTGGTTTCCTGGTCGAGAAGGCTACAGGTGGTCCTTCAAAGGGCCATTGCCTGTCAACAACAATATCCCCGACGTTACCGTCATCCAAATCCGGGCGATAACTCCAGATCCTCTGACTTCGAGAGAATGGAATGAACGCCAAATCTTGCTCATTAAATGCAAACGCCCATCCAAAGATACTCCTACCATCTGGGATGACACCGTCAATGCCCAGTTCCACGATGATCTCGTGCAGACTTTGAACGCTTCCGAGAAATTGTTCGGAGCCGTCGCTATTGGCAAGAAAGTGAGGTTCTATCCATTCGACGGAAAGGCACCAATCCATCAACAACTGGTTCAGCTCCATCAGGGAACCATCGACATGGCAACCGCGAGTGGTGTCACACAGGTCGAGAATATGATGAACTACATCAAGGCAAACGCATGGCAATGGGCTAGGACTTAGTAGCTGGCTTTGGATAAAGTGCCTGATGGTTCTAGAATGATGTGTGGCTGTTTGGTTTATTATGTCATGCTGCAGTTTGAGATTATTGTGTGGTCTATTCTTTTCTTATTATCTCCAGGATGTCTTGATACATATATAGCTGGAAAATACTAGGAGCTTTCTTCCGCAGAACGGGATCACAGAGCGAAGGATATGCTTGTGGCGGTGTCGACTGCTTCATACCCTTGTCTAAGCGGATTGATTAGTCTATGAGTATACTTGTAAGGCCAAAATGGCGTAAAGGGCCAAGTACTGTAGACAACCTAACCACGGAAGTACTCCGTAATGGCCGTCGGTTGTTAAGTAGCGTACCTCCCCACTGGACGCAGACTTCGTCATAACACGATAGTATACTGGTGGCATCACTAACTTGGACAGAAGGTAGCTCTGGCTGTCGGAGGTTCGGTGTGATCTAGGCCACAACGTCTTTGGGATCAAGTAAATTCTCCGTGTACCCACTTAGTATATACAAAGTACACGCTGGCAAGTGACTTTTTATGTCAACATCAGCGCTACCATAGCCTGTCCCACTACCGTCTCGGAGAATACACCCAAAATCAAGTCGGTGATCACTATCGGGCCCGCAACGTGATGAGGTGGCATTGTTGCCCCTCATCGACCACCTGCGGGGTATCGACTCTAGGTTTGTCGGCGTATCGCTTCTAGTCTCGTGAAAGCCCATGACCGATGCATTAGCCCAAAGCGTCTCCTCCTCTCAGATGGCCAGTTCATGCATGGCTTGCTTAGCACTGGCGCTGCACATGCACCTGTCGGCTGTCAAGGTAACCATCACCTCATCTTTGATCATGGTCCTCCTACGCATTCTCTGTATGGTCTTGAATGGCGACTGCTGCATGCTCCGATCTTCTTATCGTGTTGTCATGTTTCTTCTAGCCCCCCATCTTGCATACGATTACCGCGTGCCACACGTCGCAGAACAAGTACGAACTAAAGCCAATCCAAGGCGCGGAACACGGAAGGCTGCATAGGGTGGCAGTAGCTCGAGCGACGGGGGTGATCCTGGCTCCGATTCAGGTACTTTAGCCACCCGCCAATGCCGAATGAGCGTCAGCCATTGCGGACATCAGCATGGGAGGGTTCGTTTATCAGACCATGCGGAGGCCACGTCGATACCCAAATCAGATCCGCTGGAGAGGCGGTCTCGTACGTACTCCGTAGTTACCTGTACAAGGTGTCCACTGATAGACACTGGACTAGTCCGTTTTCTGCATGGGATAGGGCACAGGGCAAGGGCAGCGATGCGCGCACACAGCCCGAAACGATCAAAACAAATTCAGCGCCAACGGTCATTCCTCAGCTCGCGATCGGCGCGCGGCGGGCAAATGGCCCCCGTTCTCCATGCCAGAATCCAGCAATTCAAGCATGCAATGGACGAGTCATGAGACTGGTCAACTGGGGGCGTTATTGCGGGCGAAGAATTCTCCTGAGGGCCGAGTATGCAGGGCTCCTGCGGTGGGCAGGACCCGTAAGCCTGGATGACTTCAGAGAGTGCCCTGGAGCAAGAGGCATCTTCGGTACCATACCAGGACGTATGGTCAGTACTGGACGGTATGGTACGGGTCGTGTTGGCAGGAAGAAACAAAACAACAAGGTTAAAGTCAACCTGCTGCTCGTCTAGATCGTTTCCCGAGCAAGGGACGGTGAAAATTCTGCGGGTGGGACTGTTTTATTAGCTCCCGCGTGTGCTAACTCGGAGTACGGAGTACAGGTACTAAGTGAGTAAGGTGTCTTGTGGAGGACGGGACCTCGTGTTGTGTTGTGTCTTAAGGATGGAATAGACCTGGTCTATAGGGGATGGTGGTAGTGGTGGTCTATGAACTATCCTTCTTTCTTTGTTCTTCTCCAGAGCAGTACGTTACTGGACTTGCTTAAACGGAGTAATGCTCCGGCTCATTCTTGGACCGACGACTGGGAGTAGGCATGCACTCGAACCGTTGATGCGGAGCGGGAGCGCCGGCTCCTGGACCGCGGTGTCTCTGATGACGAGTAAGGAGGAGAATATTATTATTATTATCAAGGTTTCATTAATCTCGGCTGGGGATAGGCTGCCGCGAAAGGATTCCACCGAATGTGCTTCCATCGTGCCCTAATTCCCAGATATTGATCCCAGCAGCCATGTGTCCGTCCCAAAAGGAGCGGCCTGGGTTGACATTCTTGGAGGTGATATTGGATTTCCTGGCTACACAGACCAAAATATTGGATTCTTGCTTACGTCGGAAATCGTCATTTCTCTCATGGATGTGATGGGTTATTGCTTTTTTCCACTCAATATCACCCTGCGCCGCATATCAATATGTGCAACACACACACATATATGTACACACACAGAAATGAGCCCGCCGACCGGTCTGAACCGGTTTCTGTGGCATTATTAATTTCGCCGATTCAAGCCCCTCCACACCGTCGGATGGGGATTTACCAGAGTTGGTAATTTATCGTCCCATCCAAATTGCGGTCTGTCCAACGGGCCTGTTGCCCAGGACGAGGTGTGGTTGCTGCCCAGCAAACACGGCGGTAAAGCCCATTGCTCGAATGTGCCCAACACCACCACCACTACGACCATCCACTACGCCGGAGTAAGCATCTAGGCAGTTCTGGTGTTGTTGAAGGATGCCATCTGGTCCACTTTCTAGATCGTAGACTCGAGTACAGGTACAGTGGGCAACAGAGGGAGCTTGTTTATCGGACCCAGACGAAACCATGGTATGTGACGGGATCAGCCGGTTGGACCCATGGATCAGGTCGACTTTCCATCTACTCCGTACATCGAACTAGAATCCACAGTGCATTTGCTCCGTACATATTGCATCTACTCCGTAGTAGACTTATTAGACGGTTGAACTGAACGTGATTTGTGCGCCGAGCGCTGAACTGCCTCGCTCTTCGCCACTCTATGGATCCATCATATACTCCAGGCAGCTGAAGTGACGACGCTGTAGATCTGGTCGGACAAGATGCCCCTGAGGATTGGAGCCTTCAGCGGGCGCGCGGGCGAATTATTCCCCAGGGATATTTATAATCTCTTTCATCTTGAGTCACGGTGGCTGAGTCGAAAAAGTCTGACTCACAGCCGGAGGTGCATGGTGCATGGCGGTGCGCCGAGATATCCTGCCCTACATGATGTAGGATTCATCCGGGATGATCTCTCCATGCATCCGCGATCGAGAGTGGCCAGGCTTTCGACGAGATACTGAAGTCTACCCAAGGCTACAAGTTGAGAGTCGAATGTTGAGTCGGTGGAAGCGCGCACTCGACGTATGATCAAATAGATGACGCAGAATGAGTCTTATCGATGGCCAGGCGATCAATCGTAGGCGCTATAGGGGCCATCTGGTCGACAACCACGCATCCACCCAGAAGCTAACTCGACTCGAATCCGAGGCGAAGGATCTGAGGTTGCGAATTTGGTGCGTTTAGGACCCGTGATGGACGATAGTGCGATGCCCAACTCAGCACTCAGATGACTCCTCGGGAGGAGAGTGACCGGCGGATACGTAGGAGGTCGTGCGATGAGGCGCTCTAGATGCTCGAGACCATGTATATATACTTTGGATGTCGCTGGACACGCAGATGTCTTCTTAAGGAGTTTTCTGCCCGAAGACTGTGGTGATGAAGGATGAAGGATGAATGATTTATCCAATTTGGCAAAATCGTACTGAATGATACGGTACCATACACGATCCCTCCTACATTAGCGCCCTCCCCAAGTAAGCCAAGGGGAAAAAAGAAAAAAAAAAAAAAAGGAAAAAAGGGAGAAAAAAAAAGAACCCAAGGCCCCCACTTGGGCTAAATCCTTGGTGGTGGTGCATGATTACTACCGCCGAGAGTACCTTCTTACAAAACCAGCCGGTCCCCATCCACTCACTCTCCTTCTCCTCAGTAACAAACACCCTCTTCACAGGGTTCAACCACCACCACCACAACCACCACCCATCCATCTATTCACCATCGCGGTCGTCGCGAGATTCGCCACTTCGACCCCCTTTTTTATCCGTCTCATCGGAGAATCTTCAGGAAACCCCGTGAAGATACCAGCAGAATCCTCCTGGTGTCCAGTCCAGCCGAGATTCGCCTTCGCCTCCCTCAGCCCACCGCGCTCCTGATCTCTCTCCCCCCGTTCATCCTCGATCGGTTGGCCGACAACGTTCAAATGCAATCTGAACCCATACAGTTCTCTCCCTCCTCTCCCCTAGAAACCGTACCGCGGTGACGGTCCTCATTTCCCATCGACCTTCCCATCTCGTTGTCCTTGTTACCGGCGTCGATCGGCTTTTCTGAACGATATCCTGTATAATATACTTGGGTTGTGCTTTTTCCCCGTTTGTTTTTGCTGCGCTTTTTTATTCTTTGTGATCGTTTGACAGGGAGTTCTATATCCCCACGCAAAAAGTTGTCGATTTTGAATCCTTCCGCCTCGTGCAGTCTCATGCTCGCCTTCTGATAATGTACCATTATTCCAATCCACCGCCCGGGTGGTCTTCCTACGACTACATGAACTCCCCCCCGACGTCTCCGCATTACGCCTACTACGCCACGCAGTTTGCCAGTCCCTTCGCTTCTCCACGAGGTCCCTCCAAGCGCCACAACCGCAAAGCCAGCTACGCCGGAACCAAGGAGACCCCAGGATGGCACGCCGGGTACGGTCAGAGCTTCTACGAAACGATGCCGGAATACGGTACGCCGCCGCGCAAGCACGATCCTGTAAGTGCTTCTTCTGGTCATCGTCGCCGTAGGACCATGTCCGGCGCCGCCGCCGACCCATGGGACAACGTGGGGGCCCGCCCGTCGCCGTCGTCGCGCCGACGCTCCATCTTCGTGGATGTAGTCGACGAGGATGCGCCACGATACGTCTTCCACGAGGAAAGCCGCGAGCCCCGCCGATATCCGTCCACGCCTCCGCGCAAGCCCAAGCCCCCGACTGATCAGTATTTTTACTATAACCAGGTGCCTGCCTATGACGACCTTGATTCCGCCAAACGCTCGCGCGCCCGCCGCCAATCCACCTCCACGCGCACCCCTTCCAAGCCGAAGCCCGCGGCCACCGCCAAACCCACCCGCAAAGCGACCGAAGCCGATGCCGCCCGCGCCGGTATCCCGCCAGGCTATTCGATCAAGAACTGGGACCCCACGGAAATGCCCATCATCCTCCTCGGCAGTGTGTTCGACGCCAACTCCCTGGGCAAGTGGATCTACGACTGGACGGTGTTCCACCACGGCGCCTCCACCCCAATGGCCGACGTCGCCGGGGATCTGTGGCTGCTGCTTATCAAGCTGGCCGGGAAGGTCAAGCGGGCCGATGAGTGTCTCAGCCGCATCAAGCACCCCGAGGCCCAGGAGACGGTGGAGGACTTCCTGGAGAGCGGAGAGCGTCTCTGGGCCCGATTCAAGAAGCTCCTCAAGACTTGCGAACAGTTCATGTGGAAAGCGGCCAAGCGCGAAGGCGGCAAGGGGGGTGTGTCTATGGGTCGCAACGCCGGATGCGAATTCGTCGAATCGATCTTTGGCCGTGACCGTGAGCTCGAAAACACCGAGAAGCTGATGAACAGCATCCGCCTGTGGAACATGCGTTTTGACGCCAACTGCGAAGAGATCCTTCGGCGGCCGACCGCCGCCTAGAACGACTCCCGATCGATTATTATCGATGGGCACTGGACCATAAAAGTAATTGCGTTTCGTTTCTTACACGGGTCGATTATTTCTGAAGACCACCGTGCGACATCGCCCGCTGCGACGTTCTTGACTTCTTGGATTGCATTTGAGCGCGTTTGGATTGGCTTGTCTGCCTGGGTTGCTCTTTGCATCGTTCGCACCATACTCCGCGGTCTGCGCGGATCTGCCAGCGCTTTTGATTGACTATTTACTGATTTCCTTTGTGATTTCCTTTGTTTGATCTTACTTAATTCTCATTCGTTCTGCGTACCTTCTGGGACGGGGATCTGCTTTCTTGTCTGGCGCAGTTGCTTACTACCCCGGAGTCTGCATTTTTGCTGCTGCGAGTCTGCCAGGTTGAGCCTCTGGCTTTTCTTCAGCGATGATACCATTCTGCGAGTCTTTGCCTCGGGCGCAGTGGGTTGGATTCTTTTCGTTCTTTAACATCACCCACTGCTGCATGTGCCGTTAGACCTTGATCTATTCAATATCAACTTTACTTCTTTCCACGTACGTCACATATGACATATGTAAATTCCTACGTAGATACCTTGACATGGTACCCCTCTTCTGGCTGTCGATCGGGGTATGATCCTGCAGAGAGGGGAACGTCATCTGACAGGAGGGTTCATGCATTTCCATGTGGGATGCGATGCACGCAACGGCAATCCCGGACCATCGTTTTCCCCAGGAGTCGCACCAGAGAGGGGGTGCAGACAAATCACAGCGCTTGTCCCCTGCATGCTGTGTCATGCTCTGTGCCTAATGTAGCACGGACTTTCCCCGCCTCTGATGGTAGTGACGTTACCGCCAGTAATGCATGTTGAGCCTCCTCACAAAGTAGATCTGGACAAGGAGGTTATTGGAAAGGACAGAGGGTATGTTAAAATTAGCACTGTAAGGCAGAAGACAGAGGAAGACTAGGAAAAGACAAGATGGAAGATGGGTAGATAGGCAAGGCCGAATGAATTCCATGTATAAAACTGGTGAGGGCTCACACACTATCTATCTCCTCCTGATAGAAGATGGTTAAATTGAGATTACAAATACACTCTATGGCAAGGTGGCCGAGTGGTTATGGCGCTGGTTTTAGGTCATCTAGACACCAGACACCAGTGGGTTTCCCACGCGGGTTCGAATCCCGTCCTTGTCATTTGTCTTTTTTTCTCGCCATATCTTACATAGTAAGTCATGCGCCTTGTTTTTGACGTTGAAAACTCGAGGTTGGAATCTATATAAACGGCAAAACAATCCTACTCGGATACTGCCCTCCAACATGCAGCTGGTGAACCCCCTTGTTCATCTCCCTTTCCAGCGTGGTGACCGCTTCGTTGAACTCCTGGTGGAAAGGATACTGCCCGGACACCTCCACTCGAAGCGACTCACCTGCCTCGAATTCAATCCCCATCGCCCAGAGTCCAATCTCCAACTCTACCACCGTGCCCGGAGGTACCCGTTGCTCCTCCCGATGCGTATGGAACGGGTACTGCGGATGGATGGACCGTGATGGATCGATTTCCCGATGGGAGGCGCGCAGGATACCCATGGGCCCGTGATAGATGGTCAGATTGCTGTACTGGTTGGTCGGAATCGCGTCGATGGTCTTGAAGGGAACCCGATGCCAGGGGATGTTCACGTTCAGCATGGGCTTGCCGGTTTTGTCCAGCTTCCGGATCGCCACGAAAATGTTCATGTCGTCGTGATCCGGACAGGACATGTATACGACGGCCTTGGGAAGTCCGCACAGCGTGGTGGTTTCTTGGAAGGTATGCACAAACGACACGTACTCGCGGCCGTTGGGGACCGTCCACTCAGAGCGATAGCTCATGAGTGCAGTGGACGGGGATGGCTTGTCGGACAGCGTCCCATCCGCCTGGAAGAAATATTCGAGATAGCGCGTCCGGGGAATTGGAAAGGTCTCTTCGACGATGTCCTGGATGGGCTCCTTCTCGCCGAACCGCAAGATGGCGTTGCGGAACTTGGGCGTCTTCTCCCAGCCGTTATCGTCGCCTCGAAGGTACTTCCCGAAGAACCGCGCCAGTTCGTCGCGAGACTCCTCAACTGCCCAGAGGTCGTACCATTCCTGGTACGGGTCCCAGCGAAGCCACTTCTCTGACGACGGAACCTCCAGCCAGCCCCGGATGGACCCCATCGTGTGCACAAAGGATGAATACGACGCCACGATGTACGTGGGGATGTTGATCTTCGTGAGGTCTGGCCGCTTGTCCTCCCAGTAGGCGTTCATCACACTCGACCGCCGGTGCATCTCTTGGAAGTCTTCCAGCCCGTTTCGCCCGCGGATCACCATGCGAGTGATGAGGTCGAACAGGCCTTTGTTCCAGAGCCCGCCGCGCACGAACTGCTCGCGATAGAGGTCCCCACAGGCCTCCCAGGGCGCGATAGCCTTGAGCGATGGCGGCTGCGTGGCGGCGATAAACCATTGCACAATCGCCAGATGAGAGTTCCCAGCCAGGCCGATGTTCCCATTGCACCAGTCCATCTTGGCTAGGGCCTCGATCACATCGTAGCCGTCCTCCGCTTCCTGCGTGCCCATGATGACGATCGATCCGTCCGAGTCTCCAGCGCCGCGCGCATCAACATTAACGACGGCAAAGCCGCGCGGGACAAACTCGGCCGGGTCGACGCCCTCGAAGCGTTCCAGGCCGCTCAGACAGCCATCGGGCACGCCGCAACCCCACATGACGTTCTTCATCATCCCGATGCCGTTGAACTTTTTCCCAAATGGGCTCCAGCACACAATGGCGGGGAATTTGTCAGCCCCGGGCGGCCGGTAGATGTCGCAGTAGAGAGTGCAGCCGTCGCGGACTCGAATGCCGACGTCATGCTGGACCAGGATGTCGCAGGAGAGCGCGCGCGAGTTGAAGCCGTTCCATCCTTCCGGAAGGACTTCTTCCTTGCCGGGCTGGAATCCCTGGTAGCCGTTTTCTCCGACTTTAGGGGCGGTGATGGGTAGATTCGCGATTTGGACGGGAGGTGGCATTTTCGGAGATAGAACTTTGTACAACGATACAGAAGAGTCTATACTAGAGCTCAGGCGCTCGCTTTATATGAATGCAGCCTACCGAGGTTTTTCACTGGACTGACCTGCTGCTCCATTCTACACTACCGACGTAAGGCTTTACGGAGTACAGTTCGTTGTGGAATGCCGAAATATCGGAAATGTGGAGTTGAAGCAGCCCCGGATCGACTCCGGACGGGCGAGCTCGGGCGAGCTGAGTAAGACGGTGGACATCCATTCCATCGTCGCAATGGTTTCACCTGGATGTTGCGGGGTTGAATGTGGATGGCGCTAAAGAAGCCTGGAAGGCGATAGTGTGGGGGAGACATGTTGCCGACGGTGGCAATCCGGACTGCGCATCCCAACACCTGTTTCGTGGTGTATACAGCTTGATAACTGAGGACCCTGGTCAACTGTAAAGGTGATATGGCTTCAATCCGTACAACACAGCGAGCCCCACGGAGCTGTACAGAATGCTCCCGACGGAAAATCAAGTGCAACCAGAAAATCCCCTGCCAGCAATGTACGGCTCGGAAAGTGGCCCATCGATGTGCGCGGCCGGTGGTCAGAGTCCATGGCGAAGTCACAGTCGCTGTGGACATTGAGTCGTCGCAGGACGAGACTCAGCTGTCCATGTTGGAGCTTCTCAGGGAGAATTCCCTTCTGAGAGAGAAGATCACCCGGTTGGAAACCAGTCTCACTCTGTCCAGAAATGCTGGGACTCTGAGTCCTGCAGCGACCCCGGCATCCGACGATGGCGCCCTGTGTCCCACAAAAACGTCAAAGGAAGTGATCCGGCAGCTGGAAAGCCATATAGTGACGGTTGAAATAATCAACTTTACCGGTGTCAGGCAGACAGAAGGCCAGGTCATTGCCTGTCAAGGCGCGGATGGTCTCCCTTCCACCCGCTGCTTAAGCGACAACCCCATTCAGACCATACCGTCCAGGAGCCTGAGTGAGGCAGTCATCCAGTTCTCCTTGAGGTCCCTGGGTTTTATCCACTGCGCGGTGCGGGCCAACGTTTTTTACACCGAGCATCAAGACCTGTGGACCAAACTGTCACAGGGAGATCTGTCTGGTACCCGAAACCACCATTGGATGGCCGTGTACTATGCACTCCTTACTGTAAGCTTTCTCTGATGTTGCACCGCTGCCCAATGCTTAGCATGCATAGACAGGACTGTATTTCATCGACATCGAGGATCTCTCCACAAACCATCATCTCGAAATTCAGCAGAGGTGTGGCCTCGCCGGGAACAACCTGAAGGAGAACAAGGCACATTTAGCTCGCGCCTGGTATGACGCATGTTTACGAGAACTCGACCTGGCCAACTTTACAGGAAAGACTAGTCTGAGAGCAATCCAAGCGGTTGCCATCCTCACCCTTTGCAACCTCAACTTTGGGGAAATGGAGCGCGAGTCCTTACTACACGGTCTTGCAGTCAGTGCTGCGCGTTACGTGGGAATGCATCGGCTGGGCTCCGAAGGAAAGCATCCGCAAGATCTAGCTTCTAAATCTCTCTGGTCCACCCAAGCGGACAGGGAACTGGGAAGACGCCTTTGGTGGACGCTCGTCATCTGCGATTGGTGAGTGTACCGGCCTACAACAGATTCCGCATGGCTGACCGATGGCAAGGCTAGGATGCTGGTCCAGGTCACCGTCTATCTATCCCGAAAGTTTTGACTGCAATCTCGCGCGCGGTGCATTTGACCACGAGATACTGCTCGACACTACGCCTTCCTCGACAGTATCCCCTCTAGACTACCACCTCGTCATGGCGAAGCTGGCCTACCTCGTTTTCACCCGTTTCAAGGCCAAGAAAGACGAGATCTCGAACGCTCTATCAAAGACCCTAGATGAGCTCGATGAGATCAAGCGATCGTCCTCGCTGCTAAACACTAACGTACCTTCGAGCTTTGACGGCGCTCTCCACTGGACGATATTCCCGCGATATCTTCTTACGCAAATCCTTGACTATCTCAGGATGTCACTGGCACAGCTGTTCCTGTTCCGGGCGCTCGAGACCTCACAGGATGAGATGTATGCTCGTGCCGAAGCTGTCCGTTCGGCAGAGTCCATCCTGCAGGCGAGGTTCCATCGAGTTCCCGGGTTTTTCCAATCTAGCTGGTAAGACAATCCTCAGCTTCCGATATCCAAACCGCTAACGATAGCTAGGGTTATTTCCGCTGCGACGGCGGCCTCGGGGATCCTGCTTATGCTGGATCACCTGTGTTTCCAAAACGAAAAGGACGAAGCCCAGACCGCACGGCACTTGGGGTATATATCGCAATGCCTTGCAACGGTAGACGGGCTGAAGTCCAACCCTGAAGTCCATCGACGACTCATAGCACTCGGCCATCTGTTCAAAAGCGCCCAAGACTGTATTCTGCACCTACCGCCGCACAAGCCGGACATTGTCAAGTATGTGATTTCACATATACTTTCTCCCCCGGTGAACACTACACCAGGGGAGTGTACAAGTAGGCAAACCCGTCAGCCGGAGGATTTCGCCCTTGGTGCGCGCACAGGGGCTTCGGCTTTCTCACTGTCGCCTGCAGATTCTTGCGTGGGCTCGAACACAATCCCAACCAGCGACCCTCTTGGATGGCCGGATGATAGCCAGGGCTGGCTCGACGAGTTGCTCCCGGGTGCCTTGGAGTTTGACGCGCCTCTCCTTGCGGAGTTTTCATAAGCAGCACCAGCTCATGTATATATCTAAACCTCTAGCGTTCAAATTTACTATGATGCCATGATCTGTAACCATCAATTCACGCTACAATACAGACTAGGACACAACCACAAACACATCAGTATGGCTTAACGCCCGCAAGTCTGAGCAACTTATCCGTCAACTCCGGCTTCTCAATCGGCTCATCCCTCTCATCCGGATCGATCTTCCCATCGACCATCGCTTTGCCCTGGCTCCAGATGTTACAATGCGGCCAGTGAGTGGTAGCCTCCCACTTCTTGAAAAGCTCCGCCTTGTACGCCAGATCCTCGTGCTTCGCCAACTTCGCCGGCGTGTAGCAGGCATAGATGATTGTGCGGATGGTGTCGCTGTTCGGGAAGGCGGCGTAGTGCATGGAGCGCGAGTCCCAGAGGATCAGGTCGCCAGGCTCCGCACACACCTTGACCAGCTCGCAGCCGCGGTCCTGGAACCACTGCACCTCGTGGTCCTGGAACGGGTAGAAATCAAAGTGCTTGGCCGGCATGTCGTCTGGCCGCTTCCACGGCTGCGTCGTGAAGTACTCCGTGAACAGCCTCGACGAGCCTTTCATGACCAGCAGGCCGCCGTCATCGGGGCCGGCCGGGCTGAGGTTGATAATTCCCTGCACGCAGGAGAGACCCTTGCGTTCGGGGGCTTGGTCGACGTGCGGCCACGGCGTCCATTCAACGTCCTTGCGGCCGGGCAGGGTGATGTTGACGGTGTCGAACGACACGAGGAGCTCGTCCGTGCCCCAGATTTTGGCAAAGGGCTCGATGACCCCGGGTTCCCTGGGGCATGAACATTAGTATATACGAGGCAGTATATGTGAAGCAGGACGTTGAAGGAAGATACAGAATGGGTTACACGTACTGCCGCGCATCCCACACGTATTTCTCGTGCGCCGCGCAATAGTTCAAATACATGCCCGCCTTGAACGACTGCGGCAGATGCTCCTGGGTCCAGGTGGAGCGGTCGTTGAGATCGAGACCCTTGTCGAACGAGGTGAGCCAGTCGAGGGCTTTGGCGCGATACTTGGCCGCCTTCTCCGGGGAAATGGCGCCTTTGATCACCACATAGCCCTTTTCGTAGAACTCGTCTCGCCAGTCACCGTACGTTTCCTGGGTGTTGGCGATGTCTTGGAGAGCGGCTGGGGCCATTTTGCGTGTGCGGATTGAAGGGTTGGTAGCTGCGGAGTGGTGTTGTAAAACGACAACAGTAATATATAGAGCGTTGTATCGTGGGAATTCCCTCTCACCACTTCAATGCATTCTAGATGCATTTATACCACGCTCTTCATGATCCATGAGATAACCCGGCCGAATTGGCTAGAGTTGGAGAAACGGACGGAGGTTGTCCACTTGCGCAAAACTCGCCCGAACTCGGCCGTCGGAGCGCCACGCGATATACCATTCTGTCTTCTGTCCAGCGCCCCCCCGTCCACCAGCAGAAGATCCGTTGCAATTGTCGACTAGAAGCAAGCTGCTCGGCATCATGTAGATACATTGCAATATCGGCTCCACTACCCCAGTCTTGTGCTTGTGACATCCCCATATTATGCGGTTCTCCGCCTCGTTGCTCGCCCCTGTCCTCATCTCCGACGAGCGTACGAGCCATGGAAGACGCAAAAGATTCTCACATACAGCATGTCGAGGACATGTCTCAGGACAAAGGGGCACATCCCGTCATGGGCACAGCTCGTCTCATCACCGACGGCGAAATCGTACTCATTCCGCGTCCTTCAACTGATCCATGTGGTGAGTACCGTGACTTAGGGCACAATGAAGACAGCTAACAGTTGAAGATCCCCTCAACCTGCCTCTGTGGCATAAATGGACAATCCTCGTCATTGTCACGCTGTGTGAGACATCCATCTATGAGGACCAGCTGAAGGAATCACTGACACGGGGTCAGTTTCTGTTGACGGCGTCCTCCTAGCCAGCAGCATCGGAGTCATCATGCAAACGCTCGAAGCCTACTACGACCACAACCCCCGCGTGGCGGATCTTTCACTCCATCCGACCCTTTTCATGGGGATTGGCAACATCGTAGCCATCCCGCTAGCCCACGCCTTTGGCCGCCGGCCGTTCTTCCTACTGTCCTGCGTGCTCATGGTGGCTACGTGCGCCTGGGCGGCGTGGAGTCCGAGTCTCACACAGCATATCGCTGCGCGCGATGTCATGGCGCTGGCCGCGGGTCAGAGCGAGGCGCTCTGTCCCATCATCATCCAGGTCGGTGTCTTGTCTCTCTCCGTCTCGGTGTGCGGCACTCATACAACGCCCGTTGCAGGAAATCTTCTTTCTCCATGAACACGCCAGATCCCTCACCTGGTTCTCTGGTCTGCAGACCATCGGCGTAGGGGTTCTGATGATTGCCAGCGCGTACTTGACTGATTCGCTGGGCTGGCGTTGGTGGTATATCGTCTTCGGCATCGTCAACCTCGCGGTGCTGGTTCTTGCCTTGTTGCTCGTGGTGGAAACTAAGTACCCCAGATCCCTCAGCGTTCTTGGTACGTTGCGAACCTGACAGACTATTCATGGTTGTGTGGTGAACTAACGTCCCCAGCCGGAGACATGGACCCCTCCGAGTCCTCCGATCTCAGCAACCCAGTCCCCGAGAAGATCACACACTCCACTCGCCTCCCGTTGGATTATGCCCGCTACCGCCGACGCAGCTTCCTGCGCGACCTCCGCCCATGGCAGGGCCACCGCAACTGGCGCCAGGCGATCGAGTCGTGGAAGCAGATCGCGGTGGTGTTCTGGTTTCCCAATGTCTTCTGGCTGATGCTCTGCAGCGGGGCGTTTCTGGGCATCTACGTGCTGGCCACGACTGTCTTCGCGGCCATCCTCATCCCGCCCCCGTACAGCTTCTCGCCGACGAGTCTGGGGTACGTTATGGGCGCGCAGACGCTGGTCGGTCTCGTCGCCATCCCGATCTTGGGGTACGGCAACGACCGCATCGTCCAGTACCTGAGCCAGCGGAACGGGGGTATCATCGAGGTTTGTTTGGAGCTAATTATTAACGGAGAAATACTGACGATACTGTTTTAGCCGGAGTACCGCCTTCTGAGCGGCGTCATCCCGTTCATCAGCTTGATCATTGCCGTCGTGCTGTTTGGCAAGACGGCGAGCCATCCCGCCGACTACAGCTGGGCGGGCATCGCGGTGACCATGAACGTCATCTTCTTCGCGTACGTCGGTATGGTTGTCACCAGCTTCACCTACGTGATCGGTAGCTATCCGACGCGCACGGATGCGCTCCTCGTGGTGCTCTGCGCCTGCCGCGGGTTTATCAGCTTTGGGATTTCGTTTGGGATCAACGACTTTGTGCGAGAGCAGGGGTACGAGGGAGCGATGAATATCTGTGCTATTATTGTTGGCATTCTTGCGGTCTTGGGGGTTCCTGTGTATGTGTTTGGGAAGCCCATTCGACGGATGACGCAGCGGTATGCGATGCATTAAGTGCATGGGTTGTCGTAACTACCTGAACGCCGAGACATACTTATATTAGATGATTATTCACTATGCAGCATCTATATCTACCATCTATCCACATCAGTCTATCTGTCTATCAAAGCAACGTGGTATCTCCAATGCACCAATGCATGTGCACACGCCAACCCTCGCAAACCCACGACATGAACACCTACGCCTTAGCCGGCGTCTCTCCCTTCCACACCAGCCACATAAACCCGATGAGAAACTTGAAGCCCGCGGCCATCCACAGCGCGGACTGCATACCCCCGCTGCTGCGGCTCAGCCAGCCGCCAATAATCGCGCCGACCAGGAGCATGACGACGCCGCCGATGCGACGGTTGCGCTTGGGGTTGGTGGTGGGCACATCGGCGAGCTTGGGGTCCGAGGCGACATCAAAGTAGACGCTCGTCAGCACGACGGTGGGGATCTCGTTGTAGCCGAGCGAGCGGCTGGAGGTGATGGATCCGGCGGACTGGAACGCCAGCAGCGCGATGGGGATGAGTTCGAGGAAGAGCGGGCCGCCCGTCAACTTCGTGTCGCCCGACGTGTGCGGGATGAGATCCGCCTCGATGAGAGCCACGGCGATGACAATCAGGACTGCCTGGATCATGAACGAGACGAAGAGCGTGCCGCGTCGGCGGGCTCCGACGCGACGAGTCACGTTGGAGAAAATAAAGGCGCCGATGAAGAACGACGCGATGGACACCAGTGACTTCAACCAGCCCCATGGTTTCCCCGTCGGCTGCCCGGAGGCTCCCAGACCGAGGAAGATGGTGTTTCCTGTCGCAGGGTTAGATGGTGGTTGACTAGCGCATTTTTGAACGTACCGGTCTGCATGGCCAGGAAACAGGACCAGGCATTGTAGGCGGCGCTGTCGCAGAGACCCGTGTTCATACACAGCAGCAGACAGATCAGATCCGTGTATTTGGTGTTGACGGGCTGATTCCAGCGCTGGAGGACAGAGGGTTGCGCTGGAGGCGCGTCGGCCTCCAGGTCGCGGGAATCCCCGTTTGCCGCGGTGGTTTCGGCCATGTCGCGTTCCGATTGTGCGCAGATGCGGTCGCAGGACAGAGACAGCGAGGGCACAGAGACGGGGTCAGAGACGAAGGGAAATTGGCGAGGAGACAGGACCCCTTATCGCGGTCGGCAATCGGAGGGGGACAGCCGGGCGCAAAATTTTGCAGATTGGAGTCATAGTCATTTCCCAGTTGGAGCAGCCGACGGGGACGCTCCGATCTCGCCCAGCCCGGCGATGGCGTCTTTGCAGATTAGACTGTCGATGATCTTGCGGCGATCGCAGCCCTAATCGCTTGTCGCACGCAGACGAAGTCGTCCGTCTGTTTATTATTGTTGCTGCCTGGATTGCGACAATCCACACAGCCAAATCAGACATCGCCCTCGCATCAGGCTCGACCCTTTTTATCCACTGCAGTGGAGTTCGGTCCTCGCCCCGCACGGATAGGGCTGAATTGAAGAATGAATGCGTAAAGGAGTATACCGCTGGTTGGAGTGGTGATGGCCATGTCGGTGAGGAGGATGTTAGGGCTGGCTGGTGACAGGAGGAGCTGTACGCTGATGATTCTACAGACTACGCCCAGTGGAGCTTTCGGGCTGAATGAGTCGCTTGTTCTAGAGCAGATACTCACTCAATAGTTAAGATCCCTGCTCAATAATATCATCTGGACGGCAAGAAGCTAATGTGTCGACAGTGACTACGCCACTACACGACTGCGACCGACCAGAATGACACGCACTCCCAAGAAGAACTCAAACTCACTTAGCCATTCGCCTTTCCTAATGTGGACGTGAGATCATGAGGCCATCCGTGCAACCCGTTTCGAGCTCTGCGGAGAGCCTTCTCCATCCCTACAACGGCCCGGACTGGCTCAACCATGATCCCACCATGACATCGAGGAATCATAGCGTCCAGCCCTCGTTGTCAAGCAGTGGGTGGCGCCAGATCGCCCGATGACTGCCTGGTCCGGATAAGAACCATGGTGGTGATGCTGGATGTCGTCGTCGTCATCATCATATCATTGTCGCCACCGTCTCTATATAAACCCCGCAACACACAATTCCCTTGTGGTAGCTCCAAGCTAAGAATCAATGTAACTGTGCACCAAGACTTTGTTTACCAAATCCACACTTTTCAATCAACCGGTATGTGGGCCACCCATCAACCACGATGCAGCTGCAAAGGGACAGGTCTCCAAGACTGGTCCCGGGATCCCTGCAGCCGATGAAAGTCAAGTAACTGACGCGACTAGCAATCATCATGCAATCCGCACGAGAGACCGCGGCTCGCTTCGGCGAAACTGTGCAACAGAAGATGCCTTCGACGTTGCAACCTCAGCAGGGGAGATCCAAGATCCCCGACTGGAATACTGAGGAAAAGCTGGAGACGACTCTGGACAAGGACGGAAACCCCGTACCGGACCGCTCGTTCACTGACGGCGAGAAGATGATGAAAGGCAGCCAAGGACCTGATGAAGCCGATGCGTATGAGGCTGCCACTGCCGATTTCAAATAGGCGAAGCCGGAGTGGGAGAGTCTTCTACATTCTGGTGTCATGTCTGGGACCAACAAATAGCCATGGATGTATCACTCCCGTGAATGGATCATTCGTTGAGATCTAATCATATCTGTTAGTGTTACTGGATGTATGTATGTTGCATGATAGGAAGCCAGTTGGGACATTCGCTGCAGCCCGCTGGTCGATAATGAACCGATACACTCTGTTCAAGCAGTAAATCTCATTGTAATATCGAGCCCTTCCTATACCATATGCGATTAAGCGGTAAGACGATAAGGACGAAGTCATCGCGATGAAGCCAGTAAAGGTGGATTGCTATGGCAACGGAGGACGGCGAAAAGGCGGTGTCTGCCTCAGGCTCTTCCCGCTGCCCGATCAGGCAAAACCCAAACGAGCACCAGCTGGTATTAGTACAACTCGATCTCCAACGTGCGATCTGGTGTGAACATTCCAGCCATCGTGTTGTTGTTTCTCTCTCCCTTCTCTCCCCCTGTGGAGGTTTCTCCTCTCTCGTTTGTCGCTCTCCCTATCCCACCCCTTGCGCCGCAGCGCTGCATGTTTCTCTCTTTTATCCTCCATCGCAGAAGTCAGTCTCCCCTGTGATCCACTGTTTACACCCGGGTCACAGCATCATTCCATGCGACCTGTCAAGTCCCTCTATCCCCCCATCCAGACTGAGTCGAGTTCCATTTGCTGAAACCTCGATTGTGGTCGGTTTCCCAGACGGGACTAAGTGTGCGACTGCGTCCCCCCAGCAGCCACGATCCGCGCCGATTCCCCCGAGCCCTTGATTGACATCGAGTTCGCGCCTGCGCCTGCCGTTCCCTCCATCCGAGGTGGTACACCTGCCTGTATGTACCATCACCTCGTTCATCGCCAACGTGAGCTCGTCACTCAGTCTGTACAGTTATTGAGGGATCGCAACCAAGCCATGGCGCTCGACCCGCATTTCTACCAACACCTCCACGGGCCTGGCCCCGCCTCCTCCTCCGTCTCGTCATCCGGTGCCTCCGTCATTACCGGCATCACCAGCCCCTCTATCCGCTCGACCACCGCCTCGGCCGCAGCCTTGCGCTCCACCGCTTCCACCCCGTCGCTCCGCGCACGCGAAAGCGTCGCCATGGTGCCAACACGGCATGACGCGGTCTCCAGTCCATCGCCCGGAGGAAATGTTCGTGTGGTGGTGCGCGTGAGGAATTTCCTCCCCAGAGGTATGTCACGGAAGCGCAAAGATAGGGATCGTCGAACACGCAGATCAGACTAACGCGCTGCTTCCACTGGCATCGTATAGAGATCGAGCGGAACGCGGACTGTTTGATTGAGATGGATCCGCACACGCAGACAACGAAACTAAAAGCGCCCAGAGTCAACCCGGGCGATGTTGGAAAGCCAAAGTCGCAGGCCCGCGGAAAGATACTGGAAGACAAGTCTTTCATATTCGATAACTCGTTTTGGTCCCATGACGAACAGGACGAGCATTACGCCACCCAGGAAGACGTGTACAACTGCCTTGGAGAGGAGTTCCTAGATCACAATTTCGAAGGATACCACACTTGTATCTTCGCCTACGGTCAGACCGGCTCCGGCAAGAGTTACACCATGATGGGCAGCCCCGACCAACCGGGTCTGATCCCGCGAACCTGCGAGGATCTTTTCCAACGCATCGAGAATGTCGAATCGCCCGATGTGAGCTTCAACGTCCGCGTTTCTTATTTCGAGGTCTACAACGAACATGTGCGCGACCTGCTAGTACCGCGTACCGACCCGCCACACTACCTTCGCATCCGCGAGTCTCCCACCGAGGGTCCCTATGTCAAGGATCTAACGGAGGTGACGGTGAGAAACTACTCCGAAATCATGAAGTATATGCGCAAAGGTGATGTCTCCCGGACGGTGGCCAGCACGAAGATGAACGATACGTCCTCGCGATCGCATGCAGTTTTTACCATTACTTTGAAGCAGATCCACCACGATCTCTCAACAGATGAGACCACCGAGCGCACTGCGCGGATACGTCTGGTGGATCTGGCTGGATCCGAGCGAGCCAAGTCAACCGAAGCTACGGGACAACGTCTTCGCGAGGGATCCAATATTAACAAATCTCTGACTACGCTCGGCCGCGTGATTGCTGCTCTGGCTGATCCCAAACAAGGCCGGCCGGGCAAACGAAAAGGCAAGGATATTGTGCCGTACCGGGATTCGATCTTGACGTGGCTCCTCAAGGATAGTCTGGGTGGCAACTCCAAGACGGCTATGATAGCCTGTATTTCCCCGAGCGACTATGAAGAGACTCTCTCGACGCTGCGGTATGCAGACCAGGCGAAGCATATTCGCACTCGTGCCCGTGTGAACCAGGATCATTTGTCTGCAGCCGAGCGTGACCAGCAGATCGCTGAAATGGCCGAAACGATTCGCACACTGCAATTGAGCGTGAGCCAGGCCGCGGCGAACCGCCGCGAAAGCGAGATCCAGAACGAGAAGCTGGAAGAATATCAACAGAAGGTGGAGAAACTGCAGCGACTGATGGAAGAGACCAAGATGGTCAGCGAATGCAAGATCAAGCAGCTGCAGACTGAAAACGAAGCCCTTCGCAACCACTTGAAGTTAGCGCTTGACAGTCTCAAAAACCCGATCCCTCCGGTCCACGTGGAGAAGCGCAAAAGTATTCTTTCCCCGGTGGAGGAAACCGATTCCGTCTCGGTGACTGAAGACAAAGAGAATCGCCCCGGATCGCCAACATCGGACGCCGAACCGGGACCCGACTCGATTTGGGAAGATGAGAACCTACCATTCGAGTCAGGCCACCTCGAGGCGCAGGAGATGCAGGCGCATATGGAAGAACTTCTGGGTGACTTGAACATTTTCAAGCGAAAATTGGCGTCGGATCATGAACGCTTCCGCCCATCCCAGCCCCCGGGAAGTCGCAAGAAACGACGGGCGCTTGGTAGCATTGCGGTCAATGGTCGATGAGACTCGATGGACATTTTCTTCTTTCCGTATATTTTTATGCTATAAATTTTGGCTTCTGGCTGAGCTTTGGGTGGATATTGTGATGGTTTTGGTCTGGCGTTGGAGGACGCTTTTTCTTCTGTTCCTCACTGTTTTTTATCTTGTTTCTGTCGAGTTCTGCGATGCAACGATGAGACGACTGAATGCTAGAATACCAGGATGTGACGCATGATGGAATTCCGTTAATTCAATCTGAACAGACGGCCACTGGATTGAGTGATCAGATGCGTAGATGCATGAGAGCCCTATTTCCGTAATAATGAGTTATGAACCCGTCCGATCGACTGATAGCGTGCAGTAGTGGGATGCAAGTCACTGCTGAGGAGGTGTTCTGGAAGAGAGGCCGCTGGAAGATGTTTGCTAGTTAGTTAGTTAGTTAGTTAGGGTTGGGCTGCTTATGGCATCCCGCATGACTCAATCCAGACTGGAACTTCCTTCCCCCCACAACCTCCAAGAAAAAAGTCTCCAATGCCCCTCTCCTCTTCCGTCATCGCCCTCCTCCCCGTTCTTCTATAATGGCGCAACCTGTCGACCCGGCGCAAACTGCCGTTCCCTCCGAATCTCCCGCTCCAGTCTCCGCGACCGCCCAGTCGCAGCAGAAACCACAGTCGGCCCCCGAGATGAACCCGGAAGCGTCGACCGGCGGCGCATCCAAGCCCGCAAAGCAACAACCCAAACAGCCCAAACAACCCTCCAAAGCGAAAGATGGCCCGGCCGATGGCGGCGCTCCGGCGGGAGGTGAAGGCCTGTCTCCCGCGGAATTGAAGAAGAGAGCCAAGGCCGAAAAACAAGCCCGGAGAGCCAAAGAAAAGGCCGAAAGAGAGCAAGGTGCGGGCGGTGGTGCGGGTGGACCTGGCGCCCATGCTGCAGGGAAGAAAGGCTCTGCAGGAGGTGGTGCGGGTGGGAAGGACGCTGGCGCCGGATCACAGCAGAAAGGCCAGCGACACCGTCGTGGATCCGCGCAGGCCGGTACTCCGGCTGCTGCGGCGGAACAGAAGAAGAAGAAACAAGAGGACAAGAACGTCGCCGTCTTTGGTCATCTGTATGGACAGCCGCGACGGACGACAATCGCCGGCGCTGCCAAGGAAGTCCACCCGGCGGTTCTGGCGTTGGGATTGCAGATGAGGGATTACGTGGTTTGTGGTAGCAGTGCGCGGTGTGTGGCTACGTTGCTCGCGTTCAAGCGTGTACGTGTAGTTCCTGTGTCTCCGATGGGGCGTTCTCTTGCACAGTCTGACGCTAACTCGCTCAATTCTAGGTTATCGAATCTTATACTACCCCTCTGGGCACCTCCCTTTCCCGTCACTTGACTACACACCTGTCGCACCAGATCACCTACCTCTCCACATGTCGTCCCCTCTCCATCAGCCAGGGTAACGCCATCCGTGCGCTCAAGCTGGCGATTTCCTCCATCGACCCGTCCGTCCCCGAAGCGACGGCCAAGACCACGCTGAGCGAGTTTATTGACAGCTTCATCCGGGAGAAGATCACCGTTGCCGACCAGGTGATTGCCGGTAGCGCAGCGCAGAAGATCCAGGACGGCGACGTGATCGTGACATTCGCGGGCAGTTCAATCGTCAAGCAAACTCTTCTCACGGCGTACAAGCAAGGCAAGAAATTCCGCGTGTCCATCATCGACTCGCGCCCGCTGTTCGAGGGCAAGACGCTGGCCCGCACCCTGGCCAACGCCGGTCTCGACGTGCAGTACTCGCTCATAAACGGCATCAGCCACGCCATCAAGGATGCCACCAAGGTCTTCCTCGGCGCCCACGCCATGACCAGCAATGGACGCTTATACTCCCGGGTCGGCACCGCGCTGGTCGCCATGTCGGCTAAGGAACGCGCCGGCGGTGTCGAGGTCCCCGTGATTGTCTGCTGTGAGACGGTGAAATTTACGGACCGCGTGGCGCTCGACAGTATCGTCGTCAACGAAATCGCCGACGCCGACGAGCTCGTCGTCAATGAGCCCCCACACCAGGTGACCCAAGTCCCCGACCCGGCCGCCGCCGCCGCCGCTCAGGCCGACTCGAAGAAGGGCGGCAACAAGGGTGCTGCGAATTCCGCGCCGTCGGAATCCACGCTCGCCTCCAAAGACTCGTCCCCGCTTAGTAACTGGAAGGACACCCCAAATCTCCAGCTACTCAATATCATGTATGATGTCACTCCGGCCGAATACGTTGACATGGTGGTCACGGAGATGGGCAGTCTGCCGCCCAGTGCGGTCCCGATTGTGCACCGCATGAGCACGAACCTGTAGACTTCTTTCCTGGAGGACTTATTATCGGTAGGGTAATATCTCGGGATTACAAAATGCAATCATGAATCATTAATGGATGTCTATATTTGTACTATGGGTAGTTTTAGACTTTTATGGCATGATCAATGAAATATCGAACCAGATAATATGAAAGCGTAGGACGATTATGAAACTACACCGCCTTAAATCACAAAGCGGTAAGAATAAACCGGGCAGAATGCCTGCTTCATGTTGATCAACAATTGATCTCAACTACTCTCCCTTCATCTATACACATCGTTTACATACAACCAGTCCCCTGAACTTCCAAACAAGAGATACTCTCAAAATGGTACCCAGCCTCACCCGCAAGACCACCTAGTAAACCAACTAACCCCCACCCAGAGCAAAGACTCCTCCGCAACACATCTCCACATGCACCAACCCCGTCTCGCCGACCACTTCGAAGACTTCACCCGCCCACACACCTCGCAATCCGCCTCGCTCACAGCCTCCGCATCCTCCTCCCACCTCTATCACAACCACACCGTGACATACGGCTCCTCCTCGCCCACGCTGATGCCCTCGTTCCTCCCCATCGAGGACATCTACGTCCCGCCGCAGTACCAGCCGCCCAACCCGGAGGACGAGGACGACGTCGTGCCCGACCAGCACGCCGCGTTTGGCATCACGCGCGCCATGGAGCGCAAGCGCGAGACGGTCTGGCGGGATCTGGGGCTCGAAGCGCTTGTTGCGTCCGGGGGCGGTGCGGGGAAGAGCTCCGGTGCCAAGGTCAGAGTGAAAGGCGCTGGGAAGTTGATGGGCGGGAAGAGGACGCTTTGTTTGCGGTGATACTTTTTTCTGGGGGTGGGGGTTTATGTAGTTATGAATTATGGGATGGCGTGGTTTGTTTTCTTAGGGGTTAATCCTGTTATGTATACCCGTTGCTATGAATTGCCATGGATCCACTTGGTCACGCCTAACGCCTCATTATACATCGTATATGCACATCCAATGCCCTATATCCGGTTGATATCTACCCGTGCCCGCTCGTACAGCTTGTGACTGAGTTGCTTCTTTTCGCGCTCGTCGTCGGCAATGTCCCGCCGGTGGATCGCCATTTGCGCGTAGGTCCCTGCCGCGCGTCGCTTGGACAAAGTACCAGGGTTGATGACCAACACGCTGTCGACCACCTGGGATTATATTAGTTGGTTTTCTTATTTGCAAGTACAGTGTGTTGATGTTGCTCACCTTCACGAACGGCGGTAGCATGCTCGGCACGAGTAGCACGTCTGGTCGTACATTGCACCACTCCCCTAGTTTCAGGTAGCTGGTGTCCAGCATGGCGCCGGTGGCCACGCCGTCCTCGGTGCCGGGTTTGGGCAGTGCTTCGCGGGCTGTAGGTGGATAAATGGGATAGAAGTGCCGCTGCTCGATCAAATATTTCGGCAGCCGTGTGAGCAGGTTGCCCTCTTTGGGCCTGCCGTGGATGGCCTCCTCGCGGCGCAGCTCGTAGAGGACGTCGTGCGAGCACATGCCAATGACAGTCTCGTTCAGGGACAGCGTCACCGGGTTCGACACCATGCGCACTTGCTTGGGCAGGCCGAACTCCTTCTTGGGCAATTGCTCCTGCGGCCAGGAGACGTGCTTACTCACCGCGTCTCGCACCGACGGGACCATCACGATGGTGATACTGGGCACCGCGGCGGCCAAGCGTTGCAGTGGAGTCGAGATGTAGTGGCGGAATACCGTCGTCAAGGTCGCCGTGTCTGGGTCGTACGAGTCGGTCTCCGGGAGGTCGAAGTCGCCCGATGCCAGCAATGGATGCTCGATGTCCAGGAAGGGTCCCATCAGGATGAGCCCATCGGCGTAGCTGTCCGCGGCCTTTTGACAGATCTCGTTGAGTGGCTCGAAGTCGAGGCTGTCGTCGGTTGTGTACGGCCCCGAGGCAATAAGCACGTTCAACGGAGACGATCCGGCTTCGTCGAGCCGATCATTGATGCCATCAATTGTCACGGCGGACGAGGCGGCAGACGGCAGGAGGGGTGTGGGAAGGACGTCTTTGACCGAAAAGTAGTTCCCTGAGGCGTTGATTCCTCGAAGAGCCACAATCTGGCCCGGGAAAAGGTTCACTGACGGGAGGGAGTCGACCTTCAAAGGAACCCGGATTCCTGCACCCGTACGTCGGGATGTCTCCAGCACAAGTGACGCGGTGTTGAGTTTGCCTTCTAACGAGTCCGACGCGATGCGGCCAACAGCGACAATCTCGTTTTGACTCTGCGTGGCTGCGCTGCCGAATGTGATGTCCTCCCCCTCATATTCTTTCTCGAATAAGGCCGTAAACTCGTCGATCCGGTCGTCTAAGATCTCGGACGTCTCAGACAAGCGCATTGCCAAGGGTTTGTAACCGAATTTCTTCAGATCGGTGTTCGCGGTCCACCGTATACGGGTTTCCGAAAAGGGCGCCATGGGCGTCTCCGGCAGGGGCAGATGAGCATTAATGGTCTCGATGGTCTGACCTGGGTTTGGTCGGTCGGCGAACCGGACGGGCCTGGGTTGTTTGTCAATCCGGATCGTCAGGTAGACGGGTTATGGCAACATACTGCAGACCATCACCCGCACCAGCGCCATTCGCAATGCGCGGCGTCTTCGAGCCTATAGGAGACTGCTCACTTCCAATCTTTCCAGCCTTAGATATTGAAGGGGACGCAAAGTCGGACTTTCTTTTCGCGGAGCCATTGACACTTTTCGGGGTTCGACCATTGGGCGTCAATCCGTCCAGCCTAAATCCATATCAGTCGCTTGTTGAAGAGGGTCCAATATCATGTTCTCCGACTCACATCCCAAACACATCTGTAGTTCCTGTCGCCCGCGGGGTAGCAGTCGGGGCACTCCTCTTCTCGGTTTGCCGGCCCACCTTGCCTCGACTTTCGCGCTCGAGGGTATCCTGGACATCCTGTTTAAGCTGTCGAACCGTGTCGAGAGTGAGTTTCATCTCTTCAGCACCCATCTTCAAACAGAACGATTCCCATTTATAGAAAAGCTCCTGCGGGGTGATCGAGTGGACGCGAAGGATGGATTGCAGCTCGGCGAGAACATCTTTGGGAAGGCCATCTGGGGAGGCAGGGGAAAAGAGCTCATTGAGCTCTCCAACGATCTCGTCCTCCATGGTGTGGACAGTGAGCGATGTTTGCTGGTGACAGTGTTGCGGATAATTAATTGCGACGGAGAACGCGTGAACGCGTGCCCACGCGATGGGCGGACACGGCCACCGGCAGTACGCCAGACCGCCTACCGGGAGGGCGCTGCAGCGACCCGCCCGTCCACGTATCACTGCGGCCGTCTGCCTATTCCGCAGTATGGTTGTCTTCCAGTGGTGGTGGTTATTTTTGTCGACGATCACTGAGTGGGCCTGTCGATCGAGTCGGGTTCTGTGCCATTGCTGAATCCACCCCAAGGGGAAAGAGGGAGAAAAAGTTCAGCTAGCCAAGGACCAAAGGCTATATTATGGAAGACACCCCCCAAAGCGACCGCTGTATTGAAAGACCACTCTACCCCAATTCCAATTAGAAACTCACCATGTCCGCACCGTCCGAATCCACTGCGGCCCCTACGGCGCCCGCGAACGAGGGCCCCGCGGTCGACTCACAGACCAGCGTTCCCCCGCCGACGTCTTCCAGCCCGGGGAACGCGAAGACCCCTGTTGAGATCCCCAGTCAATCGATTGAGCCCTCGGCAAACGGCAGTAAGGACATCGAAGCGGACCTGCCACAGTCTGCTGTGGATGGTCTCATCCAGAAGCCTTTCCCTCGACCTCTCGAAACCTCGAAACCCCCACCTCCCGCCGAACTCACGTCGGACCAAAAGTCGAAGTACGATGATGTCCTCAAGGCCGTTTCCGAATGGACTACCGTTCCCACGACGTCGGCGAAGAACGCTCCCACAGAACCAATCACCGACGACGAGCGCATGTTCTTGACTCGGGAGTGTCTTCTGCGGTACCTACGGGCGACGAAATGGAATGTACCCGAGGCGATCGCACGATTACAGCGGACGCTGACATGGCGTCGGGAATACGGGGTTGCCAAGTTGACGCCGGAATACATCTCGGTGGAAAATGAAACGGGGAAGCAGGTGATTCTGGGTTATGACATCCACGGACGACCGTGCCTTTATCTTTTGCCATCCAATCAGAACACCGAGAAGAGCGACCGCCAGATCCAGCACTTGGTGTTCATGCTGGAACGGGTGATTGACTTGATGGGCCCGGACCAGGAGACTTTGGCGCTGATCGTGAACTACAACGAGACCAAGTCGGGCCAGAATGCGAGCATCGGCCAGGCCAAACAGACTCTGAACTTCCTCCAAAATCATTATCCCGAGCGCCTGGGCCGGGCATTGGTGATCAACAGTGAGTAGACCTTTCCGTAGTTGCTTCGTGAGACTGACCGGGAACGATGTATTGCAGTGCCGTTCATGATCATGGGATTCTTCAAGCTGATCACACCGTTCATCGACCCACTTACCCGTACGAAGTTGAAGTTCAACGAGGACCTGCGGGAGCATGTGCCGGCGAGCCAGCTGATGAAATCTATGGGAGGGGATGTCGAATTCCGTTATGATCATTCAATTTACTGGCCGGCTTTGAATCAGCTCGCCGACCAGAGGCGGACTGCGTACCGCGAACGGTGGATCCAGGGCGGAAAGCGTGTGGGCGAGTTCGAGAATTACCTGAAGACCGGCACTTTTCCCAGTGTTTCGCAAAGCGAAGGGACTTCGAATGGGACTAACGGGGAGTCGCACGCATGAGGCGAAGTACTCCGGCTGCACCCCCCGCTCAGGGTTTTTGTTTCCAACCTCTGGTCCAACTTCCTTGCCATCGGGAAACTTCTTCCCTTTTGTTTCGGGCCGTTGATCTACTAAACTAGACTAATCTTGTGGAATGGGGGAATGTTGCGTATTTTGGGTTCTTTGTTGCATTTTCTCTCTGCATTCGATATATCCGATGCATTTTGCAGTCTATATATATATATATAGACGAGAGCCCTGTATATAGACTAGACTTGGCACAATTCTCATCCTCCTGGTCTGGGTGGACAACCGCATGTCACGTGTCTGGGAGCCTCAGGCGCCCGTGGGGATTAGGTTCGTAACGCCATCATATTGCAGGTCTCCCTGTCCTGTATGCCATCTGACCTCCAAGAGTCGGCTTGATTCGTAGCGGAGATCAATCTCTATGCTTCATCCAGCAATGGACCTGTCGATCGGAGAGGAATCCAGGGCTGGGTTGAGACTAGTGGGAGTGTACTGAGTGATGCGATGAGAATAGAATAGAGCTTTTAATTTTTTGCTTACATTACTTGGACTGTTATTGCATACATAAGGTACATCATCTATGTATTCTGGCCCTTCGTTGGGTGGGAGTCGTTCGTGATATGTAAAACTACGAAGACAGACCCCTCCTATCTTGCCCATCTCCCCCGCCTCCAAGCTTCTCCTCTCTCCCTAGAGCGCGGTAACGGCGGCAATGAACCACCCAGTCGTGAGTCCACCGATTTCTGCTCCTCTTCATTCCTAGGTAGAATTCTGGAGGTTCTAGTGATTGTGATTCTGGCCCCCACCCACCTACCACCGGCATATATGTTCGACGGTTGACCAAGATGGCGGATGAGGTCCCCACAGGCAGCGCTTCTTCCCGCCGGCCGCCCAACTTGGGCGATGGTCCCGCTGGCGGCGGCGGCGTCACTACTCCCGCGCCCGCTACTGCTGCCCATCCCACTTCCTCCCCCTCCATCATCACCACCACCACTACCACGGCCTCCACTACGTCTCGCCCTGTATCTCATACCACCACCACCACTGGGGCCCCCTCATTCTCCTCTTCCGCCGGTCGTCATCCCATTCCCACTCACGAGGCAGGTTTTGTCCAGCCCTCCTCCTATCTCCGCCCACGCGGCCTGTCTCGCCCAATGCCGCCATCCCAGCCCGAGAGGGCGATCGACCGGGAAGAGCGCCAGGGTCTAGTGAGTTTTTCTTCTTTGCTTTTTTTGCTTATATTCCCCTCAATCCGACCCGGGGCCGTCTATCGCCTCAATTCCTTGTTGGTCTATTCCTTTGTTGGATCGTTCCCTGTCAGCCGGGGTCCCGTTGGATCCGTTTCTTCTTTCCGGCCACGTGCATTGAACACCTCTGGTGATCCCTCGGAGTTGATATGGGCTGGCTAACGTCGTCCTTTGTCCCTTGGACAACTTGTAGCGCGCCATCCGCAACTTCCTCAAGGTCCGCACCAGTTATGATGTCCTCCCGCTGAGCTTTCGTCTTATCATCTTCGATACTTCCTTGTCCGTCAAGGAAAGCTTGAATATCTTAATCCAAAATGGCACGTAGCCGTCCGGTTGCCACCGTGGATCCATGCTCCTCCCCCGTGACGACGAAGAAGATGTCCTTGCTGACGGCGACTTCGAAATGGATAGGCATTGTCTCCGCTCCCCTATGGGATTCCAAGTCATCGACCTTTGCCGGTCTTCTGACCACTTCCGATTATATCAACGTCATTCAGTATTATTTCCAAAATCCGGCCGCCCTTGATCAGATTGATCAATTCCGACTGGACAGCCTCCGAGGTAGGTATCGCAACAGCGGCGCCAGAGGGACTCTCGAGCTGATGACAGGGATGTGAAGAGGTGGAAAAAGCTTTAGGTGTGGCTCCTCCTGAGACCATCTCTATCGATCCGGAACGGCCGTTGTACGAGGCTTGTCGCCGCATGCTCGAATCCCGCGCTCGCAGAATCCCACTCGTCACCAACGATAGCCAGACGGATCGCTCCCATGTCCTCAGTGTTGTCACGCAATACCGTATCTTGAAATTCGTGGCCGTGAACGTTAGCGACACACAGAAGCTACGGAAACCTCTAGGAGAGATCCTTCTGGGTACCTATCAAAACCTGGCCACCGCGTCGATGGACACGCCTGTCATCGATGTCATCCATATCCTTGTCGAGAGAAGCATATCCAGTGTTCCCATTCTAAACTCCGAAGGTATGACGTTACGTTGGACATTCTTGAACATTCGTCCAACCTTACTTACTCACCATGACAGGCGTTGTTTATAACGTGTTTGAAGCCGTCGACGTGATTACCTTGATCAAAGGAGGCGTGTACGATGATCTGAGTCTAACAGTTGGAGAGGCCTTGAAAAAGCGACCCGGGGTACGTTGGTTTCGCAATCCCCGGGCTCTACAGGACTAATGATCTCCCAGGATTTCCCGGGTATTTACACCTGTTCGTTGAACGATGGTCTGGACACCATCTTTGACACGATTCGCAAGTCTCGTGTCCACCGCCTGGTCGTGGTGGACGAGAATTTCAAGCTGAAGGGTGTCCTCACCTTGAGCGATATTCTGCAATATATTCTCTTAGAAGGCGAAAACGACGAGGCATCATGACCTAAACACGCATCTGCGCTCAGCGCGCGATTTATACAGTTACTTTTTGCATTGAACGGGCGTTGTCTTTGATTTCCTGGATCCGACATGGGAGACTCGGCCCCAGTCTTCTTGAAACACGCGTGTTCGGCCAGGCAAGTCTTCTGTTCTCTCGGCGCATTTCATATCTGGGTTGCGATATCACAAGAAGGTATTGTATGGTGTCCAAAATTCATGTTTCTTCGGCCTTTCGATTCCTGGATCTCTATTACTGCCAACAATCCTAGCATTGGCGCTTGGTCTTACAATAGATTTCTTTTTTTCTTTTTCCTTCTGGATTTCAATCTTCCCCACTGGCCTACTGTACAGCCTTCTTTTCCTCTGTGGATGCTCCTTTTTCTTGTCGGATCCGTTTTTCCATCTCGTGATCTTGTACGCCGCAGTCGTAACCGTATCATTCATACGGGTACCTCCTTTGTAGCGAGTATGGATCGGTGCGAGGTGGACACGGCGGGAATACGCGGTATGGAATACTGTGTTGGCTGACTGTACGGTCGTGGAAGGCACCTTCCTCATCAAAACAAGGCACTGACAACGCTGACTGCGTGGAAAGAGCTTCTTGTCACCTCAGCGACGTCCCGGTATACCCTACGGCAGTACATTCGACAATCTTTGTCCATCATCAACTATCTCATCCATATCTGTTCAGTTATTTTGGAACCACGATTGGTGCCATGGGGTTATTCGACAGTTTCTTATCCAAATCGCGAGCCAGCAAAAGCGAGACTTCCTCAAGCTCCAAAGGCAAGGCCTCTGAGTGCCAGGCGGATTCGGATAATACGGGTCAGTCGGTCGAGGCGAATGCCAGGCCTTCAGACACTGTCGCAGAGGAAGATTTGGCGGCGAAGAACAGCCCTGCCATACCTGCAGTGGACCAGTCTGTGCAGCCACCGGAGACGTCTGTCACTGAAGGCTCTCTGCCCTGTACGGGTGTTGTACAGAACGATGAGACACAGGGGCGATATCCTCTTGCGAATCATACTGGAAGAGGTTTGATGCGAATGTCAGGGTTCCTGACACTTCTACGTTCACACCGGCGTCAGCACCCAGCGACAGTTCTCGATCACCCCGGCTCCAATAATCAACCGGTCCATCCTGCATTCGTGGGCAACCTTTGGAGTGAGAAAAGCCTTGACTACGACAGTGTCGCCCCCGACTTTCTGCAAGTGTTCCAACAAGCAGGTTATCTAGCAGACTTAGGCTCACGGCAGGTGAGCGACAAAACTATCCAGTCCGCGGATTCGGAACTCACAAGTGCGACCATCTGTCGGCATCCGTCGCAACGGACATCAACGCCTATTATTCTTCCCGATCAACGACCTGAGTGTCAGAACCCTTTCGATGAAAATGCAGAAGGGGTTGAACGGCTTCCCGGTTCAGACCCCTTCTCAGATCCCCTGGACATGGTCAATACACGCCACGAGAGACAACCCAGCTCTGAATATGATGATGCGGGCCCAAAATTGTCGGGTTCCTTCGAGCACGCACACACTCGCCGGCCTCAGACCCCCTTCATTGCTCGTCACTCCGCGGATGGAAGCTTGTCGCAAGGAAGTTCGGATCTCCACACATGTTCGAATGGCAGCGACTGGTCAGCCTGCGTTGATCAACACACGGCGACTATTGCATTCAATGAACTTGCTCCCCAGCTGAATTTGGAGCCTCTTCCCCAGAACCAGAGCTCGGAGGGTCCTTGTGGCCGTCAACATCCGTCGGGTCAGTCGGTGTATGTCGACCCGTTAGGCTTGATCATACTAACATAATACAGACGAGGTGCCTTGCCCTGGCGAAGAGAAGTTGTCGGAACGCCGCTCCACGATCTTTGGAAGAATACGAAGCATCCGATCGAGTTTCCATCTGAAGGCCCGGTCGAGTATACCGCACGAACGCAGTCTACGCAGAAGGAAAACATTTGCGCATTTTCCTAACCGATCCTACGAGATGTGCTCACTACGAGGCAAATCCTTGGAAACCTTGGCTCGCCTGGGAGGGCACAGCTTCCTGAACCTCCCTGCAGATTTTGCCCCGGCCACCTTAAGACTGCCCTCTTGCTTTGTAGCCACCGTCACGTATTTGAGATATTTTGGTAGGCGCTGTTCTTTAAGAAGGCTGATCCGTGTGGTATTAACGATCGTCCAGCTCCTACGGTACGGAATCTCTTTGTTGAGGCTGGAGACCTAAAGGTGGCGGCGCGGACGTACGCATACTTTGCCGACCAGGTTGCCTCCGCCGAGAAAGACCAAGAGAAGATTGAACTTACGGTGCGAAGCGACCGAATCCCCATGGAACTCGTTCAGGTCCTCGAGCAGGAAGCGCCTCGGCGCAATGCCTCACATGTTCTTGGCGTGGCCTGGGCTTTCAAGGCGCTGTTGGCTGGGCTTTCTGGGGGCCTCCTGGGGTCGGAACAGCTGTACCAGGTGCTGGTGAACATTTCGTACGGTCGCCTTTCGGAGCGTGATGTACCGGCTCGCAGCGGACTCGGGGGTTTCTCGCCCAGTAGTTATGCCAAAATTAAGGCCATTGCCCTCGCATTCCTGGCGCTCTCCAACGCCCTACAGTTGAGCCTCATCTGTGCAGTGTTTGGTCTGTGCGCGGTTCTGTTGCATGAGTCGCAACGGCACGTCTCCCAACAGGGGATCGCGGGGAGCATCCGGGCCAACCTGGGGGCTGGACTTCTCAGCGTTGAGCGGCTGGGCGGAGTCTTTGGGCCGTTGCTAACCGGCTCGGCCGATGAGGGCGACCATGGGTTGGGGCACCACGGTGAGCGAGAAGTTGAGAGTCAGCGGGTGGCCGAGATGTTGGTGCGGAACTGGCGAGGGGTGAGCCGACAGCTGCGGATCTGGGAGAGTCGAGGACCGATGGGGCAACAGGGCGCATTTTCTTGGATTTCGCGGACGGGCAGATCGAGGTCGTGAGGGGGGTTGCAAACCGGACGAAGCTGACGTGGAGAGGGGGCCCAAGTGTATGATAAGTGATATCCAAGGTCGAGCGAGGGGTCGGAAACAAGGTACATACTCTGGGAAGGTACTTTTGTCCTGCAGGTCAGACGAATTGGGTTTTTTTATTTTTGGTATCCGTCTTTGCTTTAGAGGTCTACTCTGTACGGAGTACACCAGGGGAATGTCCCCTTTGGCGCCATGGTACGGCTGGAATTGTCTGGGTCGTAACTTGCATGCGTTGGCCGTGAGGGACTGATTGCATG